GTTTTCCCTGGACACTGAATGGATACACAGGGACAATAGCACCCATAAATGAAACATTTATGTAATCTGGAGCCCATATGGTTGAGGACATAGCCTACATCCTAATAAGCTGTTGTTTCTCTCTCTTTCAGTTTTCTTCAACAACTTTTCACAGGGACTCAAAACAATCATGTATTACAGCCGTTTTCTAACACAGATTGCGTTTTTGGCAGGAATAGGGCCTAATTGGTTTATAAAAGGGGATTTTTGTAAAGCCTAACTATCAGATATGCCGTATTTACGTATTTAAGAACAAATGAAATTGAATGAAATCTATGAATATTCACTTTAAGTCTGTGTGACCTAATATGACAGACTTTTAAAAAAAACAATTGTTTTCTCTCTTTATTTTTGTTGCTTTTCCTTTTATTTTTTTTTAGAATTTTTGTACCTTTTATCTGTTGGGTTTTTTAGGTTGTTTTTCCCTTTTTTCCTTTTAGTTTATGTTTTCCTTAGTTGTTTAGTGTTTTCTTTTTTTCTTCTATATTTTTGTTTTGTTTTAATTTTGTTTGCTATTTTTTGTCTTAGGTTTTGTTTTTCTTTTTATTTAGTTTCTTACTTTTGTTTTTGTTTCGGTAGTTGTTTTTTTACTTTTGTTCTTATGTCATGTTGTTTTGCTTTTCTTTTGTTTTGTAATTTTCAGTCTGTAATCTGATTTGATGCTGAACAATTCATTCCGATGCTTTCATTTTTTCAAAGAGTGAAGAAAGCTGCAGGTTTGCATGAGAATTCGTTTGTGAATACTGTATACTATATTTTATGTCATTTTAAAGGAGTAGTTCACTTTTATAAAAAAAAAACCTTTGCTGATAATTTACTCACCCCCATATCATCCAAGATGTCCATGTCATTCTTTCTTCAGTCGAAAAGAAATTAAGGTTTTTGATAAAAACCTTCCAGGATTTTCTCCATATAATGGACCTCATTGGGAACCAAACGGTTCAAGGTCCAAATGACAGTTTCAGTGCAGCTTCAAAGGGCTTTAAAACAACACCAGACAATAAATAAGGGTCTTATAGAACCCTTTGAGTCATGACTCGAAAAAAGATTTGTTAATTTTCATGAACGAGTTTGAACAGGAGAGTCACGAACGCTCATCACAGAACAGAGCAAGGCGAGCATTTGTGCTTATAAAACGTACATTTTTTTCATTTATTTTTATAATGACCGATCGTTTCGCTAGATAATACCCTTATTCACCTTCTGGAATCGTTTAAAGCCCTTTGAACAGTTTGCACTGAGACTCTCATTTGGACCTTGAACCGTTTGGTTCCCATTGAAGTCCATTATATGGAGAAAAATCCTGGAATGTTTTCATCAAAAACCTTAATTTCTTTTCGACTGAAGAAAGAAAGACATGGACATCTTGGATGACATGGGGGTGAGTAAATTATCAGCAAAAGTTTTTTTAAAGTGAACTACTCCTTCATTTAAAGGGTTAGTTCACCCAAAAATGAAAATTCTGTCAGTATTTACTCACCCTCATGTTGTTCCAACCCCGTAAGACCTTCGTTCATCTTCGGAACACAAATTAAGATATTTAAGATATTAAGATCACTCCTGTATACAGTCCATAGGCTTCTTGAGGTACTGGCTCTTGCTGTCCCCGAAAAGTCATTAAAGACATCGTTAAAATAGTCCAAGTGACTACAGGGGCTCAATCTTAAGTTTATCAAACGACGAGAACACTTTTGCGCGCAAAAAAACAACAAAAATAACGACTTTATTTCAACTATTCGTTTATTTCTCCCTCTAGGCGAGTCAGGTTACTAGTTTAATAGCGTAAGCTTCTGTTATTGTACGTCACACGCATCACACACACATGACCAGCGTCGGCCAATAGTGAGCCTACGTGTGACGTAGCTCTACGCAATCACACTACGTTAACTGACTACAGGCCCATAGAGAAGGAAGTGAATAGTTGAAATAAAGTCGTTATTTTTGTTTGTTTTTGCGCACAAAAGTGTTCTCGTCGTTTGATAAACTTAAGATTGAGCCCCTGTAGTCACTTGGACTATTTTAACGATGTCTTTAATGACTTTTCGGGGACAGCAAGAGCCAGTCCCTCAAGAAGCCTATGGACTAGTATGCAGGAGCGATCTTAATATCTTAAATATCTTAATTTGTGTTCCGAAGATGAACGAAGGTCTTACGGGGTTGGAACAACATGAGGGTGAGGAAATACTGACAGAATTTTCATTTTTGGGTGAACTAACCCTTTAAGCTGCATTAGAAGCGATGTGGACAGGCCTTCTGTCATGAAAAAATAACAGGAATGTCCTATAGTTTCAAGGTCAGTGCTGCTCTTTAATGGTATAGAGCGCATATCTGCACTTTAACTCCAGTCTTGTGACTGTACGGTTCATGGCACTGCCAGTGAACCTGAGGAGCGCAGATCTCTAGTGAAAGCTCCTCTGCGATGGCTCCAGGGCCCTCGGCCGCTCCCTGACCCCTCATTCACACTGCTCTGCTGAGATTAGTTCCCCTCCACCGGGCCTGTAACAGCTCCTCTTGTCGCCAGTCCTCTGGGCTTTCTAGGAAAAGACCCTTTGGTTGTGGGGAATTTATCATCCCGTGGGCAAGCAGGGGCTTGTTCTGCATTGGTGAGGAGTGTTTACAGAGAGCTAAGGACTGGAAAGAAGTGTGTGCTGAGTGAGGTTTGTGTGGGTGGATGGGAAATCGTCTGTCTGTCCCTCAAAGAATGTGTGTGTCTGTGCTGGCAGACAGACAGTATGGGATGTGGAAGAATGTGTGTGTGTTGGGGGGTCCGGGAGGATCGTATTGCAGCGGCTGTCACTGGTATGTGAGAGGAAACAGCTGAGCGCTCCTGTATCGGCTAAACTGAGGTTAAAGGGCACTAAACACAACCTCAGGCTTCTGGGGCGCTTAAAACTGCGGCCACTCGCTTTCTGTAATGTTTCACTTTGATCAAAATTGACTGTGATGAAATGACATTCACATGCCAGGCATTTTTTCAATTGAAAAAAATGTTAAAATTGTCAGAGATTCCTAAAAAAAAAAAAAGAAAAAAATTGATTTATTTTTTTTTTTTAGGAATCTCTGACAATTTTAGTGCTGCTTGCTTAGGCAGAACCCCTAGTGGCAAGAAGTGACTCATTTTTAATAAACATTCCTGGTATTATTGAGACCCATCATGTTATTAAAATGCATTTACAATTACTCTTCGTAATATTTAATCAAAATCTAATCGCTGAAACATCTCCATTTTTAATGGGAAATTAACGATTTTTTTCTGTTTCTTCTAAAAACACATTTTTGAAACTATCCAGAGCGTCATGGCTGTGAGATTTGCATGCTCAGCAAACACATTTTTTTAAGAAAATGTAAAAATCTAGTTCATTAAAATGATCTGAATTTCATATGGTTGAAGAGTTCAGTAATGAGATCATGGTTTAACACTGAATATCTCTCTAGATAAAGATATTTTTTGCGCACCAGTATCACTGTTTATTTGTGTTACTTAAGGAATAACAGAATTTTGCTTGCATGCATAGTTGGTTAATAATTCATGGTTCATACATAAATCATGAAAACAGGCTGGTCTCTAGCGGCAGCGCTGGAAAAAGAGGGGGTCAAATATTCGTTTGAAGTGTTTTAATGTTACAAATTAGATGAAATTTATTTTTCCGATCATAACATATTTTTTTTATATACATTTATAGAAAAAAGCTTATGTCAAAAGTCCAACATGAAACCCTGCAATTCATGGATGTAATAGCCTGTTGCAGGCAGTGTGCGCTGGTGGTTTAACATTTAGACTGGTGGTTGTAGGTTCAGATACTGAAAAAAAAAAATTGATTCATGACCCTGAAATTTTTAATTGAGTAATAGGTACAGTATTTCCCCAGTAAAATTATGTGCAGTACCTACAATCCTGTACTAATATTCAACCTCTAAGCAGACATTATATATATATATATATATATATATATATATTCTGTGTTACATTTATATATATATTCAAGTCTGAATATATGTATTGAAGATACAAGACTAAAATGTATAGAAAATATATATATATATATATATATATATGTGTGTGTGTGTGTGTGTGTGTTTGTGTAAATTATGACCATATAAATGTAAATCCAAATGTGTAGTTATTGGATTTAAATTTGGATTTACGTACATTTATATATTCAATTGTATAAATACAAGCTTCTGAATATATTTTCAAACTTTTATTTATAAATGAAGAGTTTAGATGCAAAAGCCTCTAAGTGCCATTTGAAATTTTCTTCTAGAATGATCATTTTTATCAAGCTTGCATATTTAAGTTCAGTGATTTCACTTAAATGGCAATGATAATTACCTATTAATTGTTATTTAAGTGAAATTACTGAACTTAAATATACAAGTTTAATAAAAATCATCATTAAAGAAGAAAATTTCAAATGGCATTTAGAGGCTTTTGCATCTGAACTCTTCAAATTCAGACCTACAGGTATACATTCTTTCTTATAAGTATATTTGGATTTACATTTATGTATTTAGGTTTATATATTTGGATTTTATGTTTTATGTACTTATTTCCTAATAGGCCCTTGTCCTGTTCTGGTTTTAATTATATATATATATATATATATATATATGAAGAGTTCAGATGCAAAAGCCTCTAAATGCCATTTGAAATTTTCTTCTAAAATGACCATTTTTATCAAGCTTGTATATTCAAGTTCAGTAATTTCACTTAAATAACAATTAATAGGTAATTATCATTGCCATTTAAGTGAAATTACTGAACTTAAATATACAAGTTTGATAAAAATCATCATTAAAGAAGAAAATTTCAAATGGCATTTAGAGGCTTTTGCATCTGAACTCTTCATATATATATATATATATATATATATATATATATATATATATATATAATATTACTCTAGAATTGAGTGTATAGCCAGGTGTTTGAGGTAAAATCATGATCTGTGTCTTTTCAGGCCTAGGCCATGGGCGGAGCCAAGAGTAAACCCAAAGAGGTCGGCCAGCGCTCCCGGAGTCTGGACGATGGCACCGGAGGACACCACTCCAGTCCCAACCCGTCATCTTACACCCCCAACCGAAGTCCTCCGGTGGACGGCAGCAGACGCGGCACCCAGCCCATGATCAACGCAGAGCAGGCGCTGTTTGGAGGAGTGATCTCCACTACCGTCACATCTCCTAACAGAGGCGGCATGTTAGCGGGTAACACACCTCTGTCTGATCGGGGATTCAATGTGTCATTATTACGGTTCTGCTTTTGGTGACTTTCAGTATTAAAGTGTTAAAGGAAATGGGCAAAGAAGTCTGAGGGTGAATTGACTAAACAGTTGCACTACTTTGGTGCAGGAACAACTATTGTCAGTGTAAATCAGGCTCATCATGTATACAGTTATAGCTGGTGCAATCAATTTTTTTAATGACTTAAAATCTCATTAATGACAGTCACAGTTTTCCTGTAAGGCCATATCAGACCATTTGATGCATACTCAAACAAATATAGCAGGGGATTTTCCTAACTCCCAAGCTCCGCTCTGATTGGCTGGCGAGTCTCTTAGAGTCAACATGAACAGGTTTTGTTGGTCCACTTGGAAATGTGATACGATGAGGAATTTCTTCGTAAAACTACTGCCGTTTACTTATTGGTGGATTTCCACAGTATTAATCTAAATTTTTCAGTATTTTCTGTATAATAGTGGTATTGCATGAATTGCAGTGGACACAGATGAAATGATAATACTTTCCGCACCATCTTTAGAGATCTGCAAAACATTGGGTTGAGCCTTTGTCCTCCATTAAAAAGAGTCATGTGATCACGGTTGCCGTCATTCGCCGTCGCTTTTTGGCATATCCGATCTGTCCGCTTACAAATGCACAATGGATGATTCACATCAGATTTATTTCCACATGTGCATGAGACCTGAAACCTATCCGAGAATACTGGAGTCCATGTGCTTTTTTACTGCTTACACATTCGTGGGCCATATCCGATTTGTGCCACATGGAAGGAAAAATTGGATTTAGGGCACTTAAATGCATCCTTAGTCACCACAGCCTTTAGTCTGACTCTGCAAGTCTTGACTATTTTTGGATGCCCGTTTCCATTAGCAACCCAGCATTGTATTATTTACTTATGTTAATGAAATTGCTGAAGTTTTTTTTTTTTTTTATGTAATGCATCACGATAACAGTCTATGTTTGTCTCTTGTATTTTTCCATAGGCGGTGTGACCACGTTTGTTGCTTTGTATGACTACGAGTCACGAACAGCCTCCGATTTGTCATTCAGGAAAGGAGAATGACTCCAGATTGTCAATAACACGTAAGAGGGAAACGCACAAACATACTCGCGCTGAAAATAATAGGGCTCCCGGGGGTGATAGACACACCCACTGAGGCAGACATCCCCACACACACACACACACACATGTCTCTCATCTGTCTGGGCTCTGGCTGTTTTGGCTGCTGAACCCCCCCCAGCACATGTAGCCCCCCCTCCTCTTCCTCTTCGGTAACCATAGGAACTGGCTCCCTCTGAAGGCGCTGTATTTGTGAGAGATGACGGCTTTTTGTTCTCTGGATTCCTTTTTTGGTCTTCCTGTGCACAAGAAAAGCTCAGCTGCACGTCTTTACCTCCACTTCCCCTCCCGGACCAAAGGGAGCATTTTCCTTCCTTGCTACACCTGTGGTTCACTTCCTTATTTCAGTGTTCAGCGCTACCGTTTAGAGAAGAAAGAAAAAAAAAACACTCTTAGTAACATCCTCTGGTTTCTGCACAAAGCGGACCTGGTGATTTTCTAATGTCAGGCCGAACACTGTGTAGTATATGGGTGAATCCTTCAAAAATCAATAAGAGATATTTTTATATATATTGCTAAAAGAATATGAAATCTGTATCTAATAACATTAAGTATATTTACATTTAGATGTTATTTTCATGACAGTTAAGCAACTTTCCTTCCCAAATTGACATCTTTATAAGGAAAACATGTTGTGGTGCATGTTATTTATTGAACTTAGAATAAAATCGTTGAGAGTAATGGGATTTGAATGGTATATATGCATGTATGTATGTATGCGTATACATACATATACATTTACATACATACCGGTACACATACATGATACAGTATATGTTTAATGATATTAAAATGAAAGAACTACCATTTAATCAATTAATCTAATGCTTATTATCATATGATTCACTCAATGAACTGGGGTAATCACTTTCAGTCAAATCAGACTTAATGATACACTTTATGTGTTCTTAAGGTTTGTGAAACTTGAATCAGCATCATGTAGTTTTTACAGTCATTTGCAAAAAAAAAAAAAAAGGAATCATTTTTTAAAACATTAAGGTTGTGTTCACACACTTGGCAGGTTTGATTCGATTAAAATGAACTCTGGAGCGATTGCTCTGCTAGTGCGGTTTATCCAACACTATCTCACGACTAGGGTTGGATATCGTTTGAATTTGAACGATTCTGATTCCGATTCCTTATTTCGATTCCGGTTCCTAACGATTCTCGATTGCGATTCTTTTAAGAGGCGGGGTCAAAAAAGTTTAGCTAACCTTGCTAACCAATGGTCTTTCTGAAGGTAATAATCCTTTCTGAAGGAAATACTCCTTTTGTAACAAATTTTGCATTTTGCCGAGATTGCGTTATTTTTAGAAAAGTGAAGCCACACTTTGGACCACCGACGTAAGCTACTCATGTTCGACTCGCGCGGTTATGCCAACACTTCCGGTAGACGCTTCTTCTTTGGTGTTGTTCAGTGGTTTCTTCTTCCGCTCGGCGGACTGTGAATATCGAAACTAGGAATCGAAATTTTAACTTTTGAACGATTCCGGGAAAAATGAAAAGTTAGTCCCGGTTCCAATCGATTCTCGATACCCAACCCTACTCACGACCAATTCGTACGAATTCGACGCATGATTAAAAAGTGTCTAATTCATACTAATTCGTACGATTTGTCTAAACCCACGTGATGGTTAGGTTTAGGGGCGGGGTAAGTGGTTGGTCATTCGTACGAATTCATACGAATTGGCCAATTCGTAAAATATGTACGATTTAGCAAAATCGTATTAATTCGTACGAGTGAGGTCGTATGAATTGTTACGAATTAGCCACTTTTTAATCATTCGTCGAATTCGTACGACTTGGTCGTGAGATCGGGTTGGTTTATCTGAATAAGTGTGAACGCTGCCATCTGAACCCTGGTGCACTAAACAGACCGAAAAGATGGGTCTCTCGGTCCACTTCCAAACAAACTCTGGTGCAGCTCAACTAAAATAAGAATGCAACACGGACCAAAAACAGGATGTGATGTCACAAGACCCTAAAAAGTTTTTTGTTGTTGTATTTTTTAGGTTCAGTGTTAAAAATGACAGTGTGAACGCTAAGCAAACCTGGACTAAATGTATTATTTTCTCTCTAAGAGAACCTAACTACAAATGTGTGAACACACCCTACAACAGTTTAACAAAATAGTGTTGTAGTTAAAGGGATAGTTCACTTTGAAATTAATTTTTGGTATGTTTTAGCTTACCTCGAGGGCATCCAAGATGTAGGTGTCATTTGTTTCCGCAGTAGTTTCAATTTTGATATTACCAAAGATATATACCAAAAAATTAATTTCAAAGTGAACTATCCCTTTAAGACCAATTATGGGGAGTTTGAACAGAAACCTAGGCACGAGGTGAGATTAACCCTTTAAACCGTAACCAATCCCCACCGCTGCCCATTAACCATCCCAGAAGCCACTGATAATAGAGTAATCTAAGCTTTTTAACCAAATCTCTAAGCTGCTCCGGCTTATGCTGGGACCTTCAGAGACATGCGTCAGTACACATTTTGAGATAATCAAATGCACATTACAGTAATTGTTTTCCATATTTTTAGTACTTGGATAAAAGGTTTGTTTTAAGTGCATCATTGCTGCGATTTGACCTTCAATCAATTTGTGAGGCTATGTGGGATGTTTGTAGCTTCTGCTGTTTGCTTTTAATGTCCAAACACTTGTGTTTTTCCTCTACACGCTCTCAATCGTTTATGTAGGAGAAAGTTGAACCCCAGGTTGGTAAAGTTGCTCTTGCTTTCAGCTTTCAATGTCCATGCGTGTGTTTGTGAAAGTGTGTCATTTCACCATTTGCTTGCCCACCTGAGATTTGTCCCGACTTTCTAGAGATTGTGGAAGTGGTCCATAAATAGTGTCACATCTCCTCATAACTGGCTCACTCACAACCATTTTACATTTGTCCTTCACATTGACTTTGTGGTCGGTCCTTTAGTGTATTGTTGATTTTTCCTTTACATTTGTTTAGGCTGCATGCCAATTTTCATGTAAGTTCATCCTTGAATGATAATATGTCAAATATACAATTTTCTATCCTGTGTTGACGTATTTCCTGTTTAAACAGGAAGTTGTCACTGGAACATCTACATGACCCTTATATTTTAAATAGTCAGATATAAACTAAATATATAAAGTCGAACAGACTTGCACTAGAACCCACTAAATTCAGATTTTGATTTCATGGGATCATTAAATGAATAAACCTAAAAGCAATAATGTTAAGATAGCATTAGCATTTAGCTAACTTAACAGTAAAAATACAGACTAATGGTTATGTTTTCAGTTTAGCTAAATGCTAATGCTATCTTAACATTATTGCTTTTACGTTTATTCATTTAATGTTAAGATAGCATTAGCATTTAGCTAACTTAACAGTAAAAATACAGACTAATGGCTATGTTTTCAGTTTAGCTAAATGCTAATGCTATCTTAACATTATTGCTTTTAGGTTTATTCATTTAATGTTAAGATAGCATTAGCATTTAGCTAACTTAACAGTAAAAATGCAGACTAATGGCTACGTTTTCAGTTTAGCTAACTTGTTCGTTTTTATTCTCATTCCAGAGATCATTTTATTGGACAGAAATCTGTATACGGCGCACAAATTACAAAACTAAATGGCCTCAAAGCTCACAGACTTTGTCACAGTTTGATTACACGTGGTCATTAAATTAATATCAAAAACAATAATGTTAAGATAGCAGTAGCATTTAGTTGAATGAACATAGCCAATGGTTTGACTAACTTAATAGTTCTCATTACATGTATGATTTTACTGGACGATCATTTGTAAGTGGCCCTGTGAATTGAAAGAATTAATTCGCATGTGTGCTAAAAGGTTTTATTTTCGTGCATATATGCTATTTTAAGAGTACGCTAGCATAGAAATGACCTCAAAGCTAACAGACGTAGACAATTGCACTAAAATTGTCTTTTTTATTTCATGTGGTCATTAAATGTGGTCAAAAATAAAATAAAAATGTTAAGATAGCAGTAACTTTTAGATAAATTAAAAGTAAAAATCAAAACTAAAGGCTGTTGGCTGTGTTAGACTAACTTGCTAGTTCTAATTCTCATGCACTCCTTAAATTATTTTATTGGTCATTTTAATAAGAATCCACACAAAAAACGAAATATTTCTGCACGGAGAATTCAAATTTGTTAGTATTTCTACACTATTGAGAATATTTGATGGATTTTTGCATGCAAAATTTCGCCAATGTGACTAAGAATTGGGATGTAGCATTAGCATTAGCATTAGCTATTAGGGATGCAGCATTCCCAGACAGCAAACTGACATTGAATCAACGTGGAAACAACGTCTCTCATGACATTGAAACAACGTTGATTTGCTCATCGAATTAACGTTGAACCAACATCAGACGCGGCATTCTTCAAAGCTAAATGAAATCGAAAATTGGTTTGCTTTCATAACGTTGAAACAACGCGTTGATTTCAGGTTGATTTTCCGTTAGTTTTGAAAGAATGACGCATCTGACGTTGGTTCAATGTTAATTCGATGAGCAAAACAATGTCAGATCAACGTTGTTTCGATGTGATATTTCCACGTTGATTCAATGTCAGTTTGCTATCTGGGTTAGCATTAGCCAGCAGCGTTTTCTACTTAAATTATTGTCTCCAACGTACAGTAGCCTCGTCCACTTTAATCTTCTCATAAACCCTGCTTATCACAATCACAGTTTTATGCTCTTTTGAACATCTGAATTTTGAATGGTACCCTGCATATGAATAATATATTTGCATGAATGAATATGAATATGTGCCCATCTGTGTATACATGTCATTGTTTTCACTGGTGCGGTTATGTTTTAATTATGTTTAACGACAACAAGCAGTAGCTCCGAGACCTGGAGAGGGTTTGTGTCGGGTCAGCATGTCTTGGCGATGGATAAAGTCTTATTACTTTAGCTTAGGGAGTGAGTCACAGTCTAACACCTCAATGCACACACTATACACACCATCTATTATTAAAAACCCATCAAGACAACCCAGACGTATGACTCATTTTTTTGATAAATCTACCAGTTTTGTTGTAAATAATTCACCCAAAAATGAAAAAAGTCAGTCGTTCCAATCCCATATGATTTTCTTTCTTTATAGGAATCAATAGAGGATTTCATGAATGTTTGCGCTGCTCTTTTACGCATGATGAAAGCATAATTGTGTTAATATTCCCCAAAAAGTTCATACAACTTGTGTATTATGTGTAGGCGTGAATAATACAAGAAATATACAAGAGTATAATACGATTTTTGGTTGAGCAATTCATAAGTGTTTGGAACTACTTGAGGGTGAATAAAAGATTGAAAATATTTATTTTTGGGTGAACTATCCCTTTTAAATGGACGTTTTAATTTATGTATAATTTGGCGTGGGTAGTTAATGTCTTTAGAAGAGCTTCGTCTGCATTCTAATACCTCGTTTCAGGTGTAATAATACCACAGATGTAATCTCAGGGTGTGTGTTTTGGGCGGGTAAGAAAATCATGAATGTGTCACCAGATATTCACCAAATATGTGAGTCAAATTGCAGGTGTATTATGCATGTGTGTGTGTTTTTCTGCTGTCTTAGGGAGGGTGACTGGTGGCTGGCTCGCTCGCTGACGACGGGGGAGAGTGGATACATTCCCAGCAATTATGTGGCACCGTCTGATTCCATCCAGGCTGAAGAGTAAATCCTCCTCCTCCTCCTCTTTCTCTTCTTCTGTTTATGTTCTCCTCCCCGTGCCTCCTCTGTTTTTTTCCCTCGATGAAATGATTCTGGTTCCTTAACAATTGAATTAATGATGTATTATATAACTAAACAAGACAATAGTTGGACAAATCAGTTTAATTTTCAGTTTATAAAATCGGATAGGGAACGTACTGGCTTCGTGTGGACGTGGCCATAGAGTGCCGAAGTTATGACTTCACTTTGTAGGCCAAAAGGCGGAAGTGAGTTTGCATTTTAGCACTTCTGGTTCCCTCGCCCTGAAGTTTATGGGTTTTTGCTGTAGACCATTTTGCACGATGTAAACAACACTGGTCCAGAAACACTTCCTGTTTCAGTTTGTAACTGTTTTCTTTATCTCACATGTAAAGAAAACACCTTAAAGATGTTTGTTTAACTTTTTGATTCAGTTTTATATGTTTTGTTGGTTGTATTTTATCCCAGCTTTTATGTAGTGTTAAAAAAACTGAAACAGGAAGTGCTTCTGGACCAGTGTTGTTTACATCTTGCAAAGTGGTCTATATCGCCTGAAATAAGGTCTGTGTTTAATAAAGCCTCTAAATATTTTCACGTTTTGATCTATTACATAAAACAAACCAGTTATAACCTGCTTGTGTTTTTTTTAACTTTATTGTGTCTGCTTGTGTTTTTTAAACTTTGTATGAAGAGTTCAGATGCAAAAGCCATTTTTCAAAAGTGCCATTTGAAATTTTCTTCTAAAATGATCATTTTTATCAAGCTTGTATATTTAAGTTCAGTAATTTCACTTAAATGGTAAAAAAATTTCAAATGAAAAGAAAAAAGAAAATTTCAAATGGCATTTAGAGGCTTTTGCATCTGAACTCTTCATATAGGCTTCAAAATTTATACATTTTGGATTGGCTTGTAAAGATTATCTTGATAGACAAAACGTGTACACTGTAAAAAAAAAATATTTTCATGATTTGTAATTACAACATTTTTTCTTTTGTCAAATCAACTTAGATAATTTATGTAGTTCAGATAACATAATATTTTGAGTTTCTGGTGATTAAATTAATCTTCTTCATTGTATTAACTAATTTTTTCTATTTCAATGAACTTAAAAAAATAAGTAACCTCGTTGCCTTAATTTTAAGTTAAACCAACAATATTTTTTACAGTGCAAGGGTCACAACTCTTTGTTGAACACAGATTTTCCAATAGTCTATGGGGAAAATGCATAGCTTTTCGATCGAGGGAACACATGCGCCGCTAACTTCCGAGTTGTCCTACAAAGTGACGCCATAACTTCGGCACTCTATTGCGTCTTAAGGTTGTCCGTATGTTCAGATGCTAACCGCGCGTCACCGTTTACATCGGGATATTGCCGATTGATTACAAATTCCACGTATACTCTCTCTGCTCACGCATGTAAATGGGTTATTCCTAATGTTTCAGAAACCCGAATAGTGACCTTAACCCGACCAGAACCCGAATATTGACAGCTTGTAAACGTAGTCAATGTTGATTCAATTCAGTTCAATGACACCGTCAGAATTCAGTTTTTAAAGCAGCTACATGTGAGTGAATCACATGTTAATTTTCGAACCTCCCCGACTGATTCAGTCCTATGAGTCCTTGATCTGATTCATTAAAAAGAAGCAGCTCATGAGAGCGATTTGTTCCTCGTTGGAAACAATCTGACTCAACAGAACGATTTGTTCATGAATCATCACTTAGCAAAAACTGTGAGTACAGAAATATTTCAGTTCCACTTTTTTTTTTTTTTTTACTTGAAGCTCAACCTTTGTGATGCTACCAACAAACTGATTCACACTCGCCCCTCTCTCTCCTTCCGGTCTGACCTTTGAGTACTTCATCATTCCCTTCATGGTTGCTCTCTTGTCCTCCATCATTATGAGTCTCTCCACCATCTCATCGGTTAGAAAGTAAAAAACCTCAAGCCCGAATGACCTTTTCCCTCTTGAACGAGTAAAAGTCATCAACGTGTGCCCCGTGCAGCTCATCTATTGTGTCCTGTTCATAATGTGTAACTCGTAATATTTCCTGAGATTGCTCCGTCAACTGGCGCATTAAACAAATACACACAGGCACTCCTTTGAAAACCTATAATGACTCATTTTTCCACCCTTGCCTTGCCAGTCATCTCAGATTGACTCTGGAGAAAAGGTAAGACTGAGAGAGAGCCGGCCTTGAGCGGCGAACAACAAACCTAGCTGATTTACAGACACTAAATGTCACTGGGTCAGTCATGAATCCCAAACACCATTGTTTTATTGTTGCTGGAACCAGGAATGGGAATATTACAACCTGATTCATTGTTCAATATTTCATGCAGTGCAATTCAAATGAGAACTGTTATAATTTTGGCCAAAAATGTTCACGTAAATGATTTCAGAACAGTGTTGCCATGATTAAGCGTACACTACTGTTCAAAAGTTGTTGTTTTTTAAAGAAATTAATATTTTTATTCAGCGAGGATGCATTCAATTGATCAAAAGTGACAGTAAAGACTTCTATAATGTTAGAAATGATTTCTATTTCATTTTTTTTTTCATGTAAGTATACTGAAACGTATGACTGTTTTCCACAAAAAGCAACTGTTTTCAACAATAATGATAAGAAATATTTCTTAAGCAGTAAATCATGGTATTAGAGTGATTTCTGAAGGATCGGGATCACACTGAAGACTGATGCTGAAAATTCAGCTTTTATCACAGGAATAAATTACATTTTAAAATATATTCAAATAGAAACCGGCTTTTTGAAATCGTAATAATATTTCACATTATTACTGTTTTTGCTATATGAATAAATGCAGCCTTGGTGAGGATAAAAGAATAAAACTTTTGAATGGAAGGGGTGTACATAAATGCACAATAGAATCGCATTTCTGTCTGCATACTAGCATAAATAATATCATAATTATATATTTCTGGCCAGCTGTATGTCTCTGATATAATGCCACATGTGATTACTCCCTCTAAATACCCTCTCTCTCTTTTTCTCTGTCTCCGTCTCTCTGTCCAGATGGTACTTTGGAAAAATCACACGCAGGGACTCGGAGCGACTCCTCTTGAGTCTGGAGAACAGGAGAGGAACTTTCCTGGTCAGAGAGAGTGAGACAACCAAAGGTGATTGTGTACCGTACCAACTATAAGCGCAAATTAAATTATTTTATTTTATTCTATTTTGTTTTATTTATTTTATGTATTTTTTTAAATTTTTTATTTTGTATTTGTTTTATTTTATTTATTATTAATGTATTATTAAAAATAAAATAAATACTCTAGAAAATATTATTATTATTATTAAGTTATTTATAACTTATGCATTTTGTTTGTTAATACATAAATGTATCATTTTATTATAAATAATTTTTTTAAAATAATACATTTAATTTAAACATTTTAGTTTACTTAAATTATCATGTTTAATGTTTACAGTTGAATATTTAGTACCATTTTAACCATTTGTCTGGTCACACAGCATTGATTCATAGGTCAAACTGTAAGGATAAATGGAAAATTGTGTCAGAATGAAATCAAGGGAATCACAGGGTCATGAGTTCGACATCCCATGGCCAGGGAATGGAGGAACTGATAAAGTAGTTGTTTTTAATGCCCGGTTCGGACTACACAATCCATTTGAGGTATGGTGTCGTGGGGTTTCGTAAACGACAATGTGTGTCGGGATGCAAGAATCGATCGTTTTCTCTCATATAGTAATGTGTCCTAGTTGAAGACAACCGACGCCATGTCTGCGATGCTTTACGACAGAATGACTGGCATGTTCTTAACATCTGTGACATTGACCAATAGGAGCACTGCAGCTCCTCCATACACGGCTTTCAAACAAGGAAGGTATAGGTATAAAATTGTTGTATTGGAGGAAAGATGCATGAAGCTATGGCAGTACTCCAGCCTTTATGAAGTTTCCTCAAGGGGCTACAATGGCAAAGTGAAAAACGATTGCAGGCTCTTCAGGAACCCGTTGAGTAAGGCTATATTTATTTTTACTACTGGCTAAAAATAATAGAATAAAAACAATACTTTACCTCAAGTTCTCTTTGGAGGATTCCATACGGCCCTCTTTGTGCAATCTAGGAATATGTCCACTGTCAGGTTTTATATCTTTTGGGGGATTTTGTGATGACAAGGCATCCAGTGCAAAACACACCGCTTCGGTAGCCATTGTTCATGCTCACAACATCTATCTGCCTTTTTCGATGACATGAAACATAGACGGTAAAAGAAATGGACACAGCAACTCCATTGATTACACCGGTGAAAATTGAAGCCTGTTAAAAGCTGATCGCCAGGCGTACTGCGCAAGCTCAAACTGAGCCTGTCACTGAGCAACCTGCATGTCTTCTAGTAGTTTTGCTGAGTGAAATCTGAATAATTCCCTTCCGAATCACACATAGACGGAGAGATTGAGTATTAGCGGCAGCATGATCAACTTTATGACTCTCTATGGGCTTCTCCCTCGACTTTATCAGACTTTATGTATTCACATCCCCCCGATTGCCTGCGAGCTTCTCCTCCTGTCTATACGGTCATTTCTCTACTGTGCAACGGAGAGTCGATTCGTTATGACGCATTCGTTAGCCTATTTTTACAAAATCTGCTTCAACGGGCCATAACGTAAGATACAAGGTAATAGAGCCTTTTATACATTGTCGTGTTTCTTTAGAAATAAATAAATGGAGTCTTTAAACGCCTCAGATGTAAAGTTATTCGCTGTCAAAGTGACGCCAAAATGAATGGGAGTCAATGGGATGCTAACAGCAGGTGAAGTTCTGCTACAATGGCGGCTCCCGCGAGGCTTCAACTTCCGGCTGTTGGATTACCCCCTTGGTCATACACTGCAAGCGATAATTAATTTGTCGGGAAGCAACCAAGTGTGCCGCACAACAAGCCCTGAAAAGTGAAGCCAAAACGTCTCGTTCGCCCCCCCGGTGGCCAGTCCTAGTATACACTCTTAGAAGAAAATGTTCTATCAGCGCTACGTATTTGGAACCCCTAAAAGGTTCTATACACTCTTAAAAAAGGGTTCCTCTGGGTTCTATATAGAACCCTGGGGTTCCATACTTGGCCAATAGAACCTTTTACCAAAAAAAAATGGTGCTATATAGAACCATTTTGGAGTTCCATATATGAAGCGGGGGATGGAACCATTTCTGGTTCTAAATAGAACCATTTCTTCTAAGAGTGTAGGTAATAAACCCCGCCTCCCCATGTTGAGACCAACTAAACAATTGAATTACACTTCAAATATCGTTTTTCCAAATGCGGTTTCTGTCATTTACTATATTTTCCATCACGCTGATGTAATTTCAAGTGTTTGTTTTTAAAATAAGTTTGTTTTTTGTTAGTTATTTGATATGACGTCATGATTGACAGCTTCTCTGAGCGAAGTAGTCACTGAAGCACCAACAGACTTTTTCTCGGGATCTTCGGAGGACTGAGGAGATCGGAGATTTAAATTTAATATCTAAATTTCTATAATTAAGTTTTAAAAAGTGCCGGAGCGTGTGCTTGCGATTGATTCCGCGAGAGTGAGGGCGGGGCCTTGATTTCGCGGCTTTACTTCCTGCTCACGGCTGTGCATGTCTGGTCCCGAAAACGCTTCTGCGCAGACTCAAGCCCCAAGATGTCAGCGCCATATTGGGACACTGGCGGCTTCGCTTCCGAGTCTGACCAATGGAACAGAGCGAAGGTGCATCGTCCATCAGTCAGTCAATGGAAGCAACGTGTGTCGATGACACGACACGAATATAGGAGTGTTATTATTTTAGCCATTAATAAAAGCATCTCCCAAACAACTAACAGTGAAATGTCCCAGTGCTGTTTGAACGCCGCTCAGCCAATCACATTCAGAGACTGGAGCTAACTATTGCATAATGGAGGAAATTACTCGTGCGTTTCAGGATTTGGTAGTGCAGATCAGAACAACATGCTTGTTCAGTTGAATTCCCCTTTCTGGCGTCAGCTTGTCAGACGCAGTCATGCTCATGTTCCTCATCTCCTCCCTCTGCCAAGCATCTTTTCTTTCTCTCGAAACATTGTAAAGATCTACGCTCCATATATGGCCTTTTACCGTCACTTCTACACAAACGATGTTCATTTGAGTGCTTGTGTGTGCATGTTAGAGCCTGATGAAGAAGGGAATGTGAAGGCCAGAGAAGTGCTTGCAGGGATGAAGAGCAAGAAGTAGGTCAACCCATAGCTGTGCCTATAACCGTGAGCCATATCTCGCAGCTCGTAGCGTCAGCGAGGGGCACGGAGACCGAGATTACTCAGAGAGAGAGAGAGGCTGAAGGATGAGTCAAACCCCAAAGAGAGACCGCCGAGGGAACGAGGGAGCAAGTGATAGAGAGGGTGAATGAATAAATGAGCCATGTGTGCAATGATGACAGCGCCCCCTACAGATCATTTTACACATAAAAAAAAATCCAATTGCGTATTAGCATGCATATTACTATGATATTGGCTGTATATTAGTACTTATAAAGCACTTGATCATATTCTACATCCCTTAATTCTACCCAATACATAAATGTAACCCTAATCACCTTACTAACTATTAATTAGGAGATTACTGAAGCAAAGTCGTAGTTAATAGTTAGTTAATAGTGAGAACTGGACACTAATTTAAGGTCCATCAACTGTTTGGTTGAAGTAAAAGGCCTTTCAGTATAATTGTAAAAACATCCCCTTCAGGTTGTGACTTTTATGTTGTTATTAATATTTTAAGATGAACACGTTCTGGACTGAACCATATAAGGCTGATTTGATTATCCATAATTCCTTTTTTTAGAAACAAATCATGTTAAAGTGCAACAAATATAATATTGGGAGATAGATAGAGTGATAACTGATATTTATTTGTATTTCAAGCTGTTAGCTTAAGAAAACAAGCTGTAAGAATTTCAGTTTGGTCCTCTGAATGAAACAGAGACGTTTTTCTCTCTCCATAGTCTCACTATATTATACTATATGAGCTAAAAAATGGATTATATATGATACTAAACAAAATAAACATTTGCATTATTTAAGAAAATTATCTAAAGGTTATTTAAAAATATTTAAAAACAAAATAGATTTTTAGTAATTAGTAAGTCATGGCAACTTATGTTTTTAGTTGTGTAACCTATTTTGATGAGTTTAAGTAATTTCAACTTTTTTATGTTATACTAGATTTAACCCAATTTTAAGTCAGTTTAATATAATTTAAGTTGAAAATAAGTTTATTATACTTAAAAATGGAAGGCAGCAACTGAATTTAAGTTGAAATAGGATAATTTATATATATATATATATATATATATATATACCCGGTGTTTCAATAATAGTTAAAAGTAAAAAAAAAAAAATTTGCAACAAAATGATGTATTTACCATGTAGTGAAACTCTTCATGCTATTTCACACTCCAGTAACTGATTCACAGTTGTTTTTGATGCTAGAAACTAAAGTCGTCTGTAAGTAAAGAAAAATGCTACAAAAGAATCTGACAGTTTCAAATCTGAAACGTGGGTCAAAGATCCCCATGTCACCGAGAGCGCTTCACGAATCTATTCTTTGTGTTTTTTAGGTGCCTACTGTCTTTCCGTCCTGGATTACGAAAATGTCAAGGGCCTAAATGTCAAACATTATAAGATCAGGAAGCTGGACAGCGGGGGGTTTTACATCACATCACGCACTCAGTTCAGTGCTTTACAGCAGCTGGTCAACCACTACCGCCGTGAGTCTCTCTCTCTCATATACACTGCTTGTTTCTGAATGTCTGTGGAGGGAAGTGATACAGACTCCTATTTCTGGAAGTGGGAACTAAGGTTGTTGCAAAATAAGGATTAGATAAAAGCTATAAATAGAGAAATGGCATAAAGCAATTGCATAATGAATTATCCTTCACTTCTAATGATTGTGATTAAAGCAGTAAGCCATGAGAGACCCTGAACTGCTCTACAGGTGTTATAAACCCCGAAAAGCGCGTTAAACAGGCCTAATATGAAGATTAACTAAATAAATTCATATTTATTATATTATTTATAAGTTATGTTAGTGTTATTTATTTTATTTTGATGATTATTATTCAGAATAAATTGAAAATATTAATTATACTTTTATTTATATATTTATTATTGCTTTAGAAAATAATAACTATGGTGATTTATTAATATTAATAATAATAACAATTTATATAATTTTTATGTCATAATATAATTATTACAATTATTTTATTATTATTATAGAAAACAATATAATATTATAATTATGGTTGTGCATGTGTGTATATTGTTTTTATTTTAAGTGATTGAAAATAATAATACATTTTTATTTTTTATTTTAGTTGTTTTATTATTCAGTTATTATTAAAATTTTATTATATTCATATTAATAATAATATTTATGCACATTTTCGTGATTTAATTATTTTATTATTATTACTATAGAATATAAATATATATATATATATATATATATATATAATATTAGTATTACTGAAAATATTAAATATACGTTTATTTATATATTTATTGCTTTAGAAAATAATAACTATGTTTGTTATTATTATTATTATTAATAATTATTATTTATATTTATATAATTAAAATTATTTTATTATAATTATATAATTATATATATTATAAGGTTATTTACAGGTTATATAAAATGTGGTTGCCAATCAGCATAGTAACTTAGTATGGAATCAGAACGAGCCAGATCTAGCAATTTTCTAAAAACAGATTTGAAAATACTGTGAGAAACATTAACACACTTCCTTCTGTCGGTGTGTGTCACAGAGCACGCCGACGGCCTGTGTCACTGTCTGACTGACGTGTGTCCAGTGCTGAAGCCTCAGACTCAGGGTCTGGCACGGGACGCCTGGGAGATCCCACGTGACTCTCTGAGACTGGACGTCAAACTGGGCCAGGGCTGTTTCGGAGAGGTCTGGATGGGTAAGGCTTCTTCTTTCAACTTCCTTCCATCAAAAAATGAAGCTTTGTGACTTAAATAAGAAGTATAATACCAGAGCGCTTGTGTAATGATGCATTCACATAACAGACAAAGCTTGTTTCATGACTGAGTGTCCTTTTCCCCCTCTTCAGGCACGTGGAATGGCACGACACGCGTGGCCATCAAGACCCTGAAGACGGGCACGATGTCTCCTGAGGCCTTCCTGCAGGAAGCGCAGGTGATGAAGAAACTCCGCCACGAGAAGCTGGTGCAGCTTTACGCCGTCGTCTCCGAGGAGCCCATTTACATCGTCACTGAGTACATGGGACAAGGTCAGTGCGGACGTTCAGTGAACTATATTGGGGTAAAGAAGCCTATGAAATAAGAACTGACAGAAAGATGTGTAACTTTGGATATTAGCAGCTTTCTTGTGAGGTCTCCCGATAAAAGTGTGAATGAAGACGTTGAGGTGTGATTTCTGCTTTCACAGGAAGCCTGTTAGATTTCCTGAAGGGTGACATGGGGAAAATGCTGCGGTTGCCTCAACTTGTGGATATGGCCTCTCAGGTACTTTTACTCTGGCATTATCATATATCATCTAGTAATGAAATCTTTTGATACTAAAAACATTGTATTAGAAAATATACTCAACGGATCACAAGTTTGGGGTGGGTATGAATTTTTTATGTTTTATAAAGAAGTCTCTTCTTTCCACGAAGGCTGCATTTATTTACAAAAATACAGTAAAAACAGTGAAATTGTGAAATATTATTACAATTCAAAATAACCGTTTTCTATTTTAATATAAATTAAAATGTAATTTATTTCTGCGATGCAAAGCTGAATTTTCAGCATCATTACTCCAATCTTCAGTGTCACACGATCCTTCAGAAATCACTCTAATATGATGAATTTGCTGCTCAAGAAACATTTCTGATTAGTATCAATGTTGAAAACAGTTGTGCTGCTTAATATTTTTGTGGAAACTATGATATACATATTTTTTAAGATTCGTTGATGAACAAAAAGATCAAAAGAATAGGATAATTTAATGCACAAAAGTATTAATTAGTTTTAAAAAAAACATACTAATATGATTAATAAATTATATTGGAGCTGTAACTTAAACACATTTTCATGATTGCAAAACGAACTAAAATAAAACCGTAATAGCCACAAATTAATTTTAGTTTTGAAGCAGAATTGATTTCCAATCTTACAACCTGAGGTAAATAAACATGAAAATCCCCCTATATAACACTAGCAATGACACTAGGTGGTCCTGAAAAACTAAATTTGCAAATAAAGTGAATTAATAAAACCGTCATGGAACAAAAACTAAACTGAAAGGACAAAATAAACAAAACTCAAAATTGAAAACTATATAACCCTGCATTGAAGGACAAACCATATTTAGAGAGACCTGAAATCGTAAAGAGCATCTACCTAAAAATATAAAACACCATTGTTGTGCAGTTTGCGCACGTGCAAGCACAACTACCATTGTCTTCATAGTGTATATAAATCTATTTATATTCTGTGGATACTCTGGAGGGCGGCAGTGTTATAATATATGTGTTGTCCTCAGATCGCCTCTGGAATGGCGTACGTGGAAAGAATGAACTATGTGCACAGGGACCTCAGGGCTGCCAACATCCTGGTGGGTGATAACCTGGTGTGTAAAGTCGCTGACTTCGGCCTTGCTCGACTCATTGAGGACAACGAATACACAGCCAGACAGGGTGAGGAGGAACACAACAACTGGTCGTTTTCCATTCTCTTCACGTCTTCAGTTTTCCTGAGGCCGTAACGTCATTGTCTCATTTTCAAGAGTTAATACTGTTGCCTTTTATACAGTTCGACCTTAATTGAATGGGTTTAATCATGGTGACAGACCTCTCTTAAATCATTATTACAACAGGAGCAAAGTTTCCCATCAAGTGGACAGCGCCAGAGGCGGCTCTGTACGGGCGCTTCACCATTAAATCTGACGTGTGGTCGTTTGGCGTCTTACTGACGGAGCTGACGACCAAAGGCAGGGTGCCTTATCCAGGTACTCCCGCTCTCCATGCTTCCAGTCATTCCAGTATTACTAGTCATTTTTGTTGTACCAGTTATTAAGTCACTGGTTTAGATTTTAGAGTTTAGATTAAAAAAAAAAATACTTATAGAATATAGATTTTTTCAAAATGGAATAAATGTTTTAAAGTATTGAGTCCGACGCTGGGTTTCATCATCTACAAAAAAAAAAAAAAAGTAGAATATATTTATATTTAGCCTAGAAAATCATAACTTTACATTTTCCGTCGGTCTTAGTGCACGATGTAACTACAGAAGAGTCAAGTTTTAAATAGGAAAAATATCGAAACTCTTTGGTCATTTTTTTTTTTTTTTTAATGATCTTGTCCACTTCAATGATGTATGCTAAGCTATGCTAAAAGTGGTTCCGCCAGAACCGGAGATTGGCTGAATGGATTCAAAAACAGTTAACTTTGCGGGAGTTGTAAAATGAGCCTATTTCCAAAAAAAAAAAAAAAAAGTGGAGTATTCCTTTAAGCTCACGATGCTTTTGGGAAACACAGCGCAGTAGAGTTTAGCTCCAACCCCAATAAAACTGAACCAGCTAGTTAAGCTCTTAACTTCCAGGCAGGTTTATTGAGGCAAAGTGGGAGCCAAACGTTGTAGGACGGTGGCCTTCCAGGACCGAATTAAAGGAGTAGTTCACTTTTGAAAAAACTTTTGCTGATAATTTACTCACCCCCATGTCATCCAAGATGTCCATGTCATTCTTTCTTCAGTCGAAAAGAAATTAAAGTTTTTGATGAAAACATTCCAGGATTTTTTCCATATAATGGACTTCAATGGGAACCAAACGGTTCAAGGTCCAAAAGACACTTTCAGTGCAAACTGCAAACTGTTCAAAAGGCTTTAAACAACACCAGACGATGAATAAGGGTCTGATCAAGCGAAACGATCGCTCATTTAAAAAATAAATAAGATAGTTTAAGTTTTATAAGCTCACATGCTCGCCTTGCTCTGTTCTGTGACGCACGTTCGTGACTCTCCTGTTCGAACACGTTCATCAAAATGAACGAATATTTTTCCGAGTCATTTGGTTGATTCAACGAACGAAACGAACAAATTGACTTGGAAAAAGATTCGTTCATTTTGACGAACGAGTTCGAACAGGAGAGTCACGAACGCTCATCACAGAACAGAGCAAGGCGAGCATTTGAGCTTATAAAACTTCAACTTTATTATTTATTTATTAAATGAGCGATCGTTTCGCTTGATAAGACCCTTGTTCATCCTCTGGAATCGTTTAAAGCCCTTTGAACAGTTTGCACTGAAACTGTCTTTTGGACCTTGAACCGTTTGGTTCCCATTGAAGTCCATTATATGGAGAAAAATCCTGGACTGTTTTCATCAAAACTCTGACTGAAGAAAGAATGACATGGATATCTTGGATAACATGGGGGTGAGTAAATTATCAGCAAAGGTTTTTTTTTGTGTGTCATAATGTGTGTCATAATTTCCTCCGTTGACGACCCACATTCTTTGCCTGGTTAAAAAGCCCCATTCTGACACCAGACCCACATCTGTCTTGTGCTCAGGTATGGTGAACCGGGAGGTGCTGGACCAGGTGGAGCGCGGGTACCGGATGCCCTGTCCCGCCGAGTGCCCGGACTCCCTTCACGAGCTCATGCTGACCTGCTGGCGCAAGGAGCCCGAAGAGAGGCCGACCTTCGAGTACCTCCAGAGCTTCCTGGAAGACTACTTCACCTCCACTGAACCACAGTACCAGCCCGGCGAGAACCTCTAGAGAGACCCATCCAGCCAAGTGTGCAAGCAGTGAAAGAGATATCATTTCCCCAATGCCTCGGGTAATCTGTGGCATACCCCAAACCATATTGATCCACATGGGATGACAACAGAGCATCCGGCGCTCTAATTCATCCCGTTTTAAGCAACTTATCGTGTCTTCAAATGGTCTCCGTGTCACAGCATCGCCCTCTGTAATCATCATCGCATGTTTTCCACTGCTTTCGTCTAAAAACAGGAAGTCGAGATGCATCTTTTCCGCATCAGTTCACTGATCATTATGTCCAGGCTTTTTATTTCCGAAGCGGTGCGGATTGATCTGTTTTTCTTGACCTCAATGTACCACCGTCTTTCTCCTAAAGCTTTTAGCAGATGCTCCAGATCTGTCATTCATCCTCCTCCTCCTCCTCCTCCCACAATCCCTCATTTCTCTCCTCTCCCATCCCCCTTCATCAAGCTCCATCAGCTCCGGTGTTCTTCATGAACCCTGCGACCCCGTCCACAAGTGTGAGATGTGATTGTCCAGTAGGAGGCGTCTGACATCTGTGATCGCGGCTGCTTTACTGCCCTCTTCTGATGAACGGACGTTCCGGTTTATGTCTTCCAATAGATATCCAGGGTCTGTATCTGAACGTGGTATTTTATGCCTTTTACTGCTAGGAAATAGCTTTTTGTCCCACTTTGCTTGTTTGTTTCTTTTGTATCAACCTGGATCAACTGGAATAAGAATGTGATTGGTTGAACACTAGTCACATGACAGACAGGGCGAGGGGAAAAAAAAAACGTTCGGACTGAAATAATTGAAACTAAACATTCTTCCTTTTGATATGAACTCGTACACAATTGGAGAATCGTACAGAATGTTGATTTCATTTGATAGTTATTCCACTCTAGTATTCAAAATTACTACTGATATATATATAGCATTGTTTTTGTTTAAAGCAGAGATGACTGTGTAGTCGAACTTTGTGTGCCAATACAAAGGGAAAAAAATGAATTTTGTACTGTTTTATTATGTAAAAAATGTATTTTTATTAATGTAATTTTTTTGTATCAAAGACGATGAGCAGGCTTTGTATCTATAGAATTTAAAGGGATAGTTTGCTGAAAAATAACCGTCATGTCTTTCCAAACACAACTGAGACGTTTAGCCGAATGTTCATGCTGCTCTTTTCCATATACGATACTTTTACTTTTATTGCATGGGGAAAATGTCCGCTAAACGCCTCTTTTTGTATCCTACGGCAAAAATAACAGCATAAAGGTTTGGAAAGACTCGAAAATGAGTGAATTATGACATGTTATCGTTATGTGAACTATTCCTTTTAACACTCATGAGTATTGTTCAAGGGATGTCTCCTCAAAGCTTTTTAAATGCTTGAATTTCAAACATTTGAGCTTTTTCAGTTGTTTTAGCTTTTTTGAGACACACACAAAGTTGCCAATATGTTATATGCAAAATAGCCATTGTTATATATTGAGATGAGAAGAGGAAGCTCAAGTCTCTATACTTTACCATTATAAGATTCACAGAAAGTCGTGAACATGCCTGCTGTGAGGTGTTACACATTAGAAACCGATCTTAGCTCAGTTACTGTGATGGTTTGAGGTACCCGAATAAATATTATAATCACTGCTGAGACCGTGTAGAACTCGATAGATTTGAATTGTTGGGTTGTTGTACTGATATGATGATGGTTGCATTGAGCATAAGGGTTTGGATCTGTGAATTGTGGGTAACGTCGAGTTGTTTAGAATGGCATGCAGCTGTAATGGCGGTACTTTAGCTGGTAGATGAGTGACGCCTGTCGATATACTGTAAATACTTTCGTTTGGTTACTGTAAATATTCTTTTCATATTTATTCATGATCAGCAGATATTTGCTTGTTTCGCCCCTCAAAAAAAAAAAAACGCAAAGAACATTGTTGCTGCAACGCAAATCTGTTTGTTTTTTTCTAAGATATGCAACTGAAATGTAATGCGATTGCTTTTTAATGCTGAATAGAGAAGCGGCCAATCACAAATCGGCAAGCCACCATGTTTTAGTTGCTGTGTATTTATTTAAAATCTCCTATTTTCGCCTCTTGCGTTACACTAAGTAAATCCCCTTTAAGAATAATTTCTTTACGTGTGACTCGCAGCACATTGAAGTACTGTGTTTTATTATTTCTTTTTAATTATTTTACCTTGCAATAAATCTGCGGTTGATTCTGATAGGTTGTTACAAAAGTTAAACTACACTATGTGCGTCGAGGATATTTGACAATGGCATGTTCTTGGTCCTGAGTGAAATGACGGCATATGTGTTGTAGAAATGGAGAATAAAACAATCACAAAGAAAGAAAATTAATCAGATCTACAAGTAACTAGAATATTAGTGCAACCATGTAACGCATTGAAACTATGCAGTTGTTTATCTGTGTTTTAACTGCAGTTGCTCACAATCAAATTCCAGGTACAATCTTTCTCCCAGTGTACAATTCTGCAATGACCGGTTTTAAAATAGGAAATTACACTGAAATGAGAAAAAAAAAATATGACATGGTGTTATCTTTTTTTTCTTCCTTTTTTTTTTTAAAGTGCAATAAACTGTGTTTCTAAAGCTTGGATTTAAGCATGAGGGGTTTTTTTTCAGCAGCATGTTTTCAGTTTAAGCACTGATTTGGTTTCCTTGACAAAAATTGCTTTGATTATTATCATTAGCCATTACTGTTTTACAGCTGATGCTAAAACGAAATGCAGTAAAAAATCTGCCCTCAAGCGATTGCTATGATGTTACTAAGCTGAGGGTTTAAGGGGAATTGGTACAATATGGAGTGTTACTTATGAACTAATGGATCATTAATGGTAAAGCAGCACAGATCTTCAACTGCAGGGTAAATGCATCCAGTGTTGTAGTACTCGAGACTCGGACTCGGTCTCGAGACCATATTTTATGGTCTTGGTCTTGTCATGGACTCGTGTCCATTTGGACTCGGAATTGACTCGTACTCGAACTTTTTTTTTTTTTAGGACTCGGCATTATTCCCGAGTCCACTCGAGTTCAATTAAAAATATTTTTTTTTGATGATTATTAATGTATGTTAATAAAATATTTCTTTAAATTGATTGACACGCCCAGTGATTGGTGATTTTCTAGTGCGCAACTGCGCATGGCAAATTGTAATAAAATTACTTTTAACACCACCTACTATGTGGCCTTTTTACCCTAAACTGATCATATTTTTAAAACTCTAAGTAAATTCAGTAAAAAAAAAAAAAAAAAAAAAAAAAGGATTTCTCTAAGTAAATAAAAGTAAATTAGGTAATCAACCCTCATTGGTCTCGGTCTCGACTCGGACTCGACCGTCTCTGGTCTCGGACTCGACTCTCTATGGACTCGGTCTTGACTCGGACTCGAGTGAGGTGGTCTCGACTACAACACTGAATGCATCTGTACATGCTGCTGTGATGCATTCATGTGCATGCTGATGATTATTATTATTATTATGATAATAAACATTCCATGCCATGCTTTACAAAAAAAAGTATAACTATAATACGCCTATGCAATTTCAAGTATGGAAAACACATTCATATAGAATACAAACTCTAATACTGCAGGATAAGCAATTGTAAAGCTACCAGTATGATTTAATCAGAGAAGCTCAGTCGATGTTTCTTGCCTATACCGAAAGCCAGTTTCTTGTCCTTTAGCGACACCTACTGTTCTGTTAACAGAATCTGCACTGTTTACATTCAGTATAACCAACCTGTAGGTGAAAATAAATGATAGCAGTTATATTGTTTATTCGAGTTAGATATTACGTCTAACAGGGTAAAATGAAATGAATCGCACATTTTTATTCACCATGAAATTGTGATATAGGCTTCTTTTGATATGTTACAAGGTTGGATAAACTTCTCTTTTTTGAAAGAATAACTTGTTAGACTATGAATACAGCTTTGAGCAAAGTGTGAAAGTAGGTGTGCTGTGCATGTGCTAGAACCAAAACCATGTGTTGCAAACAGCTTCTGCAAAATAACACCTGTTTCTCTCTTTATTAACAGTGCCTGAAGAATCATTTCGAAAGTTTTTTTAGGGTCATAAATATAGGTCTGATCTCTGAGAGTCGCTAAAAATATAAGATAAATGATACATACTTTAAAAGATCAGAAAGTATTTAAAAGACTTAACAAAATTTGAAAAGTAAACCCGAAATAGTACTTTGCAATAACAACAAGTCTAAAACAAATAAATAATTGTTTTATCAAACTGTTGACAGAAGGCGCACATGGGGGAAATACTTAGCCTACTATTATTAAATTTATAAAGTTTATCATTTACTGGGGTAGTAAAGGTTTAACAATCTCTGGTTTAAAACATGGATATTAATTAGGTCTACGTCACGTTGACGTATAAAACACTTCAGGTCCACAGAGCCGTTGAAAAACGAAGGTCCAGAAGCAGCATCCAATAGTAAACAGTTTTTATCGGGGTTTTTTATTAGATAATATGAAAATAAATATACATTACAGCTTGCTTAACAAACAAGAATGCAGCTAAGGAACTTTGATTTATGAATGTAAAAGTATACGACAAAATTGCATTTTTTTTTTTAGATCAGTCACAGTATAAAAAAATAATTCACCAACTAACTAACTAACACATTGACAAAAATGTAGTACCATGTTTACACTTCGTTGACAGACATATTTACGCTCTACGTCTTTCAGCCAATCAAATGGCCGAACGTCACGTTATATAGTTAATATTCATGAGTCTTCCTTCTTCCTAGACCCTACTAGTATCATTCGTAAATTCACGGGCGAGTCACCGCAGGTGAGTCGGAGTCAGAGAGATAAACAAGAAGGTACAACTTACAACTGGGGTTAAGGAACCAAAGCTGTCTTTGGAAGGTACTGTGCTACTTCATTTAGTTTCACTTGAATCACACATATGTCTTGTCAGTCGATAACTTTTACAGCAAACTAACAGCAAGTATTGAACGTCAGTCAGTGTTGCACTGCTTGAATGAGACGGTTGTGTTTTAACGGTTAAAAACTCTTTACTGTGATGACATGTTTTCTGCGATGATGGATCCTGATTTCACGAACCGGAATCTTGAAAATAAATATACATTATATGTATGTTTAGCCTAGCCTACAGTACCGTATATAGACTGTTTTTTAAAAAAAGTATATGCTAACTTTACCTGTAGCCGTAGGTATGTTGCCATCAAATATGCGTCACTTTTCTACATTCTGTGTTTCTAAAATGTTTTTCTCAGGTCGTAGATTATTGAGGGCATGGTACTACAATCTTACATGTCTAAAAAGTGCTGCAACAATGTAATTAAGTCCAACATTTCTCGCACATTTTTCTGGCATATCTGAATATCAGATATCTGAATGGTAAATAACATGGTATGTAACAATCGTCACGGTAACAATGTCAACGTAAGTTACAATCTGGCAACATCACTGTGCCATGGTAACACCAACGTTGGCATCGATGAACCATGAATCGTGTGCAATTCTTGCATATTTTATAGAATCATATGAATAATCATCACTGAATGGGATTCAGTAGCACTACTAAAGCCATTTTTACAGAGTGAGGGCTTTTTCTCCTTGTGTTTCACTTAATTCTCACTGCAAAGTGCATGTCACTCTTATGATTGTTGTTGTGTTTGGTGTCTTTTTGTGTTATATAAGTTAAGGCACCCTTTTATGCCTTTTGGCAGTTCTGTCTGTTTCTATTGCAAACTGCTTCCTGAGATAAAGTCTTTCGGGATGTTGCAGAAACTTGTTGCCGGCAATGTGTGTGTCTGTGTAGTGTTGGGTATAACATAACTTGTAACCGATGATAGTCTTACTTGTGAGTACAGGGGGAAATTCCCCTCATTATTACCCAACTTACTCTGCCTTAAACCAGAGACTTTAATCTTTGCTCTGTTATATTGCTGTTTGTTAACAATGACTGTTATCAAGATTGCATTATAAACTTGCTCTAAGTGCGTAGCCTACTTTGTGTTGTGATTATGAATAGCTCATATCCTTCTGGTACGTGTGAATTTGAAACTGAAACAGCACCTTTTATATTCGTGAATGGATGAATGTCACAAAATGTCAAGAACATGGTTGGGTCATATTTCTCACAATGACAGAACAAAGTTGACTAAGGTTGATGACTGAAATGTATATCTAAAAAAGTTTCTTAAGTTGCACAGAAGCAGTCAAAAGTTTGGAAGCGTACTATATTTATGTTTTTGTATGTTCAGAAAAAAATAAAATATTGTGAAATATTATTACAATTTTAATTAGGCAAATGGTTTTCTATTTTAATTTGCTTTAAAATATAATTTATTTCTGTGATTCAAAGCTGAATTTTCAGTATTATTACGCCAACCTGATTTGATTCTCATATTATTAATGTTGGAAGCAGTTGTGCTGCCTAATATTTTTTTGAAACCTGTGATACTTTGGAGTCATTGATGGAATAAAAAGTTAAAAAGCATTTTTTCGAAATTGAAACCTTTTCCAACAATATAAATCTTTACGACTTTTTATATTTCTTGCTGAATAAGTAATCATTTCTTCCAAAAGAAGAAAGAAAAAAATTACTTACCCCAAACTTTTGAACCGTACCGTAGTATAGGCTATATATATTGTTAGAAATTATTTCTATAAAAATATTAAGTGTACAACATTGATGATAAATCAAGATCAGAATGATTTCTGAAAGCTCATTTGAGACTGAATTAATGATTCATTGATCACAGGAAAATTATTATTTTAATCGTAATAATATTTCACAATATTAAAATTTTTTTCAGTATTTTTGATCAAATAAATGCAGGCTTGATGAGCACCCAAAAATGAAAATTGTGTTGGTAATTACCCTGTAAGACTTTCGTTCATCTTCAGAACACAAATTAAGATATTTTGGATTAAATCTGAGAGCTGGATCACTCCTCCAATGTAGGATTACACATTTATTTAAAGAGATACTTCAGGATTTTGCATTAAGCTTTGTATTAGGAAACCTGTAGTATTTTCAAATTAACATGCTTTCCATCCTCAAATCCCCCTGAGACGAGAGATTTATGTATTTTTTGTCTGGAAAAAAATCCTCCGATGTTACAAATTGATGATTACGTTTTGCACTACGATTTTTTTGTCCAGAGGCTAAAGAATACAGTCAGTAGTAGGGTCTGTCCCACATGTTCTCAACCCACTCATCGGTAATCACGCCTGCGGCCCTCACTCGTCCCGCTCGCCACAGTAAACATGATGAATGGCGACCGGAGAACGCAAAAGCCCAATCCCGGACATTTTGGGCGATCTCGAAACACATTGACTCACTAGTAGCCTTTGTTGTTTAACTAATGCTCTCTGTTACCGGTAGGCGTGGCCTCCTAGGGCAGCGAAGCAAGTGCATTCTGGGAGTCGTTGTCTTTCATTCACATAAGCCAAAAATACATTTTCTGGCTTTTTATCAGTCTAGAAAGCTCCAAATTCAAAAATAATTTCACATTTCTTCTACCTAACTGACCCATTTTAAATACACATTCATCTTTCCAGAGGTAAGGTATTAGCCCGTTAAATGTTTAATGTATATTCAAATACAATATTCCTGACTGTTCTCTGTCACCTGTTGTTTCCTGTTCTCGTGTCTCATGCTTAGCAGGTTCCCAAACCTGTATACCCTTTTTGCATGTTTTTGTTTCAGTTTCTCCACCTCACCTCTAACCCTTCCCCCTTGAAATGTATAGAAACTACAAGGTATTTTGCCTTTAGTTAGACTTGACTTGATGAGGACTGCAGCTACCAACAGCTCGTGTTTCTCAATAAACAAGTCTCCTGGTCTTCGCTTCTGAGTTTCTACACTTTAGAAGAAAAAGTTCACAACAATAGGCTTCTTAAGGGATCGAAACTCTCCGGCCAAAAGTTACGAAAGACATTGTTAAAATAGCCTGAGTGACAACAGTGGCTCAATCATAAGTTTGTCAAGCGACGAGAATACGTTTTGTGCGCAAAAAAACAAACTATTCATTTCTAGTTCATTTCTACTTTCATAGTTGACTTTATTGCAGCTCATTCAGTCAAACTGAAGGATAAAGATTATTTTCTACCTGATAATTTGGAATTATTTTCTCTTTTGAATGGAAGTTCACCACACTGCCTCCCATCATTGAGAATGCAGGACAATTGAAAATTCAATTTATCATTATTATATGGCTTGTACGTGTTCTTGACAGGCTCTTTGTGTTTGTGAGATCCACCCACTAGATGAGAAGAAGTGTTGATGTGTCAATGGCGTACTGTACCTGATGTGTTGTGTTGAACGTCTCACATCTGTTCCACATATCACAGGCCTTTATGTGCAAACAACAGCGAGCCCGACATGTAGGCAGTAGCCCTAGCATTTGTTAAGCATTAATGTGAACAAGACATGACTGTCTGTTTCCAGGAAGTGATCATGTGTGAGAGACTCTTTTGTGCTGTGAGGCCATAAAACATCCAGGAAGTGCTGCAACATTTGTTTGAAGCCTGTTTGAAGCAATTTGTTGGCACACAGGAGGCTGATTATGGGTTTTGAACACGGAGGCATGCACCAAACCCCCTGAAGTCACGTGCTGTTTTTTCTCACACTGCAAAAAAACAAGCACCTTATATCTGAATGTTGTACGTGGCATCATTAGAGATGAGGTAAAACAGGGAAATCAGTCATTACAACAGGGATGTCACATGAGTATAACATCATGCTTGATCTCTCAGTATTGAGTGAGTATGCCCTCTTTATTATACCATAGGCCTATGTGCTTTGTTACAAGCCTCTATTTTAAAGGAAGTACTTGCTTCGCACCCTGAGACAAGATCTGAGATTGCTATGAAGATTGGATCATTTTGCCTTATCCTTTTAATTCAAAACCAAACTGCGTTTAAGTAATTAAAAGTAAGCAGTAGCACATTGTAGAGTTTATGCTTCTAGAGATTCCAATGTGGTTCTAGATCAGTAATTTAAGATGGTAAATTAAGTTTAAAAAAAAAAAAAACACTTTCACTTTTCAGATGTGATGACCTTTCTTGTTTAACTTGCCTGGTGTTTTGCACAAGTGAAGTATTTATTGTATGTAATTGCATCAAAGTGAAAGAATGTCAAAAATGATCGTAGGCCTCTTTTTGTGCTTCGTAAGAACCTCCATCATGTGATCTGGAGAGTTTTTAATAACTCAGACAGACGCTTTGCATTTATGAAACCCACAAGTCTTTCTTAGAGATGCAAGTGACACTGAGTGTTGCAATGTATTCCACCATGTTTTTGTGTTCAGCCCAGTGACTTGCATTGCAATATTGCTGGAGTGGTGACAAATCTCTCTTAAGCCCGGAACATACCAAACCGAGGCCAAAGAACTAGCGTAGATGAAAACCGACAGTGTTGTCGTCTCCTGTCGGGGGGGAAAAGCTGCGCTTGAACACACTGAGGGAACTACAAGCGACTGTCAGCTAGAATGTCACCTTTTGTTTTGCTATTATCCTCGTGCACTGATTGGCTGTTCGGCTTAGTGAACGAGTCAGAGTTCTCACTCTCACCGACGGCCCGATGCCGATTCATCATGTCGAATCGGCCGAAAAAAAGCAGACGAGAACCAATTTCAGCCGACCCTTAGTGTGTCCCGGCTGATTAATTACAATTCCTACAAAATCATGTATGACAAATGCTGTTTTAACTATGTTATCTATATTCTTTTCAAGAATTGGCTTTTATTAATAGACTGTTTATTCAAAGCAATGAAACAACTGTTAAAAAAGTACATAAAGTTTTAAAATCAAAAATAATTTAGTGAATTACATTTAACAATTATCAGCAAAACACCATCATGTATTAATGATAGTTTAATACAAAGAGAGTGCCGATTACACAGAGTACTTTAGCGTTTAAAAATGCTAAGATGCAGTGAAATGGGGAAAAAAAATCCCGAGACATGTTTTTAACTTTACACGTCTTTTAAACGCGCTGCTCTCTTGTGCGAGACGTGAGTGCAATGGTCAAACATGTCCATCTAGCGCTTGTGTACATAGAAACCAATGGAAACAGCACAGAAAATGCATTCTGTGTGATTGGTTTGCTTTCAATTTTAACATAGCCAAGATCTTCTCTATTTCTGCAATGTTTTGAATGAACAACTCCACAGTGCTGCACTAGTGGGTTAAACTGAATCGGCTATCAAAAACATTAAAATGCAACAACTCTCACATCATCATGGTATCTTGTGCGTGGTGCACCACTGATAATAAGCTGATGCACACCTCAAATTTGAATGCACTGTTTTTGCATTCAAATATGGATTTTTATTTTAATTTCGACCAATATATGAAATTTCTAATTTTAGTTTGACAGCTGTAAGTGCCAGTGTGCATTTGCTTAGTTTCTTTGTTGTCGGTGTGACTGTGTGACCTAGCCTAAAATAGTCTTGTGACGTATTCAGTCAGTCATATGTACTGTAACATAGGGCTGGGTAATAAATATCGATTTCTCGATATTAATCGATTCTCATTTTTACAAACCGATATCGATTCTTAAATCTCAAGAATCGATTAGTCATCCTGTTGTTTCATTTGAATGAATGAGACATTGTATCGCGGCTGCGCGTATCCAACAAATCGCAATAATCTTTGTCTCTTGTTACTATTGATATGAAACAAAGTCTCAATTTTCAAATTACGTCCATTTTCTTTAGAAATTCAAAAACAAAAATTTTGGCGTTTTGGCGCTGTGGCGTGAGATCGCTCTGGCGCAGCTCCAGAGAAGCAGCAGCGCTGATCTCTCTTCCGGCTTAATAATACCGGTCACAGCGCGAAATAAACATGAATGAGCATCTGAAAGTGTGTTAAAAGATCGAGTATAACTTATCTAAATCCGTATCATGTCACATTGATTCGCTAAATCTGCGTTTCAACCGTGGAAAGACGTCAATTAAACAGCTTGTAATCAATGTCATGTATCGTCATATTTACCTCAGAAAAACGTACATAAACTCGTTAGTCCACACTCGTTAGTGTTCTTCAATATTTAATGCATATTTGAATAAATCTGGCAAGTTTTTATGACAGCCACCATTTAAATGTTTATATTTCATATAATCTTCTTATTATAAAAATAAATAAAAGTGTAATTTAAGTGTTTGTATAGTTAATTATTACCTTCATATTAGGCTAATGAAGCCTAGTAGGCTACAACTAGACTATATATAGACCATAGTTTACAGCATTTAAGAGATTTGATTCCCTTGAGAAAAATTGCCATTTATTGTAACTGATATCCAAAATAATCGATATCGAATCGTAATCGAATCGAATTGCAAGCTTGTGAATCGAAATCGAATCGAATTGTGAAATTTGTCTCAATACCCAGCCCTAATGTAACAGTCAATACTACAATCTCTTTACGTGATTGCTGGGTTAACAAAGGTTAACTTTACAATACTTTGTTTCCTGTTGAAAGTTGTCAAACTTGTTTCCACAAAACTCATTCAGACTCAGAGTAAGCAGTCGGAAACGAGTTTAGAGAGACTGAATCTTTTACTGAACAGTTTTCGACTCCGTGGGCCTGTTTACACCTGGTCACCTCATGCGTTTTTACTGATCGGATAGCTGTCTGATGTGTCAAAACGTTTCCATTTACACCTGCCCACATAAATGTGGGTCTGCAAAACAGATATAAAATCCGATCTTCAATTCCTGCATAAGACCATTTCGCAAGATGTAAACAACACTGGTCCAGAAGCACTTCCTGTTTCAGTTTTTTAACACTACATAAAAGCTGGGATAAAATACAACCAACAGAACATATAAAAATGAATCAAAAAGTTAAACAAACATCTTTAAGATGTTTTTACTTTACATGTGAAATAAAGAAAACAACCAGTGTTTACATCTTGCAAAATGGTCTATATGCAGATCTAAATGCAGACGGCCACCATTCAACCCCAAAGAAGTCATATAACCATTTCAATAACTCTGAAGCTGTTCAGTTAAGCTAAAAAAGCTGCATAGTGTCCCTTTAATAATGATGATTGTGCGTCTGCGACTAACTTCACTTTTAATGTCTGCAGTTTGCTAAAGAGATACTCATTTGCGGTGATGCATGTTGCATAGCGCCGTCATATCTGGCTATGACATGACGTATAGCCTAAAACACGCTCTCACACGCTTTATTTCTAAGCATTGTTGGGAGTAGTAAAGTTTACATATGTGGTTTTCAAGTTTCGTCTGGAATGTGACCCAGACCACCTTCTGATGTGGTTTGATGCGATCGGATTTGAGGCGAGGTCTCGAATGCGTTTCGTGGGGGCATTTACACCTCTGGGGCCAGTTACATAAAAAAAGTAGATTGGCCTAATTTGATACCGAAAAGTAAGATTGACTGCCCCTGACTAACTGCTAGTGGGTTGAAGGGATACTCCACTTTTTTTGGAAATAGGCTCATTTTACCACTCCCCCAGAGTTAAACATTTGGGTTTTACCGTTTTTGAATCCATTCAGCCGATTTTCTGATATTTAGAAGAATATTAGTAACCAGACAGTTTCTGGTCCCATTGACTTCCATAGTACGATACTATGGAAGTCAATGAGACCAGAAACTGTCTGTTTACTGATATTCCTCTAAATATCAGAAAATCGCCTGAATGCATTAGAAAACGGTAAAACCCAAATGTTTAACTCTGGGGGAGTGGTAAAATGAGCCTATTTCCAAAAAAAGTGGAGTACACCTGCCCACTTCATGTGTTGCACTAACATAGCCATTATGTTAAAGGGATAAACAAGCCTTGTGAGAAAAGAGGTGATACTGCATATCAAGAGAAAATGAAAGTGTTTTTTTACTTTAAAATAGCCTAATAGATGCACATTAAAAAAGCAAAAGCACACAAGCTGCCTGATTTGAGATGTCTTTCATGCTTGAAGCACAAATGGTGCTAGACGAGTTACGCACCAAAATAAATGTTCAGAGTTGGTTTAAATACCCTTTTAGTCAGCCTGTGAACAGTTGATTTTGTCACTCTTTCTGTTTGTAATCCTACTGTAAACTCTCTCGCTCTCTCTTGTCTCTGCAGGTCATCTAGCAGGCTCCAGCCCTCTCCCATCACAATGACCAACCAAACAGACTCTGTCAATCCCAGCCACGCTCTGTTTGACCGCTTTCTCCAGGCACAGACGTGTAAAGAGACACAGCAGAACTTCGTCGAGCTCTGTCGCCACCTGGAGGTCGACCCCAGGGACTACAAGTACTTCTACTGTAAACTGAAGGACAAACTCAACTACTGGAAAGCCAAAGAACTCTGGCAGAAGATCGACAAGAGAGCCGCCCATCCGGACTATGAACAGGGCAAGGCATGTCACCAAAACAAGGTACCATAAAAACATGAATAATGTCAGATGTTTCCATCTATGAAGTGGGAAAAGAAATCCAATCACTCTCTCTTTCTGTGTGTCAGTGTTTAGTGCTGGGTGCGGGTCCCTGTGGTCTCAGGACAGCGATTGAGTTGGTCCTACTGGGCGCTCAGGTGGTTGTGCTGGAAAAAAGAACCTCTTTCACGAGAAATAACGTCCTGCATCTGTGGCCCTACACCATTAAAGACCTGCTAAACCTCGGTGCAAAGAAGTTTTATGGAAGATTCTGCAGCGGATCCATTCATCACATAAGTGAGAATCTTTATAAGCTACAGTATAGTTTTTTGGTTTCATCATTAAATGAAATACATTCGTGCTTTCCATAATGTAACGTATCAAAGTATGTCAAATGTTTTTGAAAGAAGTCTTCTGCTCACCAAGCCTGTATTTATTTGAAAACAGTTATATTGTGTAATATTATTACGATTTTTTTCATTTAAATTTATTATAAAATGTAATTTATTCCTGTGATCAAAGCTGAATTTTTAGCTCATTATCTTTCAGAAACATTACTTATTATTATCAATGTTGAAAATGCTTGTGCTGCTTAATATTTTTGTGGAAATTGTGATACATTTTAGGGTTATTTGATGAATAGAAAGCATTTATTTGAAATATAAATCTTTTGTAATGTTATAAATGTCTTTACTGTATGTAACTTTTGAGCAATTGTATGCGCCCTTGCTGAATAAAATTAAATGTTGTTAAATTAGGATCAAAGTGAAACTCATCTAATTGCTGTAAATGCACATGTGTTCACTTTAATTCAGGAATAGTAATGAGGTCTGTGCTTCTCTATAGGTATCCGTCAGCTGCAGTTGATTCTGCTGAAGTTGGCCCTGATTTTGGGGGTCGAAGTGCACACAGGCGTGACCTTTGAAGGTCTGCTTGAACCATCAGGAACCACAGGTACAAACCAGCTCTAGTTGTGCACACAGGAAGTGGAAAGGTCTGCAGTCATGTAGTTCAAAACTATAACCTTTTGCCTCATAATAAAACTTTTTGCCTCACATTTACGAAGACCACAGTGGAAATAATTTTTCTAACTTTCTTGTGTCATTGTGATGGCTTTTTTTTTTTTAATAAATAAAAAACTCCTTTCTTTCTTTCTTTCTTTCTTTCTTTCTTTCTTTCTTTCTTTCTTTCTTTCTTTCTTTCTTTCTTTCTTTCTTTCTTTCTTTCTTTCTTTCTTTCTTTCTTTCTTTCTTTCTTTCTCAGGATGGAGGGCAGGGGTGTCTCCTAAGTCTCACGTGGCTGCAGCTTTTCAGTTTGATGTTTTTATTTCAGCTGGAGGTGGAAGATATGTGCCAGACGGTAACATTGTACAACAAAATCCCCTTTCCCTTTGAAATTCATTAAATATTTAATAAAATGTTTAATTTTGCTGTTGTAAAAGCTCCACTTATTAAAGTCACTTTTTACTAAATACTTGGAATATTTAATTTAAATTTAATTTCATTAATATAACTTAATAATGCAATTTAATTTAATTAGTTTTTATTTTGTTGTAAAACCCTTTATGATCCTAATCACTTCAAAATAGTTGGATAATCTAATTTGGATAATCTTTTCACTTTTATTTGGTCTCAATCCCAACTTTTTTGGGGTGTGTTGCAGCCATCAAAATCAAAATTTGTTCATATTTACAAAATACAATTATGTTGGTCAGTGAAAACATGTACTAAACACTAAATTATATTTTATTTAATTATTTTATTTAATTTTCATTGTTTTATTTTGTTGTAAAAACCCTGATTATCCAAGTAACAGTTTGTACTAAATTCTTAAAATAAATATTTTATTATTATTTGAAATAAATGTAAATATAAATTTTGAATTTTAATTTTATTGAAACTTTCCTTCTGTTGTTTTCCCCATGTCTTAAGGTTTTAAAATAAAGGAACTCAGGGGAAAGTTAGCCATCGGTATCACTGCAAACTTTGTAAACCGCCATACTAAAGAAGAGGCTCGGGTGCAGGAGATCAGCGGCGTGGCCCGAATATACAACCAGAAATTCTTTCAAGCACTTCAGTCTGAGATCGGTACACACACACACACACACACAATTTTTCACCTTATCTCACTGAGAATATACCATAGACTCTATTTTCATTATAACCATTTTTTACCTTGTGTCATATTTAGCTATCTATTGAGGACACGTTTGTTTCCAAAATAAAGTTAAATCAACCCACACGCCCCTTTATCTGTCCTGTTGTTTGTCGTGTTTTCAGGTGTTGATCTAGAGAACATTGTCTACTACAAAGATGATACCCACTATTTTGTGATGACTGCAAAAAAGACGAGCTTGATAAAAAAAGGAGTTATAAAGCAGGTACGATACACAGTGTGACACACGCAAAGTCTTTGCGAATACTTCATAGAAAAGCTAAACAGAGCCTAGAAAAGACGCCTTGATTTTATCAGCAGAGGTGTATGGTGATGTTTCCTGCTTACAGTACAAACACATTTATCAATCCTCACGCTGTTGTCCAGCTATTCTTGTCCTCTCCCGTCATTATATTCTCACAGGAATAGCTGGAGTCAGTTGCTATTTGTGTTCTGATAGAAATGCAACCTGTATATCGAGTGCAAATGGAGTACAAATGAAAAAATACCTATTGACAACAAAGATTTTTAAGCATATTTTTAAGCATTCTCAACATTACATAATAGCTGAGCTCACACCAAAGCTATAACTACTGTATAATTGCACAGAGAAATTGATTTTATCCAGCTGATGAACGATAAAAACATTGACAGCCAATCAGAACCCATCCTGCTGTAACGAGCTCAAGCATTTAAAGTGACAGACAAGCACGTGCTTAGAATAAACAGAACGATATCATCCGTCGGTGTTGACGCTAATATAGTTATCGTTCTCAATGTGAACGGGCTTTAACATTAACCCTTATGCTGCATTAGGGACATTATTTGGTCTTTTGCAGTTTAATTTCTTTGACCATTTTGGCTGTTTTAATGCAAATGGTATGAAATTTGGCAAAATTGTGACTTTTTGGATACATGTAAAAAATGTGATCCCATTTTGCAAAATATGTATAGCACACACTGTGTAGATCAAATAGTAACACTCAGCACCATAAAGACCAAAAATGGCCCATTGAAACCCATTAAAACGTTGTTTAAATCTGAGGCTGTCAGTAATACATGAAACATGATTTTTGCACAAACATCCTTTCATTTCGAAGCAAAAGCATTATATTTGCATTATATAGTGTATTCCACCAGATGACGTCACTACATATTTATTCCCTATGGGTGGAAATGCACCTTATTTTAGGCAATAGGCAATGTTTAATAGATGGCCATTTTTGGTCTCTAACGCGCTAAGTGGGATTTTTTGCAAAGTGGGACTGTGATAATCCAAATCTAAAGTTTTCTCTTTGCATTTAGTTTATTGAAAATAATTGAATTTTTGTGTTTTTTCCTCTTAAACAAATCGATGGTTTCGCAAACAAAACTGATAATTAAAGGGTTAAAATCCTGAAATTGAATACATTTTTGGTAGTTATGATGAGGACTGATGCTGGCTAAAAGATTTAACTTGGTAAAAGTGGAAAATAATAATAATAATATATAATATTTTAGGCAATGTTTAATATGTGGCCATTTTTGGTCCGTAATGCACTCAACGGTGTTAAAAATCTAATGCAGCACAAGGGTTAAACACTCCTTGTCTTGATCAAAAACGTTCTCGTTCTCAGGACTTCTCTGATGTCGAGCAGCTGCTGGCGCCTGCAAACATTAACCAGGAGGCTCTGCAGAAGTACGCATACGATGCCGCAGACTTCTCCACAGATCGCATGTTGCCGGCAATGGAGTTTGCGAAGAACCACGCGGGCCGCCCCGACGTGGCCGTGTTTGACTTCACCTCCATGCACAGGGCAGAGAACGCCTCTCTGGTGAAGGAGAGGAAAGGGAAGAAACTGCTCATCGGATTGGTGGGAGACTCTCTGGTAGAGGTGTGTTATTACCATATGAGTAAACATGGTCAATGTATTATTATTGACAACATTATGACATCAATTGATTGTTATATGGGTTTAAAATGAATTGGCGACCACTGTAGTGTCTACAGATATTAGCATTTACATTTATGCATTTTATCCAAAGCACCTTACATTGCATTCAAGGTACACATGGATATCAGTTTTTGCTTTTCCTGGGAATGGCATTGCTAGTGCCATTACCATGCAGTACATTAATAAGAATTAATAATTAACTATGAATGATATTATTGACATTTAGACTGACAATGAAAGCAATGAACTATTTCAGGACTTATTTTTAAACTAGGGGTTTCAAATGTATAAAGAGTCTTTGTTTGTACTTTATAATGTTCCATTCACATGAATGGACTACTTCCTTGTTCTGCTTATTACAAGTTAGTTTCGAGTAACAGCGTTCAGCACACCTACATACACGAGAACGCAGATTATTACTGCGTTTTATGGCTGTCAATTGATTAAAACAGTGAATCATATTCTCTGCGTTAACATGAATTATGTTAAACCTGCTGAAATGTTCCTATTTTCTTTCCAAATGTGAATACTGAATAATAATTAAATATATTTCCCCACTAACTATGGCATGAGAACACTCTTCTCATTAACGTTGTTTTTCTCTTACTGACCATATTTCATACCTTGACTTGAGTGTACATTTTTAAATGAATTTGGCTGATAAAAAGAACTTTTTCTGTTCTTTTCTATTCTTTTAAAATATTTGAATGGATGGATGCGCTGGAGTGCCTTAAATAAATGTAATGATGTTAAATATTTAATTCAAATAAATAAATGTTCGTAATTCGTACTTATTCACCAGGTCGCTAATTTAGACGAGCACTGACACCCTGTGGTGAAATAATCACATATTGGATTGGATCAAAACTTTGTTTCGTTGAGTTTGGTTTAATGTAAGCACTGTTTAAACTATACAATTAATAAACAGTATAGATTACATAATATTGTCTGTCATATTGGCATTGGCCCATCAAATCTAATTATAGCTATCATAGATAGACTTAAAATTTATTGTATTTTTATTTTATAATTTTTTTGCAGCCATTTTGGCCTCTTGGCACTGGCATTGCTCGTGGTTTCCTGGCTGCGTTTGACACGGCGTGGATGGTCAGGAATTGGGGACAAGGTTTGCCACCCCTGGAGGTGATCGCAGAGAGGTACCGAGTTTTTACGCCGTTTATAATGTTGAATCAATCTTTCCCCAAACTTTGAATGGTAGTGAATGTATTTATCAATATAAAAGCACAAATGATTCAGTGCAGTAGTGCATTATGCTGTGTGACTTCTACAGGGAGAGTGTGTATCAGTTGCTCTCTCAAACCACTCCAGAGAACACCAGCAAGAACCACACTGCCTACAGCATAGATCCATCCACGCGTTACCCGAACGTCAACCTGTCCTCTATACAACCCAGACAGGTCAAACACACACTCCTATACGCAAACTAACATGCATGCAAAAGCTGCTCGTAGTACCTAGCAATGATTAGTAATTAATGAACGGGTTTTTATCATCAGAGAGTTTTATTTAAGTCTGTTTGTGTTCAATTTAAAGGTCAAGCGTCTGTATGAAGTAGAGGATGATGAGAGTAAACCGAACAAACAGAGGAAACCCATGGTGAAAAATAAACCTAAAAAAGGTAAATGCCATACGACACATGCTTTTACTTAGGCTGCGTCTCACTATCCGATTTTTTTGCAAGGCTGTTCACATTTCCAATTAAATGCGACGTTTTGTGATCTCCTGTGTGAACGTGGACGTGAAATGACCCAGAAGTGACCCGCATGCGCAGAAGAGTACTCAACGGTCAATGAAATCCTAGGTTGTATCTATGAAGATTACTTATCGGCTTATACTATAAATCTTCTGAGGGAGAGAGAGAGTTTGTCACATATCAGTTATGTGCGGGTCGGATACATGTGACCTGGCCGTTCAGATTCAAGTTCAAATCGCATTTCAAAAGATCAGATACGTATCGGATTTGGACCCAATACCCAAATGGCCTGGGTCGCATTTGAAAAGATCGTATCTGTGTTGTTCAGACTGCCATAAAAAGATCAGAGATCGGAATTGGGTCATTTCAACCTAGAGTGTGAATGTAGCCTAATATACTTATATATATGACTTTATTTTATATACACAAACCCTCATATTTATATACATTTGTACATCAGATATCACTTTAACTTATAACACACTGAGGGTGTATTTAATATTTTAATTGAGTAGATGTTGGGAAAAAAAGCAGCACAACTTTTTCAACAATTCAAAATAATGTAGGATAACATTGTTTTCAATAATATTAGCGTTGTGCATCTGATTATGTCAAAAATGTGGGTTTCATAACCTGATGGAAATGCACAAAACTTACAGTGAAGTGATGAACTGAATGTGTGTGTTTAGACTCTATCAGACGTCTGGAGGAACTGCTGTCCTGGTGTCAGAAGAACACGGCGGGGTACGAGCACGTGAAGGTGAAAGATCTGAGCGAGTCCTGGAGGTCCGGCCTGGCTCTCTGCGCTCTCATCCACAACTTCAGACCTGAACTCATGTAAGACCACCTGACCATCAAGAAACAAGAGTATTAGCATAATTGATTTAACATGCAGAGCCCTATATACTACCAATAATCTACATTGTTTAAGATCCTTTAGATCTTTCATTCAATTTTTTTTTTCAAAAATCAATCCTTTCATTGAATTAAAACAATTGAAAGTGGGGGAAATCATATTATAAAAATAAATCTTTTTCTCAAAGACACGTTGGCCACAATTATTGGCACCCCTAGAATTTTTTACAAGTATAATATTTCTGAAGTATATTCCTATTAATGTTTACCTGACTAGCAACATTAAATTGTTTTGCCATGACTTCTTGTTTCACGGGAGTTTAAATATGAGGAAACACAAAGGCCAAATTCCCTTAATCATCCATTGCATCCATTGAGTAAAACCAAAGAATATAGTTCTGATGTGCAGCAAAACATCGTTGAGCTTTGCAAAATAGAAAGTGGCTGTAAAAAAATTGCTAAAGCATTGAAAATCCCCATTTTGACCATCAGGGCAATAATTAAGAAGTTAAACAATGCAGATTTATTTTTTACAGACATTTTTGGTCATATTTACCAGGGGTGCCATTAATTCTGACCACAACTCTATACTGTAGAATGATTTCTGAAGGATCTTGTGACACTGAAGACTGGATAAATTATGCTGAAAATTCAGCTGTGCATCACAGGAATAAATAACTTTTTTTCTGTTATTATATATTAAAATAGTTTTAAACAGTTATTTTAAATTGCCTTGATGAGCATTTGAGATTTCTTTTAAAAAAATCACACTTTTGATCATTAGTGTGCATACAAATAATATGAATGCTGTCCTCTCTTTCAGTGACATGTCTCAGCTTGATGAATATAATATCACTGCGAACAATAAGCTGGCCTTTGACATCATGGAGAAAGAGTTTGGTATCGCTCCCATCATGCGTGCCACTGATATGACCACCTGCGGTAAAATCGACCAGCTCTCAATGGTGGTCTACCTCACACAGATACGCACCGCCCTCACCGAGAAAGATACACCAGCAGGTAATGATGGGCCGTCATAATTATTAAAGGCACTTTTAATGGTGTTCCGAAATATATAATAAAACAATTTGTTACCTTCCTGTACGATGCTTATACAACATGTACATTTTCATCTTGGTTTTGTTACGACCTCCTTCTAATGAAATAATTTAAAAGGGAAAGGTGACAATGCCACTACTCAGAACTATTTTATTAATTCACTCAAGGCAATGTATGAGCAAAATCAAACAACATGCCAACCAATGAAGTATAGAATTGCAGACAACAACTAATAAAGAGAAATATGAAAGGCAAAGCATAACAAAACTCATAAATAACATAAAACATAAAGAGGCTGCTGTGCTGGCTGGCCTCCTTTCTCCTCCATTGGTGTCTTTATCTGCCAATTTCAATCAGCTACCCTTCAAATGATGAACAGGTGCGTCAACCTAACAGAAGGAGAGCGTGCGCGCGCTTATAGAGATAAAACGACACCAAAGTAAACGAGGGAGGGACGACAAAAAAAATAAGCATAAGACAGACTAAACCACAGATTTCAATACATGATCTATATGGACTAGAGAGGCAAGCTCTCATAATATCAGCGCTACTGTCTCTTTAAGATCCCTTCCCAGCATGCACTACTGTGAACAGGCAGTTTTCTGCTGTGGTGTGTAGTCTGACAGCAGCGGCTGCAGCAGCAAATGCACTCCGCTGGGGAGACATCAGCTGCTTACGGGGGGATTCGGAGGGAGTGGATCTGACTCCAGCCTCCACACGCACCGCTCTATGAGACGGATTCTGAAACGCCATCTGTTGAACGGGAATCACAGCCGTTAGAGGGGCTTTAGGGAGCTGGATCCAGCGTTTAGTTGTTGGATGCTGTGTTTGGGAGGGGATCTCACACAGATGTGCTCCAGGTTGAGCTGTCACTCACGCAGGCTCTGGATGTGTGTATTCTGGGGAAGGGGGTGGGATCCAATACAGCTCATCTCGAACACGCCACCGCAAAGCGCATATTGAATGTGACGTCTCGTATTTGTTGCAGTTTAAAGGGGTAGGAGGATGTTTTGTTTTTTGTTAACGTAATGATTTATTTATTTTTTTTCAGTTTGCTTCCGTTTTTATGCATTGCTGAAATGTTTTGTACAATTGCATCTAAAATGCACGGTTTATGTAAGGTTGTTCTGGATTATGAAATAATAGATTGCATTTAAGAGATTATAATTGATGCTTTTCTTGTTCACTCGTGTGTGAATCTGAATTTTATTATTTGTAATTATTATTGTTTTTTTTGTTATTTTACATTTAATTTAAATGTATTATTTATGTATGTATGCATTATTGTAGGACTACAATTAAAGTACAATGCTCTTAAGGTTTTGCTGCAATATAATATATCATGTTATGGGACAGATTACATTTTTTTTTTTTATTATCTGGAATCTGTTTATTACTTTACATAAAAATGTTCTACATTTCTTTCTTTTCCTTAAAAACTTATCGTAATATATGCATTGTACTTTACTTGTAGCTTTGCACGAGTAAACTAATCTACAAATGAAGAGTTCAGATGCAAAAGCCTCTAAATGCCATTTGAAATTTTCTTCTAGAATGATGATTTTTATCAAGCTTGTATATTTAAGTTCAGTGATTTCACTTAAATGGCAATGATAATTACCTATTAATTGTTATTTAAGTGAAATTACTGAACTTAAATATACAAGTTTGATAAAAATCATCATTAAAGAAGAAAATTTCAAATGGCATTTAGAGGCTTTTGCATCTGAACTCTTCAAATATATATGTGACACTATTTCCGGGAGACTAATTACTTCACATCTGTTCCCATTTGTTTTCTTCTCACTATTTCCATTCTTGTCTTCCTCAGGACGCTGCAACAGCCTCTCGCCCAGAAACACCCTCTCGCTGTCCAGAACCCGCTTGGCCGTCTCCTTCCTCAACACGCTCAAGCGCGACTCCCTTCAGAGACGCAGGGTACGCAAACACCTGTGTGTTATCATGTACAACAAAGCCCCATTTAGTTTACAGTGTAGCAGTGGTGCCTGTCAAAGGTCATCTTTGGTGCGTTGGGTTAAATAGAGCATGAAATCATGTCGTAATGAACCACAACATTAGGAGAACACTAAACGCCCCCATTACACACAGCTGTTGCCAAAGACAAATACTCCCATGCTGCGGCCACAATGAGGAAGTCGCATGAGAGAAAGCGAATAATTAAAGGACAAGAGAAAGTGGGGTGCTAGTGTTTGCAGTGCACGATAACGTCAAAATCATTGTTTATTTCTGTCGATCTGCTGTCGCCACATTACATAACCTGAGCTATAAATGAGATCATGTGACCCGTGTCTCTCAGGACCGACTGGCATCGGAGAAAGGACCAAGAAAGCAAAAGATGAAGGAGAAAGAGGAGGAGAAGAATGTGAAAGAGGAAAAAGTAAGGGTTGAAATATAGTTTTTCATTTAAATGGTGACTACAGTGTTATTGTGACGCGTTAAACATCATCTTGGAGTGAAGAATGATATTCTGTTGTTATTTCTGTGGTTTTTGGGATTAAACGCAACAAATGATAGAACTGTAGATGCAGTATGGGTGGCTTGATTATATATCAGCCTTTAAAAAAAAAAAAATCTCATGTCATGATAAAAAATTAAACAGGACTTTGGACAAAAATACCACAGGAAGTCAATGTCATCTTTATTTGTATAGCACTATTAAAACACAAGTTGACCAATGTGCTTTACATTCTCACTGTAAAACAGAAATAGAAACATACTACAATAGTAATAGAATAAAAAATAGAAGTAGAATAAAAATAAAAACATTTAAGATGAATTCAATAAGCCATGGGAAACAGATATGTCTTAAGTTGTGCTTTAAAAGCATGTACAGAGTCAGCATCCCTAACATGATGGCAAACTATTCCAAAGTCTTGACGCTACTACTGCAAAAGCCTGATCCCCTTTCTGGCTTAACTTAGTCCGTGGGAATTTTCAGCAAATTTTGACCTGATGATCTCAAAGTTCTTCCTGATTGATGCTCTATTAACAGAGCTGATAAATAAGTCGGTGTAAGGTCATGGAGTGATTTATACACCAATAAAAGAATTTTAAAATCGATTCTATATTGCACAGGGAGCCAATGTAGAGCGATCAGAGATGGAGTGATGTGTTCTCGTTTTTTAATATTCAATAATAATCTCGCTGCCGCATTTTGGACCTTTTGCAGCCGTAAAATAGAAGCTTGAATAATACCCTTATATGAAGTGGGGAAAAAATGTGGGCAAAAGTGTCCACTAATGAATTTTGAATTTTAATATATATGTATATTAAATAATAATTTAATATCTTTAACATAATCTTTAATTAAATATATATCTACTTATATTAAATAATTTTATTTAAAACTTGAAACCCCATTTACTAGTAAATAGACGAGAGATTAGAACTGCAAAACTTGTTAAAATATGGAGTGTTTATTGTATCTGTTGTGCGTTATTTTTAGATAATTTAGTATTTGATTTAAATTATATAGACTTTAAGCATTTGTACACACACACACACACACAACTTTTGGTTCCATTTGTCACGTTTTTGAATTCTTTGCTCTGTATCCATTATAAATGCAGTATCTTAAAGCGTTGTTTATGTCCAGTGTGCGACGCCGGTGGCCCCGATGTCCTCAGCGGAGACGTGTGGCACTGAGCTCTGCTATTTCTGCATGAAGCATCTGTACGTGCTGGAGAGAGGAAGCGCCGAGGGCAAGTTCTTCCATCGCAGTTGTTTCAGCTGTTATCAATGCGGCTCCACCCTGCGGCAGGGCGGATACACTTTCCTCTCCGACACGGGTAAGCCAAAAAAACCCTTGATATGACTTAAAGCTTCATATTTTATTTATTTGTCATACTAATTTAATTGAACTAAAACAAGGTAACTAATTGTTATATCATGCGCACAATTTAGTAAAACGAGGGAACGAATTATTTTATTGTGTCCACGATTTACTTCAAACAAGGGAACGAATTAGTAATTCTGACATCGATTTGTTAATTCATGGCCGCAATATATATATATATTTTTTTTTTCCTCACTTGTCATGGGGAAGTTACGTTTTGTTTAGTTTATTTTCGTAGATCAAGGTAAAATGTAGGCCTGACTAAGTTCTGAACGTTTTTTACATCATGCAATACATTTTATTATATTATTTTTCATGCACTCGTCTCTCATCTGCTGTCAAAAAACATCTTAAAGGGTTAGTTCACCCGAAAATGTAAATGATGTCATTAATGACTCCCCCTCATGTCGTCCCAAGCCCGTCAGACCTCCGTTCATCTTCAGGACACAGTTTAAGATATTTTAGATTTAGTCTGAGAGCTTTCTGTCCCTCCTTTGAAAATGTATGTACGGTATACTGTCCTTGTCCAGAAAGGAAATAAAGACGTCATCAAAGTAGTCATGTGACATCAGTGGGTTAGTTACAATGTTTTGAAGCATCGAAAATACATTTTGGTCCAAAAATAACAAAAACTATGCCTATATTAAACATTGTATTTTCTTCACGTAGTGAAACTGCGCAATGATTCTGTGTTGTACGTCACACGCATCACACACATGTCAATAGTGAGCCTGCGTGTGACATAAGCTTTGCGTAGTTTCACTCTGTAAAATTTTGAGGCCAACAGAGAAGGAAATGAATAGTTGAATAAAGTCGTTATTGATTATTTTAACGATGTCTTTCATAAGTTTTGGGCCGGCCAGTTTCGATCCCTTAAGAAGCCTATGGAGGAGTGATCCAGCTCTCAGATTTAATCAAAAATATCTTAATTTGTGTCCTGAAGATGAACGAAGGTCTTAAAGGGTTGGAACAACATGAGGGCGAGTAATTACAGACAGGATTTTCATTTTTGGGTGAACTAACCCTTTAAATGTTTAATGAAATATTACGTAACCTTTTAAAGATATTCATAACTCGTACAGTGTGGAACACAGTCTTATTAGATTATGGCCGTTACAACACATGTAAATTACAGTCAAACTCCTGTGCACCCTCTCAGTTTCTGTGGTCCATGATTCTTACATATAGACCATTTCACAAGATGTAAACAACATTGGTCCAGAAGCACTTTCTGTCTCATTTTTTTAACACTACATAAAAGCTGGGACAAAATACAACCAACAGAACATTAAAAACTGAATCAAAAAGTTAAACAAACATCTTTAAGATGTTTTCTTTACATGTGAAATAAAGAAAACAGTTACAAACTGAAACAGGAAGTGTTTCTGGACCAGTCTTGTTTACATCTTGTGAAATGGTCTATATTCATTCTTTATTGTCCTCAGTCTGTACCAGGAGCAACATTCAACACTTATAACATACATATATAAACAATGTACACATAAATTAGTGTTTCTGTGAATTCAGCGCTCTTATGGCTGCGATTACAAAGCTCCTCCCTAGCCGTGATTTCTTATGGGGTAGCTGTCTATATCTACGACCTGAGGGAAGAAGAGTAAAACATGAGTTAAGCGGGTGGCTCTGATTTTTTTTATGATATTGTTTGCTCTGCGAATGATCGCAGCGTCAATGAGAGCCGGCAGGTTGGGTGTGGGAAGGCCTATTATTTTTGAGGAAGTGTTAGTGAGTTTAAGAAATGATCCTGCTTTCCCTACAAGAAAAGTGTGGCTTGTTCAATAATTCACTGCTCGTTTGAAAACACTGCCTGTGCCTCCATGTTACAGCCCTCCGTATTTACAGCATGTTGTTGAATTTGATTTGTCTTCAGGGAGATTCTACTGTGAGCAGCACTCAGTGGCTGAGGAAGAGGAGGGTGATGAAGGTCACAGAGGCGCACAGGTATGAATCACATCAGAGCTAATGAGACGCTTGATTGCCTCCTATTTACCGTCGGATCTCGTTGTGTGAGGATACTGGGAACGATAATTATTTTTAGTGTCGATATTGCACTGAGAGTGTGGGAAGCGTAATAACTTTCATTAGCAAGTCATTGTTCTGTAGTTCATGTACACAGAAATATATGATTTATTTGGACATGATGCCATAAGAATACCATGTACCTTGGGAATATATTACAATCGTAACACTATTTTTACATTTTCTGAAGAAAATCTAAGAGGACCTTGGCAAATCTCTAGAGTGCTTTTTGTGGTTGTAGGTAGTTTTTTTTCTGCCTCTTGCTTTAGTTTTGTACACATTTTATTATCTATCGGATGAAAATCAGAAGTACCTTCAACTTAGAGAAGTAATCGCACATCCCACTTAAACAACACTTGATCTGAGTCATTAATGACCATAGTGCAAACTTACAGGAGTTTTATTAAATTAGTTTTATATGTAAAATGGTTTGATAGACCGATGGTCTTTTCTTCACTGAGATCTATTCAGCCATTTTGTTATGACGAGAACTAATGTGGGTCAGCTGCTGCGTCAGGGAAAACATTTCCTTTCCTCTCTTGCTCTTGTGTAAAATAGAAATTCTGTGTAAAGGAATGCTTGTGGTATTGGATTCCTGGTTAGTCATAAGATTCCTCAGAGCTGATGCAGTTTTCTGTGAGCTGCTGATATTTTTTTTGCAATCACTTTTGTGTTGTCAACTTATTCAGTTACCTAATCTAATGATACTGCTACTTATTTTAAACAATCATAATACAAGTACCCAAGGATGAGAGTGCTTAGCCAACATGTGTAACTTGCATCCTTGTATTAATGTCCCATTTAATGTTGTTTGGGGAATTTTCGTAGTCAAAATAAGATTAATTTCAATAGGAATCTGTGATCAGGGCCAAAGATTTCTCCTACCTGGGTTCAAATATGTGTGCTTCATATATCATTACACTATTGACCACATAGACATTTTTGCCTGTAAAGTTTTGCTAATGTGACTGTACCTTGACTGTGATGATAACAAACTTCAGTATTCAATGAGGTGAAGTTATCTTAAAATGTTTGCATATTATTCATGTTGGCTGTTTAATTATAGGGATTTCACAGTTTAACACATTCCTCTGAATGATTTTGAAACCTTAACAGTTTCATGAACAAATCGATTCTTTTAGTATTTGTAAGTAATACATTTTTGGAAAAAAGAAATTTAGTTTAATTTGCAAATGATGTGAGTTACCAACTAAATTTTAAACGACACTTTCAAAAGGTGTGTTTTTAATGACTTCCCAATTCTAATAAGTCTTTTTAGCGGTTGATCTGATACAGTATAAAATATTAACAAAACTCATAATGTTTATTTTTAACATGCCATATGAACTAGTCTGACAGTTAGCTGGATGTGTTTGATTCTTTCACTGATCACTTTATTTTTGATTCATTAAAATGAACGTGTTCAGCAAGATGCTCTTCAATATGTGGCTCAACCATGACCTTTCTTGACCTGAAATGTAAAATCAACCGTAGAAGAAGACACTGATTCAAAAATATGAAGCAGCGCAGCTGTTTTCAACATTCATAATACAAAATGTTTCTTAAGCAGCAAATCAGCACATTAGAATGATTTCTGAATTTGTGACGCAAAATTCAGCTTTGCATCACAGGAATAAATGATAGAGCCCGACCGATAAAGGATTTTGAAGGCCGATACCGATACAAATATTTGTTAGTTTTAAAATCCGATATTCCGATATATCGGCCGATAATATTATTTATTTATTTTTTAATTTTTTTCAGAAACGTGCAACAAAATAGTAACAGATTTCCATAATTGTAGTTATTTATGAGTTTTAACTAAAATATTATGAAAATGCATTTTAAAAAGAAACTTGTTTCTTTTATTGTCACAACAGAACAGAGGAACATCAAAATATTTTAAAGTTCTGATAAATAAAATAATTAGTCCCTACATTGCCTTATATACTACCTTATAATTACAATGTCAGCTTGCTTATCCCTTTACCCGCACTTTTTAAATTCTTTCCATCAAGCTACATCAAAGCCTACTATTTAGCGATTCTAATCTAAATCCATTACAGAACGACAGTCTGCAACGCACACTTGCCCTTGTTGGATTTCACACACATGTAAAAGAAAAGCTAACTTTTATGCACAAGATACGTTTGATACTTTTTCTCTATGTCTAAATGTTCAGGATGTGTGGCGCGTTATACACGAGTGTTGCCATCAGGGACTGTGTAGAGTGCCCTCTGGTGGACAAACTGTACAACTCCAACACTCATCACATGGTTCAAGCGTGATTCGTCCATTTTTATTTTATTTTTGAAATATTCATTTATCGGCCATTATAACTGCCGATATCGATATTTTAGATCGGCCTGCCGATATATATCAGTCTGGCTCTAATAAATGACATTTTACAATATATTAAAATAGAAAAAAGTTATTTTAAATTGTAATAATATTTTACAATATTACTTTTTTTGACTGTTTTTAAATAAATGCGGTATTGGTGAGCAGAAGAGGTTTCTTCCAAAAAGTAGTAAGGATGGATGGATGGTCTACATGAATTGAACAAGCTAACATTTGTGTTCACGAACACAGAGTATAACTCAGGCCCAATGTTTTTCTGTTTTCTAGAATCATGTTGAGAATAGTCATAATGAAGACGATGATAAGGAAAAGACACAAAATGGTGAAACTGTAGAGATGGCATCCCCTCCTCCACATGTCTCTGTGAAACGGAAGGGCTCATATAAGATATCTGTTGACCCTGACTTCGAAGAATCGAATGAGTGCCCTACTCCCACAGAGCACTCTCTGTCACCTGACCATAAGGAATCTCATGAACCACACAAACCAGACAGCACAGGCGTTGAGAGCCAACAAAATAACAGCAGCCAGTCCGTTCCAGTGCCAGCCCCGCGCAGCTCCAGAGCGCCGCCGCTCCCAAAGCCTCGCACTGTCCATAACGTGGTGCCCGAACCCTCAAATATCCCAGAGGAACCTGAGGAAAATCATCACTCCAAACCCAAGCCGTCCCTGCGCAAACTTCAGCTGAGCGAAGAGGAAAAAGCTGACCTTCTCAGCCAGGATTCGGACTCTGAGACGCCCGCCTCGTCTTCTGCCGCCTCCACCTCCTCTTCCTCCAAGCAGCATGAAGGAGTCGAGGAGGAGGGATACTGGAGCGGAGGCATCGCTACGCGGAAGAGCTTGCAGAACCAGCCTAACCGTCGCTGCTTGAGAAGGAAGAGCGAACCTCCGCCCACCTTCCAATCGCACCACGGAAAGACGCGCTCCAAGTTTTCCCCGTGGAATCTGTCTTCACCGCGGCTTCAGCAGCGCTTCAGCGTCCTCCGTGTCGTACCTTCAGGTTGGAAGCCTGGTTTTTATTTTATTTTGTCTTTCTAAACGGCTTTAGGTTATACTTGATAGCTGATTTTTGGTATGAATTCCCTCATCAGAACAAACTCAACCAGACCATTATGTATCAGAAGATGATAACGAAGAAGGTGTAGACGACGACGAAGAAGAGGACGAGGAGGATCTTCAAGAAGCAGCACATTTTTTGGATTGCAAGGTGGGAATATGTTCAAATTAGTTTCATTCTGAGACTTAGTCCATCAGGAGACCAAATTTCCGTCCATATCAACCAGATTTTACAAACAGGAAGGAATATACAGGAATTTTTTTTTTTGATAATGCTTGGTTGTGATGTCCCCAAACAAAACTTTGATGCCATTTCATCAACTAGGGCTGCAAAACTAATATATATATACCATTTCACAAGATGTAAACAACACTGGTCCAGAAGCACTTCCTGTTTCAGTTTAACACTACATAAAAGCTGGGATAAAATACAACCAACAGAACATATAAAACTGAATCAAAAAGTTAAACAAACATCTTTAAGGTGTTTTCTTTACATGTGAAATAAAGAAACAGTTACAAACTGAAACAGGAAGTGTTTCTGGACCAGTGTTGTTTACATCTTGCAAAATGGTCTATATATATATATACACACACATATATATATATAAATTGATTTTAAAAAGCAACTAGCTTGTTTGTAAAGCTGCACAATTTGGCCTAAACTTGTGATTAAGTGACATGACTATAATAATTATTATTATTTTTAAATATAAGTATTCAAAATAAGTACGACTATAAAACTAATAAGTATTAAAGATTACAAATATTTAAAAAAAAAAAAAAAGTATTATTGTAATATTTCATTGTAAGCTACTGTAAAAACAGAATTTGATAAAAGATCATCTAATAAATACAAAAAATGTATACTGTACAGCTGTACAATTACTAATGTTTATGGCTGTCTTCATTTCTTAATTTTCATACAATTAAGCTTTTATTTTGGCAGAAAAGCACTAAATCATGAGACGATTAAATTCTCCCAAGAAGATGTTAACTGTTGGTTTGTGTTGTATGTGTTCAGGGGGGCGATTATGAGATTTCTGAGTCAGAGAAACGGGACCTGAAGAGGATGAAAACTCTCGAGCGGAAAGCGAAAATGAGCGAAATCCAGCGCTTCCACAAAGCTCAGGTGAGCAAGATCAATCTATACTGGGTGTAGATTGTTTCCCGTAATGGTAAAAAAAAACATGCCACTTAAAAGAAAAATCAGCGTCAATTTATATCAAGATGAAGAGTGATCTGGATTTCATTCTCATTTGGTCTGATACTGTTCTGGTTCTGACGCCCACACAGACGATTCAGAGACGGCTGGATGAGATAGAAGTGACCTTTAAAGATCTGGAAGAGAAAGGAGTTGAGCTGGAGAGAGTTCTGAGAGGAGAGGCTGGTATGACATCTCATCCATCAACATGCACCACTAATGATTTCACTTCATCATATTATACAGCAGCCAGGATGTGTGTGTGCTAAAACTCTCACTGAAACCCAGTGAACTTGTTAACCCTGCACTTGGATGTCACCAAGATTATTTCGTTTTCAGAGTTACTGTAAGTTTACAGTCTAAGTTTAAAGTTTACAGTAAATTTACAGTCTAATACAGCCGGCCATTTCGATTCACAAGCTTTCAAGAATTTTTTTTTTTTTTGCATATGCATTGCTTTAAATACTGTAAATACATCTCCTTTAATACTGTTTTAAAAGCATCCCAGGATGCACTGCAAGCTAATTAAAAGAAGCAAATGGGTGCCGACTGAGGATGAGGAGATCGTAACCTCCTGTGTGTGTGTTTTAGTTTCAGGTGACCCTGAAACGATTGACCAGTGGATTGATCTGGTCCAGGAGAAGAACAATCTACTATCAGAGGAGTCTGATCTCATGGTGGCGTAAGTCTGATCGCTTTTACCCTCAAAAATAGGCACAAGTTGGGTTGAATTAATAAACATCTTGGTTGTTTAACCAAGTGGTAATGTCAGCATTGATACAATGCACATTTAAATAACTCAATAGCAGTTATTGCTCAAAGTGCGTCATTTATTTTTGCATGTGTAAAGGAAAACCTTAAACCTCACTGAAAGCCAGCCGAGTCTCGTTGCCCTTGGAAACCTCTTTTCTGCATGTCTTTGATGAGCACTAATGCTTAAGATGAATGCTTAGAGTGGCCTCATTTATTTAACCCACCGCTTTGCATGGTTTTATCATGCATTGGCTCTGTGCACAATTGGATCCTCTGTGTTAGAAACTAAATTACAGGCTGTGCTAACAGCAGCATGATATGTTTGTGTGATTCTGCTTTTGTGTTTCAAAGGTCTCGACAGCTGGAGCTGGAAGACAAACAGAGCATGTTAGAGATGGAGCTACGGAGATACATGGAAATGGATGGTGGGAAATTAAAGATAATTCTGTTCATTATATCATTATATTCTCTTTATGTAATATTCATTTCAATAGTCCTGTGTTCTTCTGGCGAATGAATTTGGATTTAATTATGAAAAGTCCATCTGTCAGTTAATATGAAGTCATAAAAGCTTCATGTGTAACCATACAAATCTATTAATTTTTATTATTATAATTTTCGATGCAGAAAAAATGCAAGAAAACTTGTTTTATTGTATTTAATTATTTAATATGAAATAATTTAAGAATAAATGAGAAGTAAATTATTGTTCATATTGAAATACAATGTTACTTGTCATTTATATTCTTTTTATAGTACTAGTCACTTTAATAGTCCTGTGGAATGAATTACAAATAGTCCATCTGTCAATTATTTTTAAGTCATAAAATCTTAATGTATTACAAATATTTTTTTTAAAATATTTAGTATTGTACAATAAACTACTTAAATTATTATAATATTTCTAAATATTTAAATTATTATTATTATTGATATACTAACATTCTAATTTAGTATTAATTTGGTTTTAAATTCTTAATTCTAAAGGTTTAGTCACACCAAGGACGATAACTATAACGATAAAGATATAGTTAGATAATGATATATAGAATTTATTCAGCTAATCAGAATCCATCCGGCTTTAAAGAGCATTTAAAGCGGCAGGCGCCAAAACTGCAGCGTGGCCTTAGATTTATCAGAACTGTATTGTCCGCTGGTGCGATCACTAATATAGTTATAGTTATCGTTCTTGGTGTGAACAGCCCTTGATTTATTTGTATTTATGTAAACGTATGCACACATGCTTTAAGATGTTGTTGTGCGTGTAGAATCTGAGAAGACCCCTGAGCAGCGAGCACAGGAGGAGCGGATCCTGCAGGAGATGCTGGACGTGGTGGACATGAGGGATTCACTGGTGGCCTTCCTGGAGGAGAAGAGGTTGAAGGAAGTCAATGACGAACTGTAGTACTGAAGGCAGCCCAGGTGCTCTGGGACTAAAACACAACACATATACCCACATTTACCTCCCTAAGAGAGTAGTTCACCATTAAGTTCATCATTTACTCATCCTCGTGCTGTTCTAAACCTTCTATGACTTTCTGCCTTCTGTGGAAAACAAGGAAAAATTTTGCACGATCTTTTCTTTTCCATAAAATGAAATTAAATGGTACTTAAAGGGATAGTTCACCCAAAAATGAAAATTCTGTCATTAATTACTCACCATTTATTAGTTTGAAACCCATAAGACTTTCATTCATCTTCTGAACACAAATGAAGATCTTTTTGGTGAAATCTGAGAGCGTTCCGTCCCTCCGTTGACCGCTACGCAACTGCGAGATCGTAAACTAATCCATGTGAATTGAACGGTTGAGTCCACATTTCTCAAAAGAGATTAGTTTTACCGGATTACTTTATGATCTGTTTGTAGCGTCAAAGTGGTAGTCGTGTAGCCGTCAATGGAGGGACGGAAAGCTCTCAGATTTCGACGAGCTTCATTTGTGGTTCAAGGATGAACGAAAGTCTTTTGTGTTTGGAACGACATGAGAGAGTAAATGATGACAGAATTTAAATTTTGAGATCAACTATCCCTTAAAATCCAGTTCTATTTCGTTTTTAAGAGAAAGACAGTCGTTAAATTTCAGCTTCCAGATTTTGTATGTTCAATGTCATTGTTGCCAAACATTAACGCTTCTCATGTGCCTCGTAACCAGTTTTTGGGTGCTCAAAATTCCACACAAAGCTACTCATTTAGACAACAGTATGGTGCTTTTTTACATTTTTTTTAGGCTTTTACAGCTTTGTGAACATCCTGAATTCACATCTCGTGTGCTCGACGAAAGAAAGACACCATACAGGATTGCACCGACATGAGGGTGAATAAATGATGCTAGAATATTTACTTTTGTGTGAACTGTCTCTATTGATTAACATATTTTAAAGAAACTTACTGGCTCAAATGCTGACATTGCACCACTCTGCTCTTGAAAACCAAAGAGTTAAACACATCTGCTCACAGTCACTATGGTCTTGCTCCAAAATAAATGTGCTTTCTAACAGATATATAAACTCTTAAGACTGTGCCAAATGTTGTGAAACTGCACATCCGTCCCACACTTCACAGCCCGGATATGGCCTTTCCCGAGACCAACGGCGGTCACGACACACGACACGGAATATAGACTTTGCTGGGTCGGATGTATGCGCACACGTGCAATTATATTGCATCTCGCACTTTTATAAAAGTCTATCAAAGTCATGTATGTACTATGTTCTAAATATCAAGAGATATTATATAAAAGTTATTTACACATTTATGGTGTCATATTTGGCAAAACCTGATGCCAATATCATGTCTTAAACAGCACTTGCATTGTATTATTATTATGAATATATTATGGCTTTGCAACATTAGAATCAATATCACAATGGGGTTTTGTTCAGTGTGTTTTGTATTTCTCTTTAAACATTATTATTATTATTCATTGATTTGATATTTTCTGCATGATCATGGTTTTGACTCTCAGGGGATCATCTGCCTGGCCCGGTTTCCATTTATATATTTCTACTTATGTATATTTGTGTATCATTATTTGGAAGTGTTTACACAGTAGATCATACTCGTTCATGAATTGATTTTAATGAGGCACAAAGAAAGTTGAGTGAAATTTAACAAGTGTGTTTGCTCCTTTGCTGTATGAAATTCCCATGGAGAATAATTACTTGGAACATTTATGTGTTTGATAAATTGGTTTTCTTTTTTTGAGGCTCTGAGAATAATTAGTGCCATTAATTCTTGTCAAAGAGGAATTTTGTGGTAGTGTGTTGGGAACAGTGGTGTAATTTTTGATGTTTGCTTTTGTTCCCTGTATTTCTTTTCTTTAAACATGTTCACATACACAGCAGTGGTTTATTTTCTATGGGGACAGTAATTCACTCAATATGCTAATAAAATATCTAGCACTTTAATGTTTTTCCTCTCGGCTGGGTTTCAGTGCTGTGAAAACGGCCTTGATTTCTTCATGTAGCCTACGTCAGAAACCGATTTTGAGCATTGACATCATGGCCGCTTTGGCATGGACGTGTTATTTGACAGGTTTTTTTTTTTTTTAAAGTATGTGAAGCAGTATGTACTTGCATTTATCATGTTTAAAACAGTATTCTAGTATTACTGGCATATTATAAAAGTATTCTACATTTTCACATGACCTTGACATACGTATGCTGCGTTCCAGGCAGGTTTTTGAGCACGTAAATCACGACTTTGTAGCATTCCAGGCCAGTCGGCCTATTTCACAAAATGGCCGCCGAGACCGGAAGTAGGGTAAACTATTTTCCGATGACAGCACTAGCAGTTGCTTGCTGTCGGATGACAAATGCTGAGACTAAAACCGGTTAGTCCCGTTGTTGTTTACCTTTTAATCTTTCAAACCTCTTTCAAAAGAAGAAACATTCATATGTATCACTTCAAAGCTTTTTGTGTTTTCATGGAACAACTGTGGAGAAGTGTAATCACGGCAGACGCGTGTGAAGGAGGAAGCAGATGTTGAAATGTAAGTTGATGCCGGCCGGTTCGGGACCGATGCTTTGATAAAAACATGTTTATATTGCACTTGATTGATATCCGATTTGCACGTCGTGCACTTTTATTTATTATTAATAGGTTATTTTCGCTCATTGCTTTTTTGCTTTGAACTTTTTATTTTTTAAAGGTCCATCATCACCACTAGAGGGCCTCCTGCATCGGTTTTACAAGGAGCAACGGGATGCACAAGGATCTATGACACAAGGTTTGATTTTGGTTTTATCTATTCTAGATTACTGATGTGAGTACTGAGTATTGTATTATATATTGTTTATGAAGTCAGTATATGTATTAATCACAAAATGCCCCTTTTCTAAAGTAAATATTTAACTAGGCCTATTAATGTTCTGTGTATTATTTTATTTATTTACTATGTTGTATTTTAATTTATTTATACTCGTTTATGAACAATGCAAAACATATTTTTATTTCTCGCTTTAAGATAAATATAAAGACTCAATTGTATGGAATATGTTTATGGGACTTAATATCACTTTTTAAAGCTTGGCAGCCCTAGTCCTCCAGTTTTATAGTATGGAAAATAGTTTCTTCAAATTATTTTGTGTTCCACACCACAGATGGAAGAAAGTCACTGGAATAACATGAAGGTTAGTAAATGATGATATAATCTGTGTGTGTGTGGGGGTCACAAGTTCAGGTTACAAATCGGACTGTCTAAGCATTAGACCAAATGGTTTAAGATGTCTTCTTGCAATTCATTTAAGATATCTTCTTGCATGCAGGACACTTTCAGGAACTAAAAAAATATTGGCATTCTTACCAAAAGACCATCCACCTTGGCAGCAGATCTAGGATCAGTTGACTTCAGATATTTTATGGTAACTGGTTCAGGACACTGGTCCCAGAGTCAGAGATGCAGAAACCTGTAATGAAATGCCATCTGTGTGCACTCCTCCATCAAGAGCTCTACTGCAGCACAACAGATGTTCATTTGATTTGATGAGTATGTGCCTGCTCCTCAGTCATGGCCTTATTAATCACTGATACTTTTTAAATTACATTTGCCGATCCTCTTCTATATAATCAATTTGATTTGAGAGGGACAGAAAGAGAAAAATGCTTATAAAATAGTCCATTTTGGATCCTTTGTACACAAGCTAGCTAAACAAGTTTCTCCTTATAGTTCAATAGTTCATGTTTTTAGCATATTTCTGTTAGCAATATTTTTGCCCTATAACTATTATAATTGATGATGATAATGCAAACACAATGAGAAAATATAAATAATTTATAAAATGGTAAAATGATTATATATAGATGTTGGTGAAACCAGGTGATGTACAGTATTACAATTATACACATGTATAAGACATTTAGAATGGATTAATCACAAAATAAGCCATCATATGACTTGCAAATATAGTTAAAGTCAATGGACAACTGTTATTATCTCCTTTTTTCTGGTAAGCTATTGTTGTATGGAAAAGAACATATAAAATCCTGCCTAATATCTCCTTTTGTTTTCCACATAAGAAAGTAAGTCTGGTTTGGAACGATATATGACACTAAATGATGACAGAATTTTAATTTTTACCAAAATTTAATTGTTTTTCTCTCCCTTTTTATCCTGTTATTGGTTACTTTATCATCGTCATGTGTCCTGATGCTTTCTCTCTCTCTAACACCTTTGATTTCACCAAACACAATCTGAGTTACATAAGATATCATTGGTCATGAACGCTTTCCAGTGACATCACTGTCAGATTATCACTGGCTTTAGATTAGAGCTGCTTTTTACCGTCCAGCCGAAGCACAGTAGAGGTTTGTCTGCAATAATCAGCTTTGATTTAGAGTTGTGTAAACTTGATTTAAGGATATTACATTTTACCATAGAACAAAGTGTCAGAAGATTGATGGTAACACTTTCGGAAATAATAATGAGCAATACATATTTTTACAGCATTTATTAATCTCATGTATTTTTCCTCTAACACCCAACAAATGCATTTCAATTAAAAGTCCCTCTTTCCATAGCTCATCATCCTTTTCATCTTCAAAAAAATCCCGCCATCGCTGTTTCTTTACTTGCTTGGGCTTTTTTCTTACGTCATCCTCAATTCATTTTATTGGATTCTGTAGTACAGTGCTTCTCCTGTTGCTAAATCTGTGTTGATATGTTGCTATCAAATTTGTGCTTATCGAGGGATCGAGAGACACAGGCGTTGAAATAACTCTATTGAAGGGGAGGAGTTCACTGGGAAGAGTTGCTGCTAGTGTGTGTTGAACCGATACTCACTGACTACAACAATCAGACGGGGAAACCTCGAATTTAGTGATTCAGGAAGTCAGGAATATGCACTGTAAAAAATATTGTTGGTTTAACTTGAACAAGTTAGTTACCTAGTTGCCTTAAAATGTTGTTCATTGAAATTAAAAATTTTATATTATTAATATAATAATATTAATAAAATATGATGCTTTCTGAACCACATTCATTAACTAAGTTGATTTGACAGAAGATACAGTAAATAGTTGTGATAACAAATCAAGAATATTAGTTTTCACAGTGTAGTCTTTAGTTAAATATGATTGTTATTTTATTTCTAATGCATAATATTTGTATTTCTTATACATATGTTGTGATTATGAGTATTATGAGAAAAGCACTTTGAAATACCATTGTGTATGAAATGTGCTATATAAATAAGCTTGCCTTGTCTAACTTAAAAAAAAAAAAACGAACTATAATCTCACTCAACTTTTTAGGTTAACTCAACTTATGCACTCCAGTTAAAGTCAACTTAAAAACTATTATCTAATGAGTAACAGCTGGTTCGTTGAACTTAAAAAATTCTTGTCAAGGCAACTATAGAATGTTTAGCATTTAGCAATGCATTAAATACAAACATTCATATTATTTAATTTAACTACTCATCGTCATACTTGGACATTACTTGTGGCGTCCCACATGGGTCAGTTCTGGGTCCAAAATTGTTTTTGTTATATATAAATGATATATGTAAAGTTACAAATACAGTGAAACTATTTGCGGATGACACAAATATTTTTTGTTCTGGGGGGAATATACAGGAATTAGAGGAGATTACTACTTCAGCAATGTATAAATTAAAAAGATGGTTTGATACAAATAAATTATCATTAAACATTAATAAAACTAACTTCATGTTATTTGGTAACTCTAAAAAGAGTATACAAATTCGGATACAGGTAGATGGGGTGGACATAGAAAGGGTTAATGAAAATAAGTTTCTTGGGGTGATAATAGATGATAAAATAAGTTGGAAATCTCACATAAAACATGTATACAATAAACTTTCAAGAAGTATTTCAATATTGAACAAAGCGAAACATGTTCTGAACTACAAATCACTCCACATTCTTTACTGTACACTGATATTACCATATCTAAACTATTTTGGGGTAATACTTACAGATGCAGACTATTATCTTTATTTAAGTTGCAAAAAAGAGCCATAAGGATGATTCATGGTGTTGGTTATAGAGATCACACAAATGTATTATTTTTAAAATCCAAGACGTTGAAATTTACTGATCTGGTTTATGTTCAAACAGCACAAATAATGTATAAAGCAAAAAATAACCTACTCCCTGGTAATATTCAACAACTGTTTTTTAATAGAGAAGGGAGATATAATATTAGGGGTGAGAGCAACTTTAAACAATTATGTGTACGTACAACATTAAAAAGTTTTTGTGTTTCGATATGTGGAGTGAAGTTGTGGAACAGATTAAGTTCAGTACTTAAACAATGCCCAAGTATGACTCAGTTTAAAAAGCATTGTAAAAATATGATATTTGAAAGGTATAGAGAGGATGAAGATTATTAGTTAGGTGATAGTTTATTTATATATTTTTCTTTTTTTCTCTCTCTTATTATTATTATTAGTTTTTATTTATTTTCTCTTATGTAATTTTTTTTTGAAGATGTATATACACATAGGTAGATATGTATGTTGTTTTTGTTTTTGGTGTTTAGAGACAAATAGATCAATATATTCGGTCAACCGGTTAATTAGTTATAATTAGTTGAAGATGGGGTAGGATTGAATAAGCTTATGCTTCTTCCTACTCCTTTTCGGACATGTATAAGTTAAAAAAAAAAATTTTTGTTTTTTTTTTTTCTCTTTGTTTTATGTATTGTTTGTTTTTTGTTTTGTTTTTTTTGTTTTTGTTTTCTACATGTTCGAAATAAAAACTTTTCATTCATTCATTCAACTAAGCATTGTCTGCTGGAACAACACTGTCAGCTTAGTGAAAGCTCATCATGAGCATGTTTATAGTGCAGCGTTGGTGTATTAATTACATTATTTGTGAACACTTTCAAATTGCAGTTTGCAGTATACAGTCAACATCACCGTCAACACTGTATGAAACTATATATTGACTGGGCGCTGCTCCTGCATGGTAAGTTGGCAACACATTATGGATGTTTTCTAAACACTGCTTCATGTAAATTCGAAACCTTTGAATCAGTTGTTCGCAGAACACAAGAAACTGGACAAGTCGGTGTTAATCCCAAAGTAAACCCACGAACCACTGTACCACCACTGAACCACGGGTCCCAGATGGTACGTGGGAAAGTTTAGGAAAAAAAAAAAAACAACAACAATGTACTTTTTTAAAAGTTCTTTTGATTTAAATAAATTAGTTATTAAGATTAATAAAATAAATAAAATTTAAATAAAAAGCATCTAATAGTACAATGATCATAAAAACTATAATAACGTTACAATAGAAACTAAATATATTATACATGTTTATAATATATATTTCTTACAGTAGTTAAAAAAATACATATAGCTCTTTTGGGGTCCCTAGCATGATAAAGATCATATCTGGGGGTCCATGGCATCTAAAAGACTGAAAAAATGTTTTTAAATGATGTCTAACGTGTCATATTCAATTGTATTTAATGATTTTTAGCATATGTTAATTGCGTTTCACATATTTAATAGAATACACTCAACGGTTAGTTTGTAAAAGGTTTCATTATAAATGTTTATGCTGATATAATTGAACTCTTTCAATGTTTTGATAATGCTGAGACACATTATAACAAGAAATATTTCTGATTTTTATCCTGGGATAGGAGAAATTATTATTTGTATGGTGTGGCTAAATACATAACAGTGGAGCTCTACAGGAATATCCTTGTGTACTGGATACTCCATAATATTTAGTTACCTCTTCTCCATTATATAACTTCAAAAACAAATTGAGGACATCATTATCTTTTGCTCGTGCATGCTGGGTTTGTAAATCAGTTGTTCTGTCCGTATAATGGCATTAATAACAGGCCTTTTTAAGACTGTCGCTGTGAGTCCTGCTGTGAATACATTTCTCTACTTAGGGGCTGTTTGACTTGGCAGAGCGACTGATGCGCTGGCAGCCGAGATTTGCAGCAAATACGACTGAGCTACTGCCAAAGAAAACAGGAAGAAATCCAGGAACTAAACGTCCATCCCAAAACAGACTCAAAGATGTGGTCACATTTATGGGAGTAGTTGAATAATATCCCCCGATAAGAGACACACGGAGTTCCAGAACCATTTAAAGAGCTCCTCTCAGGTATTTTCTGAAAGTGAATGTGAAATCTTTGGTGGAAACAGGTTCCTCGTCTCCACATTCTTATTCCCATTTACGCAAATCATCCTCCCTGAAACAGAACTATCTAGAGATCTTCATGTCCGGTTATCTCCCGTGTTTCCTTTCCCCACCATGGCAACACCGTACACAGAGTGTTTTAATGAGAGAACGGTCTCGCCCGCAGGTTCATCATCCCTCCCAGGACACATACGACAACATCTTACAAACAAGTCAGACTTCCACCGGTCCTGACAGCGGACACACTTCTGCCGGCGATGCCGTCACACTTCATCAAGCAACACAAAGCGCCGGTCAGCCAAAAACAGTGTCACCAAGGTAAGCTGCCTCGAATTTATCTTCTGTGCCAGGCTGAAATTTGGACACATTTGACCGAATTTGTTTCTCATGGTTTTAAAAATGCTTGAAATTGTGTTCGACAAATAGTTTTGTAGACAAATAATTGTGCATTCATATGAGTTTGCTTATAAAACAAACATTTTTACAATGCAATTGTATATATTTATTTAAATTTTACAACTTTTCAAATTGAAATATTAAAACTTTTGATAGTTTTGATCAGCAAGTATAACATCTTGATTCAAAATCTAGATTTTCAATAATCATGTAAATGTTACTGTTTTTATTTTTACACTTTGCTATTTTGATATTAATAAATGTATATTTGTTTATATAAATAATACATTAAACTTCAAAATATTTAAAGAGTTCAGATGCAAAAGCCTCTAAATGCCATTTGAAATTTTCTTCTTTAATGATAATTTTTATCAAACTTGTATATTTAAGTTCAGTAATTTCACTTAAATAACAATTAATAGGTAATTATCATTGCCATTTAAGTGAAATTACTGAACTTAAATATACAAGTTTGATAAAAATCATCATTAAAGAAGAAAATTTCAAATGGCATTTAGAGGCTTTTGCATCTGAACTCTTCATTTTACATTTTAAATAATATAATTTTTTTTTTGCATTAATACGATTTCTGTTTTTATTTATTTTTGTATAAAGATCATGAGAATTAGTCAAGAAAACATGCATAATTGTCATAAGAAATATTTTTCTTCTGAAGTAAAAAATCAGTGTGTACAAACTTGACTGCCAGTGAATTATTAAATACATATATGAGGGGCCGTACAAACCAAAATCCATTTTTCTGCTCTCACACTCGTACATTTTCCTTTCGCACACACACACATACATATATATAGGCCTGTATATATATATATATATATATAGCTTCTGCTTTGAACCTTCTTCAGAAATCATTGAAACTGACTATCATTATTTCTTATAGAAAGTTTGTTTCAATGTGGAGCATGGATGTGGATGTGGAGCAGGTGAACATTAGTCAGTGTTACTGTTTATAATGTATTAGCACAGGGTCTTGTGTTATATATGTAGCCTATGTGTACTTGATGTCTTTTTATATGTTGGAAACTGTTTTTTATGTTCTTTTATGCTGCATCTTGGCCAGGTCTCTCTTGTAAAAGAGATTTTAATCTCAATGAGACTCACCTAAATAAAGGTTAAAAAAGGAGTGTGTATGAGTATGACAGTAGAAATGTATGAATGTGAAAGGAGAATGAGTGTGACAGTAGAAGAATGGATTTTGGCTTGTACAGCCACTCATAATAATATAAAAATATTTTTATGTATTTTAACCTTCATTCAAAATGTAAAAACAAAACTAAGGTAAACAAATTCTATTTATATTATATCAAATTCTATATTTTTATTGTAGACTATGGTCTTTAATGTTGTATCATGTCCAGTAATAAGATAACTAAAATTCGCGTTTGAGATTAACCCAAGCCTATTAAAGGAGGAAGTGTCAGACTGTGTTTTAAGGGATTATCCTGACTGGCCCAACAGGTCGCATGCAATAATCTCTCCTTGAGCTCACCATACACTCTGATGCGGCCCTTACAAGTGACCCAGAGAAAACTAAAACACTTGAATGGTCCTTTTTCTTTTGATTTTGGTGTGAAATGTGACCTGGACATGTTTTTTTTGTTTTTTGTTTTTTTGTTGTGTGACATTCACATGCATTCGTGTTAGCAATAAAGTCAATATACTATCACTCACACATCTGTGTAATAATATGTCTGTGTAAATGGAGGTTTCGTTTTTGTTTTTTTTGCCAATAGGTTGGTAAAACAAGACATTTAACCGTGTCCTGCACTTATATTGTGCATCTTACTGAAGAGAATCATGCAGTGCTTATTCTTTTAAGTGATTGGACTTGAATTTCATGTGGTGGAGGTGAACAAAGTTTGATCAAATGAGCCGAAAAGAGACCAGATTTGTTCCATTTAAGCAGTATGGCAATGTGCTGAATACAGTTCCACTCAGATCCTCACAACCATAGCAATGCAATGGCATTGTGGCGTGGAAGTTTTTCACAGGCAAACACCACTCTCATTTTCAGAAACTACAAAAATCAAGTTTGGTTGATTGTCAGAGAATGTTTTTAGTCCCACGTCATTTGACTCGGCGTCGGCGGCCATCTTTGAAACGTCTCTCGGCATATTTCAGTCAAGCATGCCCTTATCTCTTTGAATGGAGAAACCTCAAATTCTCTAAAACTGTTTGCCAAATTTATGATTGAATTTTATATTTGAATGAAATCTGAAAAAAATTTGTTTCTAAACACTCAAATAATGTTTAAGATTGAGATTCACACCCGCCAAGCCAACCCACCAAATGTGAGTGCATTTCAGCAGTGACGTCTGTACATACACACAGTCAGCCACTTTGATGGGTTCAATTTTATACATTTTACAACTGCAGTCTTTTAAAAAGGCAAAGTGGGAACTGAAATAATAAACTAAAATAAAGTGCAATTGTCCGAAATATAGATATTGTTTTTACACATATCGATACTGAAATATCTGAAACGCTTAATACTCATTTTCCGCAGAATATACACACAACAACCAGATCGTCTCTCATCTCTCATCTCTCAAGCAACAAATTAAACACAAACCCGCCTCTCCTCATTCATTCCATTCATTTGCATAGTTGCTGCTACAGGGCTTGAATTTCAGCATGGGAATGCTCGTATTGCGCATATTTCGACTAATTCCTGCATTTAGCGCTCACACCCAAAGTGCGGCACGTAAAAGGCCATCAGATCAGTTTGTCGAGCCCTGAATCATATGAGGACGGGCTATCTAGACTAGAGTGTTTGTTAATGGTCATTCACCTGTGATCAGTTTTAAAATCTACCATCACCCTTCAAGTAAAGTTGATTTTTTTATTTTTTTTTTCCAAAATGCTTTGTTTGTGAATGTTTTGTTGTGTGTGTGTTTGCGCGCGCGCGCGCGCGTGTACAGACAGTCAGTCAAGAGACCTTGAGAATCTCGCTGGCCACTCCTCCTTCATTGACAGCTCATGTAATCTCAACATGTTGGTTATGTGTGCTCCTCCCGACGGGTTTAATCTGTCCAGACTGCAGCGGGCTTTTGGCAGGAGAGTCAGAGCAGGGCATCTTTTACGCACTTGCCTCTCTAGGTAAGTCATAGGACGGGACACTGTCCCAACTAGTAAACCCGATTCCTGTGGCAGAGACAAAACGAGACTGGGGATGCTGCAAAAACAGGTCACACTTTAAATTACAGTGTTCATGTTAATGTGCAATTATTTATTATAATCCATTCAATTTGTATGCAATATGGACATTGTAATGTAAAGTGTTTTTTTTTAATTAGACGATTTTATCTGACAGTTTTGCTTGAGTGCGTGCAACAATTGCTTAAGAAATTCATTTCTGACTGAGTGGTTTGCAAAATTTTAATGCTCGTTTTTCATATGAGATGGTGCATATGAAAGATTTTTGCAAACTGTCTACAGCCTACTAATTGCACATAAATGTGCATCATTGCATTTCGTGCGCGTTTCAAATGTCCGTTTCGCATCATCCTCTCCCCTCGACGCTCTTTCTTCGTCAATGCTGTCCTTGCTTGAGCTTCGATAGTTTCTGCAAGAGACACAAATCCTGCTGGAGTTACAGACCTGAAGGTAAGGTCAAAAACTGGCTCTTTGTAAAATAATCACCTCTAGCTTAGCCTATATGCAGGCAGCATCAGAATGCACATAAGATGATTAATGGATCGCATTATTATGGTGCACGTGAGTAGGCTATAGTACGATCTATAGATTAAGACTTTGAATTAGGCTATGCGATATGATTGTCGGTCACTGTATGGGACACCTTGCACCAGGTCAGGCGCCCCATGCATGTTTTTAATGACCCATGCAGAGCTGCGTGTGTATGTTGTCTCGAGCGCAGAGTGTTAGTCCACACAGATTACTTGCTGAGGAAAGACAAAGCCAGACTCCTGCAGAAATCGATGTTGTGTTATTAGTTTGCAATGTTGTGCATTTGCTAGATGTATTTTAATTTATGATAAATTAATTAGGCAATACTGCGATTGGTAAACATTTGTTTTTTAAATGAATGTGCATTTCATAAAATTGTGTTTCATTTAAATGTATTATAAATTAATTTATTAATTACATTAATTTAATATTTTATGATTATTTGTCTTCATTTCAATTTTTGTAATTTGAATGATTAATATGGCGATGGTCATATTTATTAGATTCGACCCGATCACTCTAAATGTGTCTCTATAACACGCAATTTATACCTACGTGAAAATTAGTTTTTAGTTTTACGTGCGTAGGATACGCATGGGTTGGTTTAGTCCTAGTGGTGTGGGGTGCGTGTGTATTATACGTTTGGGTAGAATTAGTGAACTGCGTATCAAATGCACGCGAAAACTGCACGTAAAAACTAATTTTTGCGTATAAATTGCACGACAAAACACAATGCGTGGTGTGCATGCAACCATTGTGTTTTTTTAGACCTGCAAGCCATTCTTGCCTCTTAATTGGATGTTCTTTTTTCTCTTGGTCTATTACTGGTCTTACTGGTCTATTACTGGACCTACTGGTCTATTACCGGTACTGGTCTATTATTGGTCCTACTGGTCTACTAGAGTTTTTCACCTCATTGTTCTTAATGTCACTCTTAGTGGCAAATTATATTTTTGGCTATTGAAGTTATAAATGGCAAGTGACCTCATGGACTCATCTGTGAGGTGATTGTTTTAAGGTCGACTCAGAAGATCAGCGCCTTTAACCCGTTATATAAGTGAAATGAGAGCAAAGCTTTCCAGAACTCACCAGAACTTCTGCTAATCCAGAGAAGCCTTTATATGTTAGAAACGACAAATTTATTGGATTGCATGTATGTTTGAACACCTATTATGAAGAAATAAGAGATATTGTGTTTGTTTGACCTTAAAATACATAATAGACATGGTGGGAATGGGCAATTTCTGCTGTCTTTGTGTGCAGTTGATGGACTTGAGGACATGCGTTTGGTTGAAGATGTTGACTTTATCAAATACATCCACTCATTTACAGAGGCATGCTCACCTTTGAGTTGGGTTTAGGTCTGTTTTAGACAAAATCCACCTTCTCCAAATATAATCCAGTTAAAACAACCAGATTTATGTACATAGATATTTCATTGAAATTGCCAAAAGAATCTCAAAACTCACCTAAACTCAAATTCAAACTCAAACAAAACAACATAAGCATTAAGACGCACATCTACCTGTCTGTACACTGACCTGCCAAAACCTGATTAGTGTTTTCTGACAGCTGTCCTAAAGCTATGTAGGACAGCCCATGAGCAGCTGTGGAGTTTGTCAAGAGTTCGGCGCAGGTCAGTGACACTAAAACTAAAGCTGTTACAGTAGATGAACACACATCAAGAGTGAAGCCGTCGACTGTCCGTCAGTAGCTGGAAAATGAGCGGACTTACGCTGGTTTCTGCTTAGTTTTTGATATTTCATCTTGATTTTGAATTGGTATTGGATTTATATTAGGAATCAGGCCTCATGGCTCCCGGACTGTTAGGGATAATTAAGGATTTGGCTTCGAATAAAGGTACATTCAAAAATCATTGATTTATTGCTCACTTTTGTTCATAACAGATTGATCACAGACGTTGGTCCTTGTTGGTCACTTTATAAAGAGGTTTCTTCTTTTTTTATCTTTTTTCAGAAATCCCTGTAGAAGCTCACACAGAAATGGGGCGAAAGGAGGGCGACTATGATTGGAAAAAGAGCACGGATAACATCCAGGATGTGTTTGAATTCATGGAGGTGCTCGGATCGTAAGTACAACTTTACGTCCTCTTATAATTCATTGTAAAAATTGTGAAGGGTTTTAGAAACATCTTTTTTTTTTCAGTAGGATGTTTCATTTTGGTGGTAAGTTTACTGTCTCAAGTGCCATTTTATTTTAATGCAGTATAGCTTAAATTTACTTCCTACATGAGGCTGATTTTTAGATTTTAAAAAGTGTAAGCAAATTCTGTGCTAAATAGTATTATCATTCACATTAAATCAATTTTTATTATGTTTTAAAAACCTCAAAGTTTGTATATTTTCCTGAGTATTTTAAAAGTGTTAGAGACATTTTCCAGAAAGATGATTTTCCTCACTGAAATGTCCGGTAAAGGATTGACCCAGATTGTTTACCCAGATTGTTTCTTTGATTAAAGAAAATAGACTTAAAGAAAAAAATCAAGTTTTTATTTAATGTTGTTTGTCTATGTGGTGTTTTTAACATGCTTCAACACCATTGCTGAGTATTTTCTCCTTAAAACTGCAGTGAAGCGAAGACAGTCTCAAAAACACGCTTTGAAATCGCAGTTCTTCTCTACATCCGAAACATGTAACCAATCACGTCAATGTGTGGGCGGGGCTTAGCATATCATTAACTGCTCTGAAACAGGGAGTCTCAAGAGGTTATCCCACTACGTTTTTCTGTTGATATGAAAAATCAGGTACATTTAGCAGCATAGGGGGTGAATTGGTTACACTTTATTTCGATAGTCACTTTAGACGTTCTACTAATTATAAGTAACTTTTCAACTACATGTCAAGTAACTCTCTTTAGAGTATTAGTATATTATAGTAGACTGTCAGTAGACTGTTAGGCTTTGGGTTAGGAGAAGAAGTTTACTTGTAGTCGCCAAGTTACTTATAGTCAGTTGAATGCCTGTTGGGGGACCAACAACATAAAGTGTTAGCAGATATTAAGCAGACAGTCTACTAATACTCTAATGACAGTTAGTTGACATGTAGTTGACAAGTTACTTCTAGTTAGTAGAATGTCTAAAGTGGACTATCGAAATAAAGTGTTACCGGTGAATTATATGTATACGATGTTATGATGAGCTATGCCTTTCTCCACTGACGTTCTGTGATGTTCAGTGCGTTTCTAAGAGCGCTGATTGTTAGAGATTCTAAGATGCGAACTGTAACATGGTTTGTGTAACATTAGCATCACATTATTAGCTGTTTAATAGTAGTTTTTTGGCAGTATGAGACTAAGCTAGATCAACATTAGAATACCAATACATACTGATCATATTCTGATAGATCAACATTATTATGATGTTGTGCTATATATCATTTATTCGTTTTATGTACATTTGCTCACCTGTCTAATAAAGTACATGTAAGAGTCATAGTTAGTCACGGACGTGGAGGAAAACGCCACACCGGTATTGATCCTCGTTTTATTTCTCCTTTTGTCCCAAAGTCTGCTTGCCATGATAATGTTTGAATGAAACAACAACAGCGTGATTGTGCCGCTAGACGAAACGTCTGTCGCCATGGTTACCATGTCTGTCGCCATGGTTACTATGGCAGTAATAGCGGAAACCAGGGATAACGCGGATATTACGTCACTGACAGGCGTAGAATTTCTCTGAAATTAAAAATTTGATCTATAATGTTTGAATGAAACAACAACAGCGTGATCATGCCGCTAGACAAAACGCCTGTCGCCATGGTTACTATGGCAGTAATAGCGGAAACCAGGGATAACGCGGATATTACGTCACTGACAGGTGTGAAATTAAAAATCTTTGGAAACGTTTGGGATATTGTAATTACAAAACTCCAGGAAATACATCACACCTTGGAAGTGACTTTTTGATATTTGATTACATATTTTTATACGTATTGTACCTTTTAATAGTTCTCAGCCAAGCAGACAGCAATGACCCGGCCGTGTCATTGCGGGCGCAGAAAGCTGACTATACCGTGAGCTCAGCAGACACGAGCAGCTGCACATCGCCTTTGCTGACTGTCCAGCGATCACTAAGCAGAATAATGTTGCGTCCCTGAAGACAGACGCTATGAGATCAGTGCAAGCGTCACAATCATTTCCATTCGTTTCCATGTTTCACGGAAGCCTGTAACTAAAGAAATATACAGTGTGATCCAAAAGTGTGCATTTGATTGGCTGATGTTGCATGTTGAGGGTGTGAGATTTATCCAATGGCGTCTGGATGTGATTCAAGGGTAAAGCACAGGTTAAGACACTTCTAGACCGGTGTGTGTTAATCGCTTTGGCAGACAGGGAATAACAAGGATCACAGGGAACAGCTAACGGGATGGAAACAGCTTTGCGGTAATCTACTGGGCATGGCTTGCAATGTGCTGTCTATTACGATACGACCACGGTTTCCATGGAAATTATTATGCTGGATTAATTTCATTGATTAAGTCCCATTAATAGGGTAATAAATGTATCTAATTATTATGCAATTACAGTAAGAATTGCAATTTTTTTTATTACACGATATCTGAAATGTTGTTGAGGCATTATCTAATTAAATATTTAATTAGATTTATTTTGCATACATTTCCAGATCAGAATCATCAAAATAATTGACTCGATTACCAAAATAATCGAGTCACAGCCCTAGATTAGAAATGTTTTAAAATGCACCTGCATTGTGTGACTTTCAGATGAGTAAAAGACAATTCATATATTTTCTCATTGAGGATTTTTAAAGTGTTAAAATAATGTTTCGTCTCGTCTCATGAGACAAGTGTATCGGCACATCCCTAAAATCTACATGAATTGCAATAAAATAAACACGTGTTTTTCAGACTTTAGTGGAAAGAAAACATGCAATGAAAAGCCAAATAGTCCCAAATCTCTGGCTCTCCACTTTTTAATATTGTTGTTACTGTTTTCTTTTAAAATGGATAATTTTGCTTCTGTAGTTTGAGACCACAGTGTTATTTTAGTATCAAAATAGGATTATAGTTTTTATAATAATGTAGAATTAGATTAGATTTCTATTTTCAATTTTTATTTAAATTTTTTTAGGGATTTTGTTTCAGGTTTAACTAAATGAAAATGGGGCATGTTACCATGGCAATTAAATAAGTTTACATTCATATATATATATATATATATATATATATATAAACACTTACAGTCCATACAGATCATGAAGTGAGATATGTAGTTTTTCAGCTATATACTTTCAAGCATAAACTGCTGTGTCTAGAGCTCTGTCACGACCTGCCCTTGCCTGTGGGTGTTACTGGCACCACTGGGGCATTATGGGCCATGGGGAGTTGAGCACAGTGGTTTCCTCTGACAAAAACAACCTGAATTAAACTCCCACAATCCCTCAGCAGACTTCCACTGGAGTTAACACCCATCAGGAAGAGTACGGCATCTAAAATTGGCTTGATCCAGAGATTCATGATGAAAAATCCTATTTCTATGTATTTCATTAGTAGTTTTCTCTTTTCATTCTGTGCACTGACCTTCAGTTTAAGCTGTATTTAGTTTTTAATTATTTATTTATCCATGCGTTTCATTGAAATCGTCAGTATTTAATGAATTCAGGACTTTCTAAAGACCGTAGGTGAAGGTTAACACACATCTCTGAGCTCTTGCATTCAATGCAGGAAATGTGTTGTGGGAATATGTGATCGATGCTGGCAGTGTGAGGACGTGTGCTTGTTTTGGTGACGCTCCGTGTGTGTGTGTGGGAGGACGAGATTGTGTGATGTAGCACTTCAGGCGTGATTTAAGCATTCAGTGCTATATCAAAAATAAATACATTTAACAAAAATATATATTTAACATTTAAAAATATTTATTTATGGAGTTTCAAACTTAAAACTTAGAATTTGAAGGAGTAAATGTTATTAAAATAGCACAGTTATTTTCAAGATATATTCTCTTAACGTTTTTTTTTAGATATTCTCGGAGAAATCTTAAAGCTGTGATCCTCTTTTCTTCTCTATTGTGACGTATATCCAGATGAAATGGCTTTTTGAACAGGAGCAAATGTTGGGTGGGGCTTAGTTTTGATGTGGTGAATTGATGGATCTAATATGAGTGACAGGTTGCCCCGCCCTCGTCATCAGAGAAGAGAAGAGGGAGGGGAAGTTATTTTGATTAAAGATTACGAAGATTTAAAAATGATAGTAATGATGTGCACGGATAAATCAGTCCATTGATAAAATTGTCCATTTCTTGGAGACTTTAATATCTTATACAGTTTTACTTCTCTGGTAAATTTTTCTTCGTCTGATCTTTTTATATGAATCAACACAAAAATGGCTGGATTTTTTATTTTTTTTCAAAAGCGCTGACAGGGAAAGAGTTGATGATAAGATGCGTAATCTCAGCTGCTTTTCTTTATAGCCTGTCTTATTCAATCAATCTAATGCTAATCGTAACCCATCGGAGGCAGTGCCAGGCGCCCTGGTTGCAGGACTGTGTTTGTCGAGGCTACCAGGCCATGAGTGTTTCCGTTGCGTAAGGAATTGCACTAATCCTCGTCCCAGGGCAGCTATTCCAGGTTCCTTCTGAGGAGGGCATGGAGAAAATGAAATTAAGTGCTTTAGGTGATCTTCCAAAGCTCCCACAACCTGCCAACCATATTTTACTGATCGTTTAAACGACAATTAGTTTGTAAATTCAGAAAAAAATATTGCACTATGCTTAAATCTGTGCTCTGATTGGTTTCTCAGATGGTTGCTAGGGTGTTGCTAGGCATTTTTTACTTGTTTTATTCTCCAGACATTTAGCAAATTGATATGCGTTTACCTACAATTATAAAAATCAATTGCATTAATAGTGATTAATTCATAGCAGATATCACCTGGCCTCTGGTGGTTTGCAGTGTGTCTCGGCAGGGGTTAAAAACAACAACGGAAACGCTTAAATCACTTCATGTTTTCGCTCAGAATAACATCATCCCAGGTAATTGCACATTTGACCGTACCCTCATCTTTCTCTCTTTGCTTTCTCTAGGGGAGCGTTCTCAGAAGTCTTCATGGTGAAAGAGAGAAAAACAGGCAAGCTTTTTGCCATGAAGTGTGTGAAGAAGAAAAACAAAAGGGACCTCAACCTGGAGAATGAAATCGCTGTGTTGCGGATGTAAGAATAAAACCAGTTCTAGGCTTTAGCTATGAAATTACATTAGAAACTACATTAGAAATTCAATCCCAGCTTAGGACATTGAAATTATGGAAGCTCGTTTCCGCCATGGAATAAAAAAAAATGTCTCAATTGTTAGTTTATGTGTCGCAATTTGACTTTTTTACTCAAAATTGTGTTTCATATCACTGAATTTTGTGATAAAAACTCGCAATTGCAAGTTATAAAGTCTGATCTTTTTGCAATTGAGGGATGTGAACTCACATTCCTGAAACAAAAAAAAGTCTGAATTGCGATATAAACTCGCTTATAATTTGGGTTTTATAACTTGCACTTTATGGGATTCTGAGAATAAAAAGCCAAAAAAATCGTTAATTGCAATTGCGAGTTTTTCTGACTTTTTGTGAAATTGTTTATCATAAACTTTACAAACAGAAAAAAAGTTTAAATTCTGAAGAAAAAGCTTAGATATTTAAGATAAAAAATTTAAATGACCATTTTTTATTATTAAATGTAATGTACATTATATATTAAAATATATTCATTTTTTTATTCCATGGTCTAAAAATGCTTATATATTGTAAATGCATTTAAAACAACATTTATCTGATTTTAAAACTGCATAACTGCATTTCCTTATACTAACTTCTTCATTTTTTTTTGTCTACAGGATCAAACACGAAAACGTGGTTTGCTTGGAGGATTTCTATGAGAGTCAGACGCATTACTACCTGCTCATGCAGCTGTAAGCATCATCCCTCACTGAAGCTATAAAGCTCTCTGTGTGTTTACAGCATGTTGTTAAATGTCTCGTATCCCGTCAGAGTTTCGGGTGGCGAGCTGTTTGACCGGATCCTGGACCGGGGCATGTTCTCAGAGTTGGATGCCAGTCGGGTTATCAAACAGGTCCTGGAGGCAGTCGGCTACCTGCACAAAAACGGCATAGTACACCGTGATCTCAAGGTACAGAGACGACCACACACACACACACCTGCATGCATCTATGCAGATAAAGACTTTGAGGTTCTCTCTTTAGCCAGAGAATCTGCTCTACTACAGCTCTGATGAAAACTCCAAGATCATGATCAGTGATTTCGGCCTCTCGAAGATGGAAGAGCATGGCGTCATGTCCACGGCCTGTGGGACTCCGGGATATGTCGGTGAGAATGATAGCCAATGACCAGTGTTGTGCAAGTTACTTCCAAACTGTAATACATTAGGTATTACTTGTTACTGTTATTTAAAAGTAATTCATTACCTTACAATATTACTGTCTCAGAATTGTAATGCGTTACATTACTCATGTATTACTTTTGAGTTACTTTCACCAAAATAACTAAGTAGAACTTAACTTTGGGGCTGTAACGATATGCAATATGAAACCGAAATCGCGATTCGCCACACGACTCAGATCCACGAACCTACAGAATCGCGACACACCTCTTCCAACTCCAGCGTTATTCTCCTTACCGTCCAGATCCAATGCTGCCTTATCTTTAAATTAGGCTGTTAGTATTATTTGAAGTTCACATTATAAAATACGTAGACCTACACCACAAAACTAGTTGAGGATAAATTATTTAAAATTGGGGAAGTCCAGCATTATGGACATGACATTTGCAGTCAAAACTTGAAATAAAAATTCTCAGAAAATACATGTATTGAAACGTATATAGGCTACTTCCTTAAAGGACTCCAGACATTAGACAAATATCAGTCTATGTTTTATTTTTAATATTAGGGAAAAGACAAACATTCATGCGTGACAAAAAAATAGGAGGCAAAATATATTTTTTATAATTCTGCAAATCGGATGAGGAAGGGTTGGCTCTCCAGTCTCCATAGAACTTAAAATATTCATTTTATTTTAGTTTTCGTGTTCGCATTTATGAGGAAAAAACAATGTTACAGACGCGACCGCTCTGAACTGGCACTAAAAGACTGCTTTAAAACTTTCACATAGTCTGTTGCCTTTAAGAAGTAAAAGCAGACAATACACTGTAATACAAGCCTCACTGAACATGTAACGAGTAAAATATTACTGAAAATTGATTAGTAATGCCTTACACTACTGCGTTACAGCAAAAAGTAATATGTTACAGTAATGTATTACTTTTGTAATGCGTTACTCCCAACACTGCCAATGACGGCCAGTGAATGGCAGCTGGTTTTGATTGGCCCTGATGAATCGTGCTCTAAAACCAGAGACATTCACGAAAATAAACAAGTGTATGTATTTGTCTTTCCTCTCAGCCCCTGAAGTGTTGGCTCAGAAACCCTACAGCAAAGCCGTCGACTGCTGGTCTATTGGAGTCATCACCTATATCCTGTAAGTATGTCATTTCTAAGAAAACTGATTTTGGATTAAAATGCACTCCACACTAACACGTGAGTTGGACTGTAAACAGCACCCAGAGTGATAAACTGATGCCAGGTTCTTAAATTTTGGAAACCCAAAGCTTAATGTTTATCAAAACCGACAGATTAGCGAGGTCATTTATCTGTGCTGGTTAAGGTCACAGAATACATGGGATAATGCAGGGCTCTCAGATACACAGCGCCCCCTGGTGGAAATCGTCATTTATTTGATTACGCTTTATTTCAATAGTCCACTGTATACATTCTGCTAACTGTAAGTGTCTTTGCAACTACATGTCAACTAACTCTCATAATTAGAGTATTTGTAAAATTATAGGGTTGGTAAAATAAGCTGATATGTACTTTCAAATTTACAAGACAGTACTAACTAATACTCTAATGACTGGTAGTTGACATGCAACGTTACTTATTGTGGGGCATCAATATAAAGTGTTTTGCTTTATCTTCACAGTCTCTGTGGATATCCTCCATTCTATGAAGAAACCGAGACTCGTCTGTTTTCTAAAATCATGAAGGCGCAGTACGAGTTCGACTCTCCCTTCTGGGATGATATCTCTGAGTCTGGTGAGCATCCAATAATACAACCATTCTTTACTTTCTTACTGCTATCAGGTTGATCTCAACCTCCCTTGTGATTCTGTAAAACACTAGAAGCAATTAACCTCATGTATAATTATTATCTCTCTAGCAAAGGACTTCATCCGCAACATGATGCAGAAGAATCCTAAGGTGCGTTACGACACAGAACAGGCTCTCCGACACCCCTGGTGAGTGACCGCAGGACACCTTTAATGCTCAGACGTTGCTCTTAAAGGGATAGTTCACCCAAAAAATCAAATTCTGTCTTCAATTACTCACCCTTGTGTCTTGATGTGTGAGAATGAATCTCATTGGCGCGAGCTTCTGTTTATCAAATTTGAATGCACTACAAATGCATGTTCGATGATCTATGTTAATGTAAATAAAAGCCTGAATTAAATCTGTTCATAAAGCTGTTATGTCTCTTCAGAAGTCTTGGATTTCATATGGATTTGTTTTACGATTTCTTTATGAAGAGATTTCATTGAAAAATATCTTAATTTGTGTTTCGAAGATCTTACATGTTTAGAACGACATGAGGAATAGTGAATCATGACAGAATTTTCCTTTTTTGGGTGAACTATCCCTTTAAAAAATGTCTGCTTAGTTTAATTAATGTCTCAGAAAAAAAAAAAAGTGTTTTTTGAACCTTTGTTGAGTATAGCGCAGATCAGTGTTGTTTAACTAAAACTATAAAAATAGACTTTAGAAATTGAAATAAAGCTAAAATAAACTAAAATGTGTATATTAGATGAAATATGAAAAAATAAAACAAGTAGAAAAAACTAAATAGAAATATTAAAAAAATGACAAAACAAAATTACCAAAACTTAAACTGAAATGAAAATAAAACAGAATAGAAAAATAATGAAAAATATTTATAATACTTAAAAAAAATATGTTTGTATTATTATATCACTAAAAGAACATAATTAATAATTCCCCTCTTAATTTGATTAGAAATATTGAGTTTGTATTGATATCTCCAACTCGACTTGATATTAAAAGTCTCTGTTTGCTCTCTGAAAGCCACAAATCACAAATGAGATCAACAGTTGTTAGATTAAACTTCTTCCTGTCTTAAAGTCTGGTTAAAAGAGGAAACAAAATCCTCCTGTTTTCCACTAGCTCTGGTTTTAAATCCAGCTTTGACCTGCAGGATTATAGGAAAGACGGCCCGGAGTCAGGACATCTACCACTCCGTCAGTGAGCAGATCCAGAAAAACTTTGCCAAGTCCAAGTGGAAGGTAAAGTCATGTTTCATAACTCTGGTTGGTGTTTGTCTCCTGTGGTTTAGTCTCAGTTGGGTTTTTCAGATGATCTCTGGTCTGATTACACAATTTAAGTCATTGATTTGGTCATCCGTCCGGCCTATAATTGCTCCATATCTGGAACAGACCAGTTTCAGTTAGTTTTAGTGATCTGATTTATGCTTGAAGACATCTGAAGGTGTCCTTGTCAAATCTAATTAGTGGCCTAGAAATTAAAATATATTTTGGAAACACTTCAAGGCTTTATATAACAAATTGGCTTTTTGGATTTAAACAGACAAATGCTTAAGCGTCTATGATTGGGTCATTGTTGCAGTGATTACTGTGTTTCTAGCATGTTATATGTTTGGCAACAGAAATTAAAGGAGTAGTTCACTTTTAAAAAAACTTTTGCTGATAATTTACTCACCCCCATGTCTTCCAAGATGTCCATGTCATTCTCTCTTCAGTCGAAAAGAAATTAAGGTTTTTGATGAAAACATTCCAGGATTTTTCTCCATATAATGGACTTCAATGGGAACCAAACGGTTCAAGGTCCAAAAGACAGTTTCAGTGCAAACTGCAAACTGTTCAAAGGGGTTTAAACGATTCCTGACGATGAATAAGGGCCTTATCAAGCGAAACGATCACTCATTTAATAAATAAATAATAAAGTTTAAGTTTTATAAGCTCAAATGTTCGCCTTGATCTGTACTGCGATTCACGTTCGTGACTCTCCTATTCAAACTCGTTCATCAAAATGAATGAATCTTTTTCCGAGTCAGTTTGTTCAAATGACTCGGTAAAAGAATCGTTCATTTTGATGAACGAGTTCGAACAGCAGAGTCACAAACGCACGTCTGGAATCATTTAAAGCCCTTTGACCAGTTTGCAGTTTGCACTGAAACTGCCTTTTGGATCTTGAACCGTTTGGTTCCCACTGAAGTGTATTATATTATATGGAGAAAAATGCTGGAATGTTTTCATCAAAAACCTTAATTTCATTTCGACTGAAGAAAGAATGACATGGATATCTTGGATGACCATTGGTACTAAAAAATGTGGTTTCGTTCTTCCCTGCACTATACTGACTGTCTAAAATCCTGATCTCGTCCCTCCAGCAAGCCTTCAACGCTACAGTGGCCATTCGCCAGATGAAGAAGCTGCAGCTGGCCCACTCTGAGGCCTGTCTGCAAAACATCCCTCCTCCAACTGTGCCTGAGATCAAGGTCATCGCAACATCCACACCTGAATCCGTCCGAAAGAAGCAGATCGCCGAGACCCCACAACCAAACGGCCACGTGCCCAGTCATCAGATGAACGCGTCGTCCGGCTCCACCGAGGCAACGAGTCAGTACCACCCGATGCGAGTCAGTCACAGCGAGACCACTCATGTCGGGACCCTAACCATTGCAGAGAAGGGCAAACATGTGTATCACTCGGAGCCAGCTGATCTAAATGGGTATGTGTTTGTCTTCAAAGGTCTTTGTTTGAACATTTGTACTAAAACTCTAACTCTCTAAAATTGAAACTCAGCCGTATTAACATATGTGACCCTGGACCACAAAACTAGTCACAATTGTGAAGTCACACGGGGATATTTGTGGCTATAGCCAACAATACATTGTGTGGGTCAAAATTATACATTTTTTCTTTAATGCCAAAAATCATAAGGATATTAAGTAAAGATCCTGTTTCCTAACATAAATATATAAAACATTTATTTTTGTGAGTGAATGCAGCACAATCACGATTTTCTCAATTTTTCGATTTTTTTTTTTTTTGCATCCTCAGTTTCTAGATTTTCAAATAGTTGTATCTCAGCCAAATATTGTCCTATCCTAACAAACCATACATCAATGGAAAGCTTATTTATTCAGATTTCATATATATATATGTATATATATATATATATATATACACAAAAAAAATTAAACATCTGACTGGTTTTGTGGTCCAGGCAGGGTCACATATGATCTCCTGTTCCTGTGTTTAGCCTACATACTGATCCTGATGAAAAACAAAATTCTTAAACCAGCCTAAACTAGTTTTCTGGTTTTCTGGTAGGTTTAGGAGTGGGGTTAAGAATCAGGGGGCGAAGCTGGGTAGGTTTAGGTGTGGGGTTAGGGATCAGGGGGCGGAGCTGGATAGGTTTAGGGGTGGGGTTAGAGATCATCCCTCCCATTAAAAAAACAAGAATTTTATACAAAACTTAATTGCAGATAAATAGTACACTGCCTATAACTTTCCCCTCTACAATCTGAAATATGTTTGAGTGAAACTGTGAAAAATGTGCAACATAATTTGCTTGTATCCATTGATTGATTTACTTTAAATTCTTCAGGTACGCAAAAAGAAGCTCCAACCGAAGAGGGCCGAACCTCCAGACTGGCGTTTGCTCTGTCATGTGATTTGGCTGCATTGGAATTATGTGATTTTTGACAGGTAAAGCTGACAGCTTGATTGTTAAATAACACATACATACGCATATATATATATATGCTACATGCCTCACTTTCTGATGCTGGCTACAGGTCTGTGACCTTTCACCCAGCACTGGCTGCTTTCTGTGGGCAGGTCCTCGGCTCTGGTCAAGAGTGTCTGCAAGACAGATGGCCACCGGCCCGCACCGCTCTGAAATACTGAAGTTTAGAGGAGTAGTGCCTCTGTATCTTCACACACACACGCTCACAGAGCACAAAAACAGCCTGTCACACACTCATGATGACACAGTATCCCTGTAAAAGCAGATAGAGTTACACTTTAAGTGCTGAAACTCCAATTTTGTATTTTCCCTTGAGGAAGTTAATATGTCTGTATTAAAACGTTTAGAGCAAGAGTCCGTGTTACTGGACGCTTGTGTGAGGAGTATTAAATATGTCCTTTTGTAATGCATGGCTAGTTTGTAATGTGCAAAAACATTTAGCTTCACTGTAAGCTGTAGCGATCCATATTAGATTGTACGTCTCTGGAATAAGAAACTACCCAACTGAAGTTCCAGCCTTTCTAATGATTTGTTAATTAGTTTTTTTTTTGTGGTAATTTAACTAGAATGGTTTATTTTTCTAATGAAGAGATTATTATTGTATGTTTATCCATTATATATTTTTGTCATAATGAAGCAGATTAAAATGATTTAACGCCTTTTCCCACCACCATTATAAAACTATAGCCCTTGTTTTGTGCACTATATTGCAGTAATATGTGACACACAAGAACTTCACTGTTAGAAATACTGTATTGTGACTAATTATCTTGAAAGGGATTATAATATAGTTTCCTCTGAACTACAGAAAGGGTTAATGCTCGTGTAGGCTGCTATACTGTCAATGCATTTTACGAATAAACCATCAGTCACTTACATTTTTCTTACAGGTCTAATATTTGTACTTTTTGCAACCTTAGATCGAATTAAAGAGGCCATATGAGCTTTCACAAAGTCTTGATTTTGTTTTTGGTGTCTACTAGATTAGATTTTCATGAAAACACTTTACCTCCCTCATGTTCTCCAATGTTGCAGCTCCTCTCCTCCCGGTCTGTCTGTAATACTGTTTAGTTCCTGTCTCTATGAAGCCCCTCCTTTTAAAAAGCACACTGTGCTCTGATTGGTCAGCTGGACCGGTGTGGTGTGATTGGTCAACCGCTTGTGGAATGTCCCGCCCCTTACCATAAAAGTCGAGTTTCAGCACCATAGGTATCTATATAAAGGCTAGATATCTCGTCCGCGCTGCTGGCCAATGGCGGCCATCTTGTCACAGGCAGCTCGCTCACTGGTAACATTGTTTTAATGCTGCATGTACTTTTTAAATCACCGTAACTTGCTCAATTTTCTACCGATTTTCAAACGGTCTGGTTTGTTATAAACGGCAGAGATGTAGTTATGATACTGCATATTTATGAATAATAAGTGTATAAATAAATAATCATCCAGAATTATAGCCACGTTAATAACGTTTGTAAGAAACCAAACCGTTTGTAAATCGGTCAAGATTTCAACGATATAAGAGTATTTCTTACATCAGATACCACAGAGCCCGCCAGAAAGCCTGTCTGTGACAAGATGGCCGTCGGTGATGACGATAAATAATCCGCCGTGAGACATCTAGCCTTTATATCTATGTTCAGCACACTAAGTAACTCAAACACGGCATTTGCGTAGGGCTGGGGCAGAAATGATTTAAAGGGTTAGTTCACCCAAAAATGAAAATTAAGTCATTAATTACTCACCCCCATGCTGTACCAACCCCGTAAGACCTTCGTTCGTCTTCGGAACACAAATGAAGATATTTTTGATTAAATTTGAGAGCTGTATAACTACCACATTGGCTCCTAAGGGACTGCCTCTTGACGGCCCAGAAAGTCAATGAAGAAAATGTTTAAATATCCCAAGTGACTACCGTGGCTCAACTATATGTTTATCAAGCGACGCGAATACTTTTTGTGCGAAAAAACAAACAAAAACGAGTTTATTCGACTATTTCTTTTCTTCCTTGTAGGCCAAAAACGAGACTTCCTTAGATTTCCACGACGCATGCGCGAGAATTGCGATCTGAAGTAGTGTAAGCTGGTGTAAGCAGATCGCAAATCTCGCGCATGCGTCGTGGAAATCTAAGGAAGTCTCGTTCTGGCCTACAAGGAAGAAAAGAAATAGTCGAATAAACTCGTTATTTTTGTTTGTTTTTTCGCACAAAAAGTATTCGCGTCGCTTGATAAACATATAGTTGAGCCACGGTAGTCACTTGGGATATTTAAACATTTTCTTCATTGACTTTCTGGGCCGTCAAGAGGCAGTCCCTTAGGCAGCCAATGTGGTAGTTATACAGCTCTCAAATTTAATCAAAAATATCTTCATTTGTGTTCCGAAGACGAACAAAGGTCTTGCGGGGTTGGTACAGCATGGGGGTGAGTAATTAATGACTTAATTTTCATTTTTGGGTGAACTAACCCTTTAAATGAGGAATATTGTGACACGTTCGTTCCCGGAAGAAAGCTCAACATTACAATGGAGGCGTTTGAGTGTGACTTTGTAGACCTTTTTCATGTTTAAACAGCAACATTAAACACAAAAAAAAAAAAACTAAAATAGCTTCTCTTTGCCGCCTGTTATTTTCAGACTTTATTTTTTGCTGACATTACATTCAAATATTGTGACAATTGAAACTTTTAGATGTTCCCAGTAAACAAATAATGACTGCCCTCAATCCCGTGTCTGACCTGTAGATGTTATGCAGGTCACTCACCTGAGCTCAGATTAGCACGAGACTTTAGTCATCTTACCGCTGAATGGGTACTAATGCATGAGGACACACTGACACCGCTGACATTATGATGGGTCTTACTGTCATTTATTGCCACCTGTTTACTGAAGATGTGCTAAAAAGTAAATATTTGGCTTTTTTACATTACAGGGCATGTTTCAACGTTTAATTGAAATCATTCAGGGCGTAGGCATTTTAAAATGTTCACTCGTACGGCATGTGTGCATTTATTGTAAATGTTTCATTAAACAGCATTTTTGTGCGTCCAGTCTTCATTGTCACGTGATCCTTCAGAACATGTCAAAATTGGTACTAACAAATCCTGTTCTTGTTCTCCAGTAGCAACAATAACAACAGCAGCAGCGTAGCAGATCTATTCCCCCAAGACCAAACATATCCATTACCATGCCAAACACTCAGAGAGTTGTCGTAACAGAAATGAGTTTCTTCCCAATGTTACAGTGTGAACTGTCACGATCTGCGCGTGTTGAACGTGGTTTCTCAACTCTGTCTGTGCCTCTAGGCAAGAGAGCATGGCACATATCAGAGCCAAACGGGTGGAAAGTGTCTGATACGGGCGTCAGTCCATTACCCAACATTCATCTGCCTTCTCACCTCATGCAAGAGCCTCATGAGAGCCACAGCGCTGATGATTCTTACTCCATTTTAAGGATGTGCTTGAGAAGGGATGTTACTGAAAGTGAAAGGTCAGCATGTTTGCTGTTTAAAAACTCCATATTAATGAAAAATCACTGATGCACAGTTATTGAAGAAAAAGATATTGCAGTGGCTTAATGATTATTGGCATTAATGGCATATTGTGTTCTGCTTTTGAACTTTTTGGCACAAAAAGTCCTAATAATAATTTTTCCCCTTTAAACTTCATAAATACAGCATCATAGCGTTGCAACAACTTAATGTTAATTAGAAAATGAAGAAAATATAGGTTACACTTTATTTTAATGTGTCATTGTTACAATATAATTATACATTTAAGTAATGAGTAATATTAATTACCTCCATGTATAGGGTTATAGGATTAGGATTTGGTTGAGGGTTAGTTTCATGTAAATATGCGTAAGTGCATGTAACATATGTAGCATGGACACTGTAAAATGAAGTATATTATGTTTAAATGAATTGTATTAAATTGAACGACTCATTTTTTTATTTGAAAGTTTTTTGAAGCATTTAAAAATGTTTCTTAATATAAGAGCATGAACAGAGGGCAGTGGAGTAAAGATCATCACAGCGTATGATGTGACGTCTCTTATCATAGTCTAATTTGCTGTCTTAAAACAACAAACAGTGTTTACATTACCATTATAGTTTTCTAGTTTCCTTTTTTTTTTTTACTCGTGTAACACTTAAGGTACACTAGTATGTGTACAGCGTTACGATTTTTTTTTTCTTTTTTTTGCACATTGTATGCTGGAAATACAGTTCTTTTTTGGACATATACCATTGTAAGACCATTATTCTTTACGGTATCCTTAATCCATTACCGTAGCCTTCAGGGTCACATGAAATAAGAAATGTTTATTGAGCGACAAAGCAGGATTTCTGAAGGATCATGTGACACTGAAGCTAAAAATTTTGCTTTGCATTACATAAATTCAAGTATTTTAAATAGAAAACATTTCTTTCAAGCTGTAATATTTCTCAATATTTGAAAAAAAATTACGTTGATTTTACGATTAGCAAAACTTTACCGTCAAAAATATGGTTTCAGCATTATTTTAGGTTACACTGTAAAAAAATAATCCTGTAAAAAAACGGTAAACTACTGGCAGCTGTGGTTGCCAGCATCATACCGTAAAAATACGGTGTGTTACTGTTTTTGAAATTAACAGCTAAATACCGTATTGTCAGCTACAGTATGAAACTTTAATTTAACAGCTATATGCTCTAATACAAAAACAGTAACACAACGTACAGTTAATGTATGACGCTGGCAACCACAGCTGCCAGTAGTTTACCGTTTTTTTTACAGGATAATTTTTTACAGTGGATAGATCTAATGGAATAAAATGTACAATTAGATCTATCACAGTTATTTACCGTATATAGTAAGGAAACTTTCTGTTAACCAATTAACAGTTTTGCCCTCTTTTACCGTTAAAAACACGATAGCTTTTTACTGTATTTTTCCATTAAATAAACTCAGTGTCGGTGAGCATAGGATACTTTTTCAAACACTTTCTAGCTATAAAAGTAGCATGGCACCACTACTGTACATTTTTGAATGCTTTTAGCCCTTTTGCTAATGTTTTTGCTTATAGACCTATTCCTCACACGTCTGTGTTTACGTCTCATATCTGGATAATCCAGGCCTGAGTGTTGTTAAACATCACACTGTAACGTATTTTACCGTTCCTCATAATATCTGTGAACTCTGAATCTGTATTGCTGAATCACCAAGTTCTCTTTACTAATAAACCTCCTCAGTTTGTTTACACACACTCCTCACGTAGAGTGTGTTTTTATGGCGTTTTCACGTGACCATTAGAACACAGGTTTGCTCCACTGTCTTTGTGTAACTTGGCAGACAGGGGTCATCATCTGGCCAGCAGACCCGGAGTCATTTACCGCTCACATGAAGCAACTTGGACAAAAGTTGCATCTGCTTTCCAGCCTCATGAATATTCATGAATTGTGGGCGTCGACCTTTGCACACTGGCCTTAAATAGCCAGAGCATCTGTTCCTGCAGCACCCACTGAAACTCTGAGCATTAGGAGTTATCACCTGAGCGAGTTCTTCTACATCTTGCAAGTAAGTATTTTATACATCCATATATATATATATGTGTGTGTGTGTGTGTGTGTAAATATATATCTTATACCTTAATATACACCCTTATCTGTTTTTAAAATGCTAAATTAGAGTTTATTGGATTATTTTTGTGTCATGTGTTACCATGATGGTGTTTTGTATCTGACACCAAACCTGTGTGAATTTCTTTCTGCTGCTGAACACAAAAGAAGATAATTTGAAGAATATCGTTTTTTCAACCCCATTGACTTCCATAGCATGGATTAAGGGGGAAAAAAACAATGGAAGTCAATGGGGTCCAATCCGACATTCCTCAAATTATCTTCTTTTGTGTTCAACAGGAAATCCATAAAGGTTTAGAACAACTTGAGTGCGAGTAAATGATGATAATTTAGGGTGAACTATCCCTTTAATGCATATTCCTGGGCACCATACACTGTAAAAGGTGATCAGTTGACTTAATTTAAAAAAGTGATAATCCTTTGCCTTAAAATTATTAAGTAAATAAGATTCATGAGATTGAAAATATTAAGTTACGTGAACTTGAATTATGCATGACGTTTATTTACTCAATCATTTGAAGGCAACAGGTTTCCTCACTTTTTTAAGTTAAGTCAAATGATCACTTTTTTTGAGTTTATTTCATGAGATATGAAAATAAACTGTTTTACGAACAGCGTAAGATTAGCCTTCATACCAGGGTACTTATTAATGCAATTCAGTTGATTTGGTTATATTTTCATTTCATGACATTTGATGCTCTTGTTTCCTTTCACAGAAAAACACAACTGAAAATGGACATTCATGAGATCATCCCTTTTGCTAAGGAGTTGCTGAGCTCCGGTCCCTCCAAGGGCTGCCTGAAGGTCTACCTAGTGGGCGGCACGTTCGCTGTCCTGGGAATGGTGAGCGGTGTGGTGCAGGTCGCCGCTTCCCTCTTCCCTGACCACGAGGAGCCCGATTTTGGGATGCTAAAGGTGCAGGAGATCATAACAGAAAAAGAGCATGTCCAGGAGCCACAAACCATCATCCCTGAAGATGACGAAATGGATGCTGCGATGGAGGCCAAGGCTAAGGAGATGCCCATGACCAGACAGAGGCGGATGAGTTTCAGAGCTCACGCTTCATAGGCCTAATGCTCGTGCCTTGCCGCTGTTTATGCCTATGACAAAAACTGAGCCAAAATGAAGTTCTGCTTGTGCACTGACCCGTCATGAGGAACCGTACGGACCCATTTATAGTCCTGAGAGCTGCAGAGCAGCACAGAGAGGGCAACGACTTGATAGTTTACGACTGTTACGAATGTCTGTTTAGATGGTGTAATGATTTTTTTTTATTAGAAGATAACTATTTATAAAGGATGTATAAAAGACATGTGATAGAGTGTGCTAAGTTTTATTGCCATAAAATAAATCCACATTTGCTCAATCTCTGCATCACTCTGTTGTACTAGCCTAGTAAGATGATACTTTTATTCTGCATCAAATAATGTTTCAACTTAACTGTTTTGTTGTTATTTTCATAATTAGAGTCTTTTCTCGGTTGTGCTTTTTTGTGGAATTAATTCATTTATTATTACATATGCATAAGAAGGAAAATCGGATAAATTAGTCTTCTCTGCTCGCTCTAAAAATGGTTTCTTTCAAGCAAAAAAAAAAAAAAAAATTATGGTAATAAAAATATGCAACAAATACACTAAAAAAGATTAAAAGATTAGAACTTGTTGTTATTTTATGGATGATTAAAATTAATGGAAATGTTTACCAATTTATTCAGAATGAGTCCAATACTGATATTTTCATTGTCGGTACTTGCCGGGCAATACCGAGTACCGATACCTGTATTTTCACTGCATTTGTCATTTTTAATTTGGATAAACCAAAAGAATATGAATCATGTTGGCTTAATTTGGCTAGTTGGCTTAAATTGTTCAGCAAATGTATCTTTCATGCTTAATTAAGCCAACTAAAATATAACGAAACTTATTTACCTACAAACGAATCACTCGTTATACATAAATCAGGTAACATGTTTTACTACACATACGATTTAGTTTTAATGCACATGTGCTGAATGAGTGAATGATCAGCAATCAAGAGGATTCAACTTATCAGCTCTTCTCAGCTTGCGCACCACTATAAAGACGTTACTATATGCAGTTTAATATTCCACTAAGTAGATACATTTACTTCATAGACAGCTTTCTTTTTTATACCCATCTCTGTTTCTTTGTCTGGACACAAACACTGTACGCACACTATCGGTTGTTGGTATTGGAGCATTTTTATGAGTAGCCTAGGCCTACAAGAGCACAGTATCATGCCCATTGACAGTATAAGAGATCAGGCCCGATAGCAGTATCGCTATCCGTGCATCCCTATATTGTTTTTATTACGATTATGGATAGACTAAGATTCAGAATTCAGAATCCAAAACATTATTTGTGTAAGAAAATCATTTTTGTGTTTTTTTTTTCTCAGACAAATAATATACTCAAACAACACCACCAACTTTAATAACAACCACATTTATAACAATTCTTGTCATTTTTTAAGAGAAAGAATCTAAAATAAAACGTGTTTTTTTTAAAGACTTGCCTCGGCCGTGCCTTTACTTTGAAAGCAAAGCCGGAACCGGAAGTTAGGCCCGGTCCTCTTTAGGAAGTAAACAAACCCTGGACAGCTCAGAGTCAGACTCAAGAGTTAGATTTACCGGACAAATTGTTGTGCCGTGATCGTGTTGCTCATTGTCAAGGAAATAACGTGAGTACAGTTGTATGACAAAGTTTAATGGTCTTTTCTCTTCAACAACTGTTCTCATTCTGTCGTTTAATCACTGCCAAATCTGAGAGAAACTGTTTATTACGCGACGTTTCTGACACATCACGCTGCTGTTCTCTTATCACTCTCTGTCTGATATTTGCAGTACATGACTCTGAACTTGTTCTTGTTGGATTCATTACTTAATTTGAAGTACTTCTTAAGGACAGACAGCAAACAAACATTTCACATCTGCAAACATGATTCACTGGCTTCAGTGTGTTTAGGTGAGTTAATCCAAAAGCACTAACGTTACACCACACATATCCACGGTTAATTACGTTACTTTGAGAAATAAATATATAACGTTACAGTTTATCTATCTATCCATCTATCTATCTATCGTTATCTGTCTGTCTGTCTATCTATAAAACTCTTATGTTCATATCTAGCTAGCTAGCTATCTATTTAAGATATTTGGGGTTTTATCCACCACACATTTAAGCCATTTGAATATGATCCTATATTAATGCATTATTAATTATTATTAAATGATGTTATTTGTGGAAAAAGTAATGCTTTGTTTATATTGAGTGTTCATTTTAAGCACTTCCTCTTGTCATAAATTACTTTATGTTGTGAATTTCATGATGTGTTTTAGGTCTTGGGGAATCTGAGAGATAAACGGCTGCGTGTAATACAGCGCATCATCATGTCAAGGAAACAGTCAGGAAAGCCCATAAAGGGAAACAGGAAATATGAATTAGAGAGGAAGAGAGACGAGCGGGCGGCCCGTCGGGCTCTGGCCAAAGACAAAAAGAACAGACCTCCTGGAGGGGACGATGGAGAGGAGTTTGTCAGCTTCTCCAACCAGCTTCAGGCTCTGGGTCTCAAACTCCGAGAGGTGCCTGGAGACGGGTATGTGTGGGCTTTTTGTCACAGGATGATTGTGATTAACAGATACGGTTCTTTAAGGAGTCGGGCTTCTGTTTCTCATGTTGTCCCACAGTAACTGTTTGTTCCGAGCTCTCGGAGATCAGCTGGAGGGACATTCGCGGGGTCACCTGCATTTGCGACAGGAGACGGTTCAGTACATGATGACGCACAGACAGGACTTCGAGCCCTTCGTTGAAGATGAAGTGCCATTCACACAGCATTGTAAGAGAAGTCTCTAAAGTGTGTGTGTGTGTGTGTGTTGCCTTAAATCCTCTTCTGCTCAAAATAAACTGGACTCAAATAATTAGATTTCATTGCAACTCACATTAACTTCAGAAATGGCTGTTAATCGTTATCATCGTCACTATCAATATTGCTCATATTTATGACTTTGGAAAAAATAACTTGTCCCACATTATTTGAACTACAGACATTTGACTTGAATTTAATTTTTGGTATGTTTTAGCTTACCTCAAGGGCATCCAAGATAATGTCTTTGTTTCCACAGTAGTTTCAATTTTGATATTTTTAGGTCAAACCGTTCTTGTCTATCAGTCATATAATGGAGGTCTATGGTCACCACCTCAAAGAGCATGCACAGAGAAGTCCAAATTAAACATGATTTAATGTCGTAAATGTAAGTGCACATTGATGGCCTAAGACACGAAACGAGTGGTTTATGTGAGAAAACGAACTATCCCTTTAAGCCACTATGAAACTATTAAAAAACATTTAATTGGAAAAAAAAGGATAGTTTACCAAAAAATTCTGTCATTAATTACTCTCCCTCATGTTGTTCCAAACCCGTTCATCTTTAGAAAACAAATGAGGATCTTTTCAATGAAATCTGAGTTTTTGTCCCTCTGTTCACAGTCTTGCAACTACAACACTTTTACGCTTCAAAAAGTTCATATAAAGAGATCTTAAATTTTCAGCTGGAAGAAAAATTCTGAAAGTGATTCCAATGTTATCATTACAGTTGTGATATGGACTATCCTTTTAAATTTAGATCTAATTAAAACAAATTCATCTGACAAAAATAAACAGTACATTTCCAAAAATGGTAAATCAAAATTGTAACACTGTATTGATGATACAAAAATGTAAAAAAACAAAAAAAACAATGTTAAAATAAAAAACAAGATATAACTTTATATCTATGTTTATACTAAATGTGAGTGCTGTGTTATCCAGCTGTTCCAGTGAATTCCTGCAGGAAAGATCAATTATGTCATGTCATTTTTTTTTCTCAGTGACAAACCTCTCCCAGCCGGGCATGTTTGCCGGGAACGATGCCATTGTGGCCTTCGCTCGCAGCCAACAGTCGAAAGTGGTTATTCATCAGCTGAACGCTCCATTGTGGGAGGTGATGGCGTATTCATGAATTTGATTCATGTAATTCTAAAGTGTGTTGTTATTAATGCTTTTTTCCCTTGCCATTTAGATAAATGGTACAGAGAAGCCGTCATGCCGTGAGCTACACATCGCATATCGCTACGGAGACCATTATGACAGCGTGAGAAAGATTGGAGATAACTCGGAGAGTCCAGCACATCTACGTATAGAGGTCAGCAAACATCAGACATATACACTGCTGTTCAAACGTTGTTGAGCAGTATATGAAGAAGTCTCTTCTGCTCACCAAGGCTGTATTTATTTGATTAAAAATACAAAAAATAGTAATACTGTGAAATATTATGACAATTTAAAATAACTGTATTCTTTTTAATATATTGTAAAATGTAATTTATTCCTGTGATCAAAGCTAAAGTTACAGCATCATTACTCCAGTCTTCAGTGTCCTTCAGAAATCATTCTAATATGATGATTTGCTGCTCAAAAAAACATTAATTATTAGCATCAATGTTGAAAACCTAAATAAATAAAAATGAAAATAACTGTTTGCAACATTGATAATAATGAGAAATGTTTCTTGGTTTCTGAAGGATCATGTGACACTGAAGACTGGAGTAATGATGCTGAAAATTCAGCTTTGCATCACAGGAATAAATTACATTTTATAATATATTCAGATAAAAAACAGCTGTAAATTGCAATATTATTTTTATGAAATAATTCAGTCTTGGTGATATGATATGATACCCAAATTTTGCTGTTGTTACAATTTAATGTGGGATCATGTTTTTTTTGGAACAATATGACTATTTTTCTTCAGCAAGGACTTAATAAATTGATCAAACGTGACAGTGAGATTTCTGTATCAAATAAATGCTGTTCCTTTGAACTTTCTATCCATCAAATTATCCTGAATTTCCTTTTTATTAAACAATAAAAATGATTAAAAATAGTTTCTTGATCACCAAATCATCATATTAGGATCACTTGACACTGACAACTGGAGTAATGCTGCTGAAAGCTTTGATCACAGGAAATTACATTTTTAATTATATAAAAATAGAAAACCAAATTTTTCACAACATTACTGTTTTTACTGTATTGTTTTTAATCAAAGAAAGGCAAAAGAGTGAAAATGTGAGCAGAAGAGACTTCTTTAAGAAAAAACAAATTGTACCAACCACAAACTCTTGATCCTATGTGTATGTACTGTAGGTGACCCTCGTTATGATGTACTAAGCTCTTATCATGTGACTTTCTCATCTCTTCTTTTCATAGAGTCTGAACAATTCCAGACGCTTTGGAGAGGGTCAGAAGGATAAGTCGAGAGGCGCCTCTCCCTCGCGCTCTTTCTCTGAAGATGAAGAGCTGATCTTGAGCGATCTCTGTGCCGACAGTCGGTCCATTTTTAATTCAGTTTTAATTCCGTTTCACTTTATTCCCCAACATGCTCTCACCACTATTTTCTGTCCGCAGGTCAATCAGACAATCTAAGTCAATCAAACGACGCATCACAGATGTGCCTGAGTGATTGGCTGGAGTCTGAACAGAACAACCAATCATCACAGAGAGATTCGGCTTCAGGGACACGCCCTTTATGTCAAGCTGAATGTAGTGAAATCATATCGCCAACAGAGGGCAGCATCTCACATAAGCCCAAGGTAACTCAGATTGTTTTGAATGATAAAATTGTAATATTTGAGATTCTCTGATGAAAATAATAATGTGTATTTTTTTATCCTTTTTAGCTCTCTAATAAACAAAGGAAGGAGCAACAGCGTCTAGAAAAGAAGAAACGCCAAGAGGAGAGACATAAACAGAAGGTTTTACAGGGCAAAGGGTCACATGACCAGAATCAGAACGGACCTGAACCCGTCACTCTTGTCCCAGCGCTTAACACCCTGAGCATCTAGAACAGATATGTACCCTGATCAGGGTTGCTCGGTTTTGGGTGGGCCGTACACTGTGTAATGAACCAGAAACTTTAATAGTTTAAATGTACAGGAACTGTTGAGCGCGTGTTTCTTTAGCATGAAGATGGTATTGAGATGCACGCTGTGCTTGAGATCGTTGGCGGTTGAAACATAGATTAATTAACCCTCGTTAATGTCAGCTGACCCATCGGAGCTCAGCCGAAGAACACTTGGAAAGGGATCTGAAATATGGAGAGAGATTAATGACGGACCACTACTGTATTTAAACCTGTCGGGGTATTTTTGATCCATTTGTTTAAAAAAACGTTCGGTTCTGCCCCTACTTTCAGTTTTTGAAAGCTACTAAAGAATAGAGCATTTAAATAATCATGGGTTAAAATCTAGCGTTTCATTTTCAGACAGTTGGGTGACTTCATATTCTGCAGAGAAATCCTATAAATAAACTTTTCAAATGGGATTTAAATTGTGTAGTATTACATTTTTATTCACGACAAGGGTGAATTTCAGGATCTCACATTTCACCTCAAAATATAAATTATATTTTGCTTTGTAGAAAGTACTTTTATCGTTCCTTTAACATAAAAATATCAATTTAATTTAATTTTAAATCTATACATCTTTTTTAACTATAACATTATAAATGACTGCATTACTGTCATGGATAAAAACTTTAAAAACATTGCATTAATTCAGGTGGAAATGTGCTTTGTTATCTTGCAAATATTAGCAAAACAGGGGAAATGTTAAATAATATATAAATAAATATATAATATATAATAAATAAATATAATATATATATATTATTTTAATAAAATATATAAAACATTAAATTATATTATAATATATTATATAATATATTCTATTATTACATTTTTTTATAAAATATATATCTTATTTTTAGGAAATAAAATATAACTTTCTTAAGTTTAAAGACTATTACACAGAGATTTAAAAACGAAAGCAGACATGGATTGAAATTGATCCTTTTTTTATTTAATAAGTGAAAACATTTTAAAAACAGTGATGTGTAAGACGTGCAGCCAAGCCGGGAATGAACAAGCACCATTTCATAATACATAAAGCTTGACCTGCCATTATGATGCAACAAACAAAGACACAAAATAGCAAATGCTAGATTTTTTGGATTCTTGCTGAATGACCCTGAAATATGGGATTCAAATGGTTTTCCTTCTTATGTCTAGATGAATGATATGATGTAGAAAATTATTCACATCATTAAAAGTCAGAACAAAATGATGTATCTGTAAACACTATTTTAAGACCATGATCCAGCCTGTTAATATTTAATAAATGATGAATCTAATCTACACTATGCATGCACAGTGAAAGCCTTGACCCACTGAAAGAGTCACTACTCTTCAAACAAACCAATCGTGGCCCTTTTGAACCACCAAACATCTGCGACCAACATCTGCAAAGTCTTAATACTTTAGCCACAGTGATAAAGATCCATGCCAGATTTTCAGTGTTTCACCGCTGAGAGAATCTGCAGCTGTGGTAATGTGTTAGTTAAAGGCATGGTTCACTTTGAAATTATTTTTGGTATGTTTTAGCTTACCTCAAGGGCATCCAATATGAAGGTGTCTTTATTTCCGCAGTATTTTCAATTTTGATATTTTTAGGTCAAACCGTTCTTGTCTATCACTCATATAGTGGAGGTCTATGGTCACCACCTCAAAGAGCATGCACAGAGAAGTCCAAATTAAACATGATTTAATGACTCGTAAATGTAAGTACACACTGATGGCCTAAGACACGAAACGAGCGGTTTGTGTGAGAAAACGAACAGTATTTATATAGTTTTTACCTCTTTACCACAGCCACGTTCAAGCGATCTGAGGGTGTGGGCACTTTCCGGCTGTGGTTATAAGAGGTAAAAACAATATAAATACTGTTCGTTTTCTCACACAAACCGCTCGTTTCGTGTCTTAGGCCATCAGTGTGTACTTACATTTACGAGTCATTAAATCATGTTTAATTTGGACTTCTCTGTGCATGCTCTTTGAGGTGGTGACCATAGACCTCCATTATATGACTGACATACATGAACGGGTAAAAAAAGACACCTACATCTTGGATGCCCTTGAGGTAAGCTAAAAAAAAATAATTTCAAAGTGAACTATCCCTTTAAGCATGGATTCAATTTTAGCATTGACCTTAAAGAAAAACCAGTGATGGAGGCCATTCAGATTCCCCATAATAGTGTCTCATTGTTCCCTTTTTTAAACTGTATGGAGGAATCTAAAAACAAAAATACAGTAACCAACTATGTCTCCGATAAATATAACTCAAAAAGCATTAGTAGGATATTTACAAAGCTTCGGTGATATAACTAAATAAAAACTTGATTTTCTTGAATGTATAAACATTCTAGCAACTTAATTAAAGGAATATCATGGGTTCGAGACATAGCACATAAATGTTAAAATGTACAGTTTGGAAAGTTGGTTAATTTTGCCAAAACCCTGTCACTTTCACTCAATATGTGCGAGGATGCTACAAACTACCACAAGTGCATTACAGTTGTTTATAAGGGGATGAGTCAAAATTATGTGCGATAATATGCTGCGATAGGACTCGTATTGAACCCGAAACATTCCTTTAAAAGTCACTTTTGAGCTCTGAGTCATTCAGTCTCTGTATTAGAAGTGTGGTTTGGGGTTTGTGTGTCAGTGCATGTTGTATTGCTGTGTTTAAAGATCACCATCTATGGGTGATGAGTTTTCCAACAGAGTCCTGGACTCCCCTGTCCTCCCATCTGTCCATTTGTGGAAAGCTTTTGGTGTTCATCCCTCCATCTCTCGTGTTTGGCAGAGCGGTGCTCCACGGTTCCAGGTCAACACAGCTGTGTAGGAAAACAATCAAAAGGTACCATTGTTATTATAATAAAATGTGCGTTTAAAAGCGTATGAGGTGTAAAGAGCTTAACATGTCGCTCTTTGTTTGTCCAACCAATGTAATATTACGTCATGCAATTCTGTATCATATTTGATGCGCAAATTTCTAAGGCCTTTAAATTATCAACATGATCAGAAAAATACTTGTTTTTTTGTAGGGAGCTGCTGTAATAAGTGAATTTCCCTGGTGTTTGATTAATAAAGTCAATGAATCATAACTTTGCTGAAAAACCTGTTGCACACACTCTACTACATGCCCTCTGATTGAAAAATTCATTCTTTTGGCAAGTTAAAGGCCTTTTAGTTTAATATAAGTCTTTGCAATTTAATCTTTACTGATTTTTAGAAGGTTTTATAAAATAAGAACAACTATTATATTGTGAGTAATATTTCAAGGACTTAGAGGACTTGTGGTTAAATATATATCATATTTTAAAATCATGTTAAAATGAGAGTATCAAATATAATCCATCAGGCTTTTAAGGAAGGTGTTCATCTGTCAATCATCATTGTATTGCATTGCATGTTTTGTCCTAAAATAAAACTACAGAGAACTAAAGCATTTAACTCTTTCCCTGCCAACTTTTTTTTTTAAGCTGCCAGCCACCGACAGCATTTTTTTTTTAAATTTTCACAAAAATTTAATGAACCCAGTAATATTTTTCTGAACATGTAGTATATCAAAAGAAAGAACAGAGCCTCTGCTTTTAAACAAACATGTTTTATTCTAGCTTTATTCATTCTTTTAGGAATATATGAAAAATAAGCAACATTTTGAACAAAAAGCTGAGAAAATTTGGTGTTTTTTCTTTATAAAAAAATTACGTGCATAAACAATGCTTTTATGTCTTTTTTTCTGCTTCTTCGCTAGTGTTTTGATCCGGAGATTCGGTGCTCTTTCAGAACACGTGTAATAGCGCCCCCTACCGTATAACAGTAAAAACGCTGAAAAATTCCGTCAATGGCGGGGAAAGAGGTAAATATCATCTTACTATTATTATTCGTAAGGTGACAGCTCATATTTATGTGCACTTTATGAAAGTAGTCTGTTATACTGGTATAAAGATATCACTGATTTACATTAGAAGCTAGAGGAATGTTTGGTAGCACTTTATTCATTATTTTAAATGTTTGGTAGCACTTTATTTACTTTATACAGTCCTGTTCTTATTACAGTAATTACAATAACAACTATAGGTACTAACCCTGAACATAACCCATAACCCATGTATTTACCTTTATATTACCCAGTATTTTAGTACTATAGTAGTATGTAAACTGTAAGCACACATAGTCTACTGTAAAAAATAAAGTGCTTTTTTTCTTATTTAACAACAGCAACTGCACCAAATTGCATATTTTGCTCAGTTTGGGCCTGAGTGTGAGCTCTTATACTATATGAGCCACAAAATCCTCATGTTATCAAATATGATACTGGCAGAGGAAAATATTTTTCATATTTCCTCTAAAGGAATTTCAAACAACGTGATTTTGCAGACTATATTATGCCATATGCCAGGCTTCACAGACTTTTTTCATATATCATAAGCTAACCCATGATTTTTCCCAGACAGGCGTCTCACCGGAGGCCTTCAGGCAGTGCAGCAGAGCCCCTCCCCGCGGGCCGTCCGGTACACCGGGGACACGCAGACGCGGGCTCTGGAGGGCACGTGGTTGAGGGTGGTGGACAGCCGGTTAGGTGGTAAATACAGGGTGGAGCGCTGGCTCTGACCTCGCTCCCATGTGACCCAGTAACCGCGCAGGCCGTCGAAACTCCCCTTCCACCGGAGCTGTACTGACTCATCGCCCACTGTGGTCAGCTGCAGATCCGAGAGAGCCGGCAACACTGACAGAAAGAGGGAGAAAGGTCAAGCTTCCCGTTTCTTGCTGGGAATCAGAGCGAGGTGAGGGGATGTGGGAAGGATAATAGCAGGAAAGACTAATTCCAAAACTATTCCAGATGCTCTAATGAATTTAATTAAGGACTAAACTTAATTAACTTAAAACTAAGGGTGTGTTCACACTTGTAGTTTGGTTCTCTTGGTTCTTTTTAGTCAGGGTCGAATAAGAAAATGATACATTTAGTCCTTGCTTAGCGTTCATACTGTCTGTATGTATGTATGTATATATATATATATGTATATATATTATATATAATATATATTATAAGTATGTATATATATGAAGAGTTCAGATGCAAAAGCCTCTAAATGCCATTTGAAATTTTCTTCTTTAATGATGATTTTTATCAAACTTGTATATTTAAGTTCAGTAATTTCACTTAAATAACAATTAATAGGTAATTATCATTGCCATTTAAGTGAAATCACTGAACTTAAATATACAAGCTTGATAAAAATGATCATTCTAGAAGAAAATTTCAAATGGCACTTAGGGGCTTTTGCATCTGAACTCTTCATATATATATATGTATATATATAATAAATATGTATATATATATATATATATTGCGACGGAACTTGTCGAACATCCAAAACAATGGTGTACCGAGCCAAATGTACAGTATGATGGAGTTGAGATATTTTGAAGAGCTTATAAAATGTGTAAAGGAGTCAAAACGGCAGCACACACACACACACGAAGATCCGCTGCGAGGAGACCAGTTCCTACACCTGTACTGAAAGGGGCAACATTGATAAGAAAAAAACAGGTGTGTGTGAGCATTCTGTCCCTTTTAGGGTCGCATCTTGCGACATCACATCCTGTTTTTGGTTTGTTTCCATGTCTTTGGTCCGTGTTGCGTTCATATTTCATTGGAACCGCACCAGAGTTTATTTGAAAGTGGACTGAGACCCATGTTTTCAGCGTTCTTGGTCCGCTTGTTTGGTGTACCAGGCTTCGGATGGCAGCGTCAATTCAAATGAAGCGCATTAGGGGTGTGTGTTCACACCTGGCAGGTTTAGTTCGGTTTAGTTGATTGCTCTGTTAGTTCTGTTTATTTGAGTAAGTGTGAACGCTACCATCTGAACCGTGATGTGAACCAAACAAGCAGACCAAGAATGCTAAAAAGGGTCTCAGTCCGCATTAAAATATGAACGCAACAAGGACCAAAAACAGGACGTGATGTCATGAGATGTGACTCTAAAATGTTTTTTTCTCATCATTTTCCCATCACTTCAGCGCAGGCATCAGAACCAGCGTCTCCTCGCAGCAGATCTTCGTTTGTGTGTGTGTGACGGAGGGATTCCTGACGCTGTTTTAACTCTTGCACATTTCAGAAGCTCTTCATGAGTTCTCAGCTGGTCAAAATACCATCATATGTAGCTACGCACATACAACATCTCACCATAGTTCGTTTTAATCGAATCCAACATGCCAAGTGTGAACAGTACTCACTGGAAAAGGAAAGTGCACTAATAAAGGTGTGCATGAGAGATGGTTTGGTCCTCACCCTCCTCCTCCTCCTGTGTACAGGCTTTGACTGACATGGCTCTCTCTTTGCCGTTGGACTGCCTCGCGCTCACGGTGAGCAGGTACGTTGTGTCGGGCTGGAGGTCGGTCAGGACGGTGGAGTTCTGCCTGTTACTGACGCTGGTGACCCGGAGCGGGCCTGAAGGAAGAGCTGAATACTCCACCTGATAGTCCTGTATGAGGTGAGGGAGCAGTGGAGCCCAGCTCACACGCACACTCCTGCTGCTCGACTCCGACACACTCACGGTGGAGAGGGTCTGCACCTCTGGCTGAGGAGGGTTCACTGGGGAGAACACATGACAGCTTTCAACAACCATGGGGAGACTTTCACTTTTTGTCCCTTAAAAAAATGTATAATATATTGAGGGCTCCTTTGTGTCGCTTAACATGTGTAAAGACAACAAGAAACTGTTCACATCCCTTTTTACTTCAATAGTTTAAAGTTTCAGAAGGTAACGTTTTTTGTATGAAGACAAGGCACCCATTTTTATTTCATGTTGAATTTAACAGTGAATATGCTGTACTTTTGTGTTTGTTTTTCAGAATTTCTCATTATTGTAATAGAGCTAAAATTGCATTTTAATATTACAATAAATGTTAATATTAATAAAAAATAAAATTTGAACATTAAATTATTATTATTAATACATTGTATTCATTTAAAAAATAAATATATATGAATATTACATTAATTAAATTGAATTAATGATAAAATAATAATAATTTAAAAAATGCATTTAATGTTCATATTTAATCAATGCTATATAACAATAATAATAATTATTATTATTATTATTATTAGCATTCATTAAACATTAAAGACGCAATGATAAAGTACTGGCCATAAAAATAATTCTTAGTAAGTATAACTTCTTATTTTTATATGTATTATTATTTATTAATATATTATTTAATGTAAAGTCAATGGTATTTAATGGCAATATTAATAATAATAATAGCATTAATTTGATATCATTAATTAAATATGAATGTTAAATGTATTATTAATAATATTACTAATAACAACAATACTATATTTTATGTTCTTATTATTATAAGCTTGAATTAAACATTAAAGACACAACGACCAAAAAGTAATGGTCATAAAATCATTCTCAGTATTTAGTAAGAATAGTTTCTTATTTTTTTTTATATATTTGTCATTATTATCATTGTTTTTATTATAATTAAATGCTAAGTTAATGGTATTTAATGCTAATAGTTATAATAACAATAATTATAATTATTTAAATGTATATATAAGTGGGTTGTCTAAGACAGATTGATAGATAGACAGATATATTGAGCAGATTTGTGAGTTTGAAGTGTGATTAATCTGCATATTGAGCACCTGTCTGTGTAGTAAAGGTGGCGTGAAGCGAGTTCAGGAACTCCAGGTTGGCCTTCGGTGTGAGTGTGACTGTATATGTGGTGTCAGGACGCAGGCCAGTCAGCTGAGCCGAGCTGGTGTCTCCAGGCCGGGTGATCCTCTGAAACGGACCCGAATCAGTGCCAGGACTGGTGCCCGGACCCACACTTCCTCCGATCTGCCCTGTTCGGACGGGACCAAACTGGATATCGTAGTAGCCAGTCCCAGCCAACACAGGCCTCCACTCCAACTGAGCCGAGGTAGCAGTGACCGACTTCACCTGCAGCCTCTCGGCCCGGATAATCTCTGAGACAAAGACAAATCAAACATGATGAATCTTGCCTAGCGCAATTTAAACAGGATACAACCCCACCTGGTCTGAGTTCTAGCCTGCAGTCAATACGTTTGTTTATGTAAGTTGCACATATGTAAAGCCTTATATATATGCGAAGGAATGCCCACTAATAATAGCCGTGTCTAGCGCTCCGGGGGACTTTGCAAAGGACAAAATCATTTCTGTATAAATAGCCCTCATCTCTCATTACAGTGTCTGCCGGTTTCTGTCCCCGTTTCCTCCTGGCACTTCTTATCTGTGAGCCGTCTCAAGCTATTTGTGTCGGAGACGGACTTGACTGGCATTCGAGATTCCTTCGGCACACTGGGGCGGAGGTACGGAGACATTTACACCCACATCAGATCACTCTCCCTATTTAGAAGACACTCTCATACTCTGGGTGAAATCATGGTCTACAGAATTTCATGAAGTGTTCACTTTTCAAAAAACTTTTGCTGATAATTTACTCACCCCCATGTCATCCAAGATGTCCATGTCTTTCTTTCTTCAGTCGAAAAGAAATTAAGGTTTTTGATAAACACTTTTCTCCATATAATGGACTTCATTGGGAACCAAACGGTTCAGGGTTCAAAAGACAGTTCCAGTGCAAACTGCAAACTGTTCAAAGGGCTTTAAATGATTCCAGACGATGAATAAGGGTCTTATCAAGCAAAACGATCGCTCATGTAATAAATAAAAGTTTAAGTTTTATAAGCTCAAAAGCTCGTCTTGCTCTGTTCTGTGACGCATGTTCGTGACTCTCCTGTTCGAACTCGTTCATCATAATGAACAAATCTTTTTCCGTTCTTCTTCCGTTCTTTCTTCGTTTGTTTCGTTCGTTGAAAGAACCAAATAACTCGGAAAAAGATTTGTTCATTTTGATGAACGAGTTCGAACTGAAGAGTCACGAACGCGCATCACAGAACAGAGCAAGACGAGCATTTGAGCTTATAAAACTTAAACTTTGTTATTTATTTATTAAATGAGTGATCGTTTCGTTAGATAAGACCCTTATTCATCGTCTGGAATCGTTTAAAGCCCTTTGAACAGTTTGCAGTTTGTACTGAAAGTATCTTTTGGACCTTGAACCGTTTGGTTCCCATTGAAGTCCATTATATGGAGAAAAATCCTGGAATGTTTTCATCAAAAACTTTAATTTCTTTTCGACTGAAGAAAGAATGACATGGACATCTTGGATGACATGGGGGTGAGTAAATTATCAGCAAAGGTTTTTTCAAAAGTGAACTACTCCTTTAAGAATTTTGTGTTTTCACTGTTATGCCTTATAAAACGGTTAATTCCGATCCTTGATTCATTCATGATAAAACACGGCTATGACCGCTTGGACTGAAGGGGATTTGGATTTGCCATGGACTAAAGCAGTTTTTGAGATATTTAGATGAAACACACCAATAATTGCGTTCCTCAAGTCTTCACTGATGATGTTGATATCGTCAATGTCCACAAAGAACAGGTGCTCCTCAGTGGGTGGACTCGTGACCTCTCTCAGCACCTGGAAGTTCCCGTGACCAGTGGAAACCACCAGTACAGCCACCCCTTCGTCTCGCAGCCTCGTCATTGGTTCCCGTACATCGCCGGGATCCACTCCATCCGTGAGCCAAACCAGAACCCTGGGAAGATCCGGTCTGGCACCTCCCGGGACCCCCGGTTTCAAAACCTGGTTCCTAGCCACCAGAAGAGCATCTACCGTGTTGGTGTCGCCCTTCAGCTGTTTAGTCCTCTCCAGGGCCGCCTGCAGGCCTTGCTGCGAGCTGTAGGCGTCGAAGCCGAACTCGAGATGGGGCTCTGTCCCGACCTGCAGCAGTCCCACCCTCACCTGATCCGGGCCGAGCGAGAACGGCAGCAGGAGCTCCGACAGAAAGTCCACCATACGGGAGAACTCGTAGGAGGACACGCTACCAGAGGAGTCCAGGAGAAACAGGACATCTCCCTCGCAGCAGTTCAAAACTGTAGGTGAAAAACAACAGCACACATTAAGTACATGATTCATGGTTTAACATCTCAAAATGGGGGGGAGATGAGTGTTTAGTTAGGACATACTGAAGCCGCACTGAAACACTCCAGACTTCTCGAGGCATGAGGAGATAGTTTGTGTGAGTAGAGTCAAGCTGCTATGGTCGTGTATTACTTTACTGTCCGCCGGCTGTAAATCGTCCACTTGGTTAAAAACAAGTAAAAGCACATTTCTCTTCAACAAGCCACATGATCTTAGATATCATTTACCACAAACAAGCCACAAAGATTAATATTTAAAGGGATGGTTCACCCAAAAATGCATTTACTGTAATCATTTACTCTAAACAATGCTAGGTTGTTTCAACCCAAATTTGGGTCAAATATGGATAAACCCAAAAGTTTTTCAACATTTGGGTTAGTCCATATTTTACCCAAATTTTGGTTCAAACAACCCAGCATTGTTTAGAGAGTGTTACAAACCTGGACGAATGAACACAAAATAATGTTTTGGAAAGAATGATTATTGCTTTAAGCTTTTATTTGACTTTCATGGGGAATAAATGATGACAGAAGTTTATTTTTGGGTGAATTATCCCAGGGTTATGGGTTATAGTCTTGTAGGGAAGCACAATTAATTTGATTAATTGAAATGCATTTATTTAATTGTTTACAAATAAAAAACAATTCAGCAATAAATTAATAGTTTTCATTCAATTCTTATTATTGTAATAGTTCAAATTATATTTTTGTTAAATTATATAATATATAAAAAATAAATAAATATTTAATGTTAAATAATTTTTTATATTATAAAAAATATTAATACTTTTTAAAATATTATTATTATTATTGATAATGTTTTTTTTTTGTCCTTTTAGGAGCTTGACAGTCAATATTTGCTTTTGTATTATGGAAAAGATCATCAACTTCTAAATGTGGGTTGACAAAAATCAGTTTTTGAAATATTTCTGTGAATATTGCATTAAGACAGTAAATATGTCTTATTTGTTAGTAATATTTACTTAATAAAAGATTTTGTAGTAGTAGTAGTAGAAATAATTAATAATATTAATAAAGTTAGTGCATTATTATTATTTTAGTTATAAAATCACAAAATTGTTCAGCCCTACAACAATCACATCATCTTCCTCGCAATAGCACGGCTTCAGATGTTTACTATGGAAGTTGACATTTAAACTCATTAAATGTTTATAGCGAACGCAATAAAATGTGGAGAAACTCTGAGAAAGAGCGGCCGAATGAAGATAAGTGTGAAACCGAGTGAGGAAATTAGTCATTTGCGAAAGGAAGCAGGCTGGAACGGTAGATTCTAAAAATAAGGATGAGAAAACAGTAGTATTTATTAGGATAAGGAAGAACTGGGGGCTTCGCGATATTTAAAGAGATGGAACATTTGATTTGGCCATTACAGGAATTTCCTGGCAGAGGAGCCCTCTAACCTGGAGGAGCTTGATAAACATAAACAGATGGGGGAAGGAACAGCCCTGCTACTGGATGTTGCAAGCGGACTGACGGGCACGCATGCAAAAAGGGGGGAGGTGAGAATCGGCTGTTCCATATGAAGTAAAAGAAGGAATGTAGAGGCAAATCCCTGAAGAGGAAGAAAGAGTGTGTGCAGAATAGAGCGAGTGGGCGAGAGGGTTCAGATGAATGCCAAGCATTCGCCAAGACGCCAACCCAAGTCCTGTGTGAAGATCTGGAGATGTCATATCTTGCAAATTGATTTCATTGTGGCCCATTTTTTGTGATAAAGGTCAGTTTCACAAGTGGAACCAATGCAACCTACTAAAATCTAAAAGTTCCGCTTTGCTAAGAGAAAAGACTGCTAAATAAGTGAGTGTTGCCATACGGTTGGAACCAGGGTGCGGTGGCATATAGAAGCGGCTGGAGTTGCTCTAAGGCTCTTCCAAAATTACTCTGAGTCACTGTTGGTGTGTCTATAGTTTTGTTCAGGCAGGCATCAAAATAATTGGTTTATTTATGTGGACATTTTTGTGGCAATCAGATTCAAATGAGTAGTTCAGGCTTGAAACTCTATTCGCGTTCTGATTGGTTGTTTCAATGTAATTTCCAGGGTCAATCGGTTTCACGTATGCATTACTACCTCAACTAGGGGTGTAACAATTGTTTCAATGTAATTTCCATATCTGCTATGGGGGTCTAAACCACATATGCTGTTTGAAATCTGATTAAAGTCCAAAATGTTATGACGTTGGCATGCAAAAGGCATGTTTGAGTTCAGCTGTTCGAATTGAGCTGTGTTTGAATACGATTGATCGTGAACAATGTGACATTCACTAGTGAGTCAGCAAGTTGGACACAGTACATGCATGAATTCCTCTGTTGCTTATATTTCATCAAGCGTCTCATGAGTGCAGTGGGATGTCATGATAGACATCAACAGAAGCAAAGTGTACACAATACCCCTATTTTCTGGGGAAGCGGTCGATAGCCTAACATTAGTGACTGACAGGAAGAATCCTTTAATTCCCACGCCTCACTCAATGTGCATGTCAGTGATGTGCTGACAAGAAGTTATTTCGGGTCTATTCATACAGCAAATACTCCCTGTCAGTTATAAGTCCTGAAAATGTAAGGGAGTGACATCAATTATAGATTTTTTTTTTTCAATCCAAATTGTGAATGAATATAACTGTATTTAACACAGCAAAATATAAGAAGATTACCACAGGGAGAAAATGCATTAATTCATCATAAAAAGTTTAAGAACTGTATTTTTCTTTTCTTTTGCGTGAATCACTTAAACTTGGACCATATGTGTTGAGAGAAAAGAATCCCCTAACACAATGTGTGAAGGAAAGTGCTTTTACACGCATGTTTCTCTTATAGCTCACATGTTTGTATAATTTATGTCTGCTGGTGCTTCATCAGTCATGTTTAACAGACAGTAATCCTCTGTAATGAAATAAAAGTAGCTCCAGATTTTTTCTTTCAGTCACATTATTGTTTAAAAGGCTTTGAAATCTTGATGAATCAACCAAGAATATAATAGAATAGAACAGAATACTGAGTAATATGAATTAACTATGCGTACTAGTAGTATAGGGCTATGGTTAGGACTTTGTTGTAGGGTCGATTGCATAATTTATAGTTATTACTATAATATTACATAATATCCGAACAACACATAATATGTAAAATAAAGTGTTGCCTAGAATGCTAAGGTTAATGTTAACTCTGAGCAGTGGTAAGTGATTTACATTCGTGGGCTAATGATTATTATAGCACTCAAACTCAATGCATGTTTGTTCTGGAGAATGAGACTAGTTAACACTTTGGTTATATTATGTTAACAGAAGTTAATACAATAATAACTAACATGAAATTTATTTTTGCTCATGTGTGTTGCAAAATAAAAGATTATTCTCTTCTGAATCAAGTACTAAGTGATGTCTCACCTGACCCTGATCAGGTACTAACCCACTTGACTCACCTGTCCTGACTCCTGATTCAGATGAATCACCTGTCCTAAAACATGACTCACTTAAATCAAATACTGACTCCTGAATGGACCAAGGTGCTTCATCGTATGGAGAACAGTAATAATTTACCAACAGAGTCTTGAACTAGACGTTCATTTAACCAATATAATCCACTGATATACTGAGTCATACGGAATAGTTTATCGTTCTGGTTTTGATCCGAATGAAATGCTTGACTCAAATGACTCGGCTAAATCAGGCACCGAGTTTAGAATTAGCACATATGAGTCACATAAATCGTGTCCTATGGATTAAAGAATGCGAAATCTCATACTTGAGCTCCGAATTAAAACATGACTGAAACGACTCACCTGAATCAGGTACCGAGTCCTGAGCGTCACCAGCCCACAGAAACACGCTGATCAAAACACACGTGAGCGCTTTTCTGACCTCCATGGTTGACTTTTATGTCAAAATTATAGTCAATTCTGCACGTTTTAACGCGTCTACATTGCCTAGCACAATTTCTATTCGATGTATATTTCTAAAATCCGCACGGTTCACTTTAAAAGTCTCATTCAATGCAGGCAGTCACCAGAACTGCAATAAAATGTGCAGCTGCAGCACCTGCGCCACTATTCTACATTCTACGCGTCGAGATCGAGATATAAACAACACGAAACTTTTTGTTGATCAAAGGCAGTTTCGGATTAAAACCCTCTCTCTCTCAGTGTCAGAGCTACTGAATGCAGCAGGTTCCTCCCGCCCTCGGTGAACTGCGCACTCCTCCTCTAGTCCTTACGGGTACCAGCGTCACCATCTTGAACCTGTGCCCGGGTTCTGGTCCTTCTGATCTTTATGCTACAGTTATTTTCTTGCTTGGGAATGGTCATATAATATGTATCATTATGGGTAACTAGAACTGGCCACTTGAGAGTTCAGTTGTTCATTAGTTCAGTAGCCTTTTAGATGACACTAATGCTCATGGTCCCATGACACTATTTTTTCTTTACACATAGCATAGTGATGATACTGCAGGCTATGTGTTTTGGTCATGCATACTTTAAAAGTATACTTGTATAATTAAAAATAGAGCGTGCTAATTATAATGCATCATAATATAATAACATTTGCGATAAATACATGCTTATTTGATTAAAAAATACAGTAAAACATTAATGTTATGAAATAGTATTACAATATAAAATAATTGATTTCTATTTTAATATATTTGCGATCAAAGCTGAATTTTCAGCATCCAGTCTTCAGTGTCACATGATGCTTCAGAAATCATTTTAATATGATGATATGCTGCTCAAGAATTTTTTTTGATTATTATCAATATTGAAAACTTACATTTTTGATAAATAGAAAGTTCATAAGAGCCGCATTTATGTGAAATATAAATCTTTTGTAATCTTTTAAGTCTGTCACATTAATTAATGCATCTTTTTCTAATAAAAATAACGAAGGAAAAATAGCTGGAAATTCATCTTTGCATCAGAGAAATAAGTTATATTTTATAGAAAACACTTATTGTAATATTTTACAATATTGTTTTACAGTATTTTAGTTAGAAATTCAGCCTTCTTGAGGATAGTACATTTAAATAGCTAAAAATATATGCTTCTACTGATATTTTCAGTTTCTTTCTGGAAGATATCCAGATGGTGAAGTGTTAGTTATCTTGGTAATAATGTACTTGTGAACATGGTTTCATTTTATTGTGTTTGCCTTACAGGTACACTTCCAGACACACCTAATAATAGACTCACATGTGAGGAGATGAGATAAAGTCTTATATAGGGTAAGTATATAAGGAAGTAGTAAAGACAACTTTCGACCAAACATTGTATTGGACCAATTTCGTATACATTGTAAAAAGATCCCTAAAGCCGTGTTCTGGCGTTCACCATTACACACCTACTAAGCAAACAGATATGATATGACGTTTGCGGCGCTGAATTTACATTCAGTTAGTTACCGCAATTCTTCCTTTGAACTATCCCTGGGCAAACCCTGTGGAAAGTTCAAAACCCCTGCAGAGATTGTCAAATGGATATTGCAATTCATAAACGTGATCGTTTCGGGACAGTGTTGTGCATTGCTACACCCAACCAGTCTAGACACGCACCCTCATAAGACTGTCATCATGTGTACACTGTCCAGTCTTTGAATCCTTCATCCAATAAATCAGGTGCATCTCTGCACCTGGAAAAACGTTGCTCTGGAATGTGTGCAGCTTTTTGCATTGAGTTGCAAAGCAAGTTGTCCAGCGATACTCTGTTATTCTCATCGAAGATGAGGTAATATCATTCCAGAGAGTGTTGAGAGTGGAAATAAAGTGGGAGGAGAGTGATTTGAATATCAAATAGCACTGCAGAGCAGATTTTAATCAAGGACCAAGTCAAAAAAGCATGGACTTTCCACTTGAGGTGTGTTGAATTTCAAGAGCGCTTCATGAAAGCACAAATAGGTGTCTGAGTTCTCAGCCAAAATGGCTAATAGCTGTTCAAGTGAGCACTGTCCTGGAACTGCATGGTCACATGATCTCACTATAGGGCTTATATTAACTGGATTGAGTCACTGGATGTGAGTGGGTATGAGGGAATGGCACTCCTCAGAGACGGCTCAGTTTTCTTAATGTGGACCAACATGTGTTGCTTTGAATGGCGGTTTGCTGGTGTCTCTATCAGGCTTTAATAAGAAGAATTTAATGATTATAAAGACTGGCTTGGTTGGGTAGATACTGTTAGTTCCAGCATGGCTTGAGTGCGTCACCAGCTGGAAGAGTCGAAGTCTTGCAGAGATGTTGCTGCAAGAAGGAGGGGAAGTTATTTAGATTAACGTGAATTTAAAATAAATAATCATGATGTGCTTGGATAGATCATTTATAATAAATACCGCAATATTCCATTAAGACCGGAACGCTTCAATAAACTATACCATTTTCTTATATTCTTTATTTAAAATGAAAAGCAGGATCTGGAAGGGTTTGTTATTGACTTGCATAAATCAGGCGCAATCGAATTCACTCTTAAGCAACCGTAGACCATTCTCACACACCCTCGGAGAGAGTGCTCAGTATGTAATTGTGGATAATACAAATTTTTTGGTGAATCAAAAACTGCCATCAGTTCTGTGCACAATATACGCTCTCAGCTGTCAGATTTAGGGCCCTATTTTAAGGATGTAAGCGAATGGTCTAAAGCGTAGGGTGCACGTGCACTTAGGACGTGTCCGAATCCACTTTTGCTAGTTTAATGACGGGAGAAATGGTCGGTGTATGGTCTAAAATACATGACGGAATTTGCAAGCGGAAATACTGATCCTCTAGCGAAGTGTACGCGTGTTGTAGAACCACCTATAGGCACATATTACTAATGTGCTCTTCACCTCTGGAAAGATGGTTGTGTATTTAAAATGGGTCATTTATGTAGAAGAAATGTGAAATTATTTTTGAATTTGGAGCTTTCTAGACTGAGAAAAGCCAGAAAATGTATTTTTGGCTTATGTGGATGAAAGACAACAACTCCCAGAATGCACTTGCTCCTAGGAGGCCACGCCTACCGGTAACAGAGCGCAGTAGTTAAACAAGCCTAGGCTACTAGTGAGTCTCCGTGATGAGTCTGCCCGAAAATGTGTTTCGAGATCGCCCAAAATGTCCGGGATTCGTCTTTTGCGTTCTACAGTCGCCATTTATTATGTTTACTGTGGCGAGCGGGACGAGTGAGGGTGTCGTGATTACCGATGAGCGACACCTGTGAGACGCACCGGTCTCGTATCTCTCACGGAGGAGCGGGAATTTTCTTAGCAATGTTAAAACGCACATCAACCGATCGCTTCGTTCATGTAAACACTACATTCAGATTCACCAATGGAATGAATTCAGTTAGATTGAAACAAAAGCTGTGCATGTAAACAATGAATGGCGACTGCAGAAAGCAAAAGCTGAATCCCGGACATCGACGGCCGGACATGTCCGGGAAAAAGGGTATGGTAACCCCTACTACTCAGCTTTCTCCACAAAACAAGAGCCTGCTATAGCTTAGCTTCCAAAAAAAGATGGCTGACACTATGTGTTCATTCTGTGAGTGAGATCGCCCTCTATGGGCGGGTTGAGAACATACGGGACAGACCTGAATACTGACTGTAGTCTTTAGCCTCTGGCCAAAAAAATCCTCCGATGACGCAAATGGACGATTTTTGAGAATTTTTTCCAGACAAAAAAACACAAGTTCAAGTTTCAAGGTTTTCTACTAATACAAAGCTTAATGCTAAATCCTGCTGTATAATAATAATGATACTGCGCCAATGACTGCAGACTGCAGGTTTCAGTTGGTCAATGGCGCAGTCTATTTCAGTTGCCTCAAAATAGCAACACGCCAACAATGTGCCTGAACACACTGGCCCATGGGTGAACAAATGGGCGCTCATGCATTTCCTATGTAAACAACGTGGCGCAGGACGTGAAAAATGATAACTGCGTCAGGCTGAAACTTGCTGAAAACACTTGCGTCGCACCTGGTGTGTAAGATAGGGCCCAAAGTCTTCAAGTTGATAGCAGCACTGTTATCGCAGCCATGAGAACAAACAAAGCTGGTATCTGATTTCTGTTATCTGCGCAGAAATGCACGCAAGAGATCCGATAATCAGAAGCACTCGGTACAAGGGCCCCGTGAGGCCCGCCCGCGTTCACTAATGAGGACCAGACAGAAGACATAAATGATCACCTTCCGCGCAAACACTAAAAATACTGTGGAAACACAGAGGGGTTTCCCATGCATCCCGTATTTGTAAAGTGCTGCCTTCCTGACTGTAAGTGTGAGTCTATACCTGCGTCACTTTAACTTCCCTCTTGGTGGTCTGACTTGCATTCCTTCCCATGTTCAAGGTTTGTCACGAGGGTTTGTTTGTGCACTACACATTTTTATGGCTTCCCAGTTCCCATATGGGCCCCATATGTAGGTATGTGTCTCCGCCTGAATAGGCTGGTGATCTGTGTTTGTTTACCACCATCTACATGTCATTGCATGTTTTGTATCTATAGTAATCAGTAGGCAATCACGGGCGTTATAGAGGTAATGCTGTTTTTCCATCCCTATAAGTTTCAGGGAAAAAAGCTGCGGCTTCATCACAATTTCAGCACTCAGAGTTTCCCAATTTTATAGCGCCAACACCCACTTTACAACTTTTCCATGCAGCGCTCCCAACACCGCATCTCCCTGCCAGCTGTAGCGCTGCATCTTAAGAAATCAATCCATCGCGACAATCGTGAGACTAACTACTAACCGGGAACGAGAGTCCCTCATGTATTTACAGCATTCCTAAAAGCTTGGAAAGAATTCCTCAGTGGAAGAGGAATTTCCAACAAAAAACAGCTATTGTATCCATGACAGATACAATGAGGCCCTTGTGTCCTCATCTGGTGTCCGCTGAAGGATCCTTTATTAGAGCGTGTTTGTGCTAGAGCTGATCGTTTTGAATGGAAACCACGTAATGTCTGGGGTTAAAACTAGTAAAGCACACATGATCTTTTTCATTCAGCTCAGATTTAGTCATCCGTCATGTGAGTAAGTGTGGATAAAGGGCACCGCATGGGCGGACTTACTGACTTAATGTCAATGGGTGACGGCTTATTTTCCCATGAGAAGCAGCAGAGATCGCATGCAGTGAAGTCAAAGGAGAGTCTCGATCCAGAGGGTTGTTTGTAAATGCACACACATGCAGAGGTATTATGGTGTCAGCTTAAAGGAGTAGTTCACTTTTCAAAAAAACTTTTGCTCACCCACTTCATCCAAGATGGCCACGTCTTTCTTTCTTCAGTCGAAAAGAAATGAAGAAATTCCAGGATTTTCTCCATATAATGGACTTCAATGGGAACCAAATGGTTCACAAGGTCCAATTGAGAGTTTCAGTGCAGCTTCAGAGGGCTTTAAACGACACAGACGATGAATTTCGAGTCATGACTCGAAAAAGATTCGTTCATTTTAATGAACGAATTCGAACAGGAGAGTCATGAACACTCATCACAGAACAGAGCAATTGTGCGTATAAAATGTACACTTTTTTATTTATTTTTTAAATGACAGATCGTTTCGCTAGATAAGACCCTTATTCATCGTCTGGAATCGTTTAAAGCTGCACTGAAACTCTCATTTGGACCTTGAACCGTTTGGTTCCCATTGAAGTCCATTATATGGAGAAAAATCCAGGAATGTTTTCATCAAAAACCTTAATTTCTTTACGACTGAAGAAAGAAAGACATGGATATCTTGGATGACATGGGGGTGAGTAAATTATCAGCAAACATTTTTTTAAAGTGAACTACTCCTTTAAAATAGATATTTTGCAGCATACAAGACAAGTCATTTTACTTGATTGAAAAATTGTTGACGTATAGTCAGAGATATTGACACGTAGCTTTAAAACTAATATGGAAAGCAGTTCAACTAATTTGGTCTCAGAATAATTTGATGAAAAATGTTTGAGTTCGTATTGGGATCTAAATATCCTTGCACAGTTTGAGACCAAGATGAGACAAACAATAGTCTTTTTACCCAAAGAACCAAAATATTTTGGAGAAATATTACAGAGACCCGTTCCTGCTCTGCTTGGCATTCCTCCCGTTCCCCTAAGTCATCGTTAGTTCCTCACATGTTCTCATGCGTTTCAATGCATTTTCCGTGTTGGCCACAGTCTTATACAGCTGCGGTTTTCTTTTATATCTCTCTTTAGACATATCCTGACCTACTCCTCCACTCCCACCCCCATCATTCCCAAAAGACTGTCCAGCTGCACTTCTTTCCATAGAAACATACACAATCACACACTTTCTATTCGTGCGTATAAGGCCAGACAGGTCACGTTGCTTTGGCGTTGTTCAAGGCTGGTGGTTGTATATCGTGAGCATGTTTGTGTGCTGCGAATGATCTTTTTGAGTTTGTTTACCTTATCTGACTGAGCGGATGTCAAGAGGGTGTATTCAGTTTATATTGCCTTTGATTGGACGCCAAATTCCCCAAGAATCCCCCTGTTCTGTGAGGCCTGTCTCGACAGATTCGGCTGCGGATGTACTGAAAACACACACTTGATGTAGAACAATGCTTGCTAAGACAGATCTTTATGAGTGTGTGTGCGTGTCTCTGCTCTGTTATCTCTCAATAGATGTGGGGAGCTCTTGATGACAGTAAAGCCACTTTGAACAAACAGCTTTAGCACCTTCTGTTTGTTTCCGCGTTTGAGCTCTAGGATCGAGTCTCTCGTCGGGCTGATGGGAATGAGATGAGGAGCTGTGAATCAGTAAACCACAATAAATTCTACACTCTTAACAATGCTGGGTGGTTTTAAGCCAAATTTGGGTCAAATATGGACAAACCCAGATGTTGGGTTAAACATGTAATTTAAAATTTTAACCCAACTTCAACTTTTACTTTCAACTGTTATTTTTTAAATTACATTTTAACGTTAATTTTTAACATTTTTATTTTTTAAATATGGGTTTGTCCATATTTGACCCAAATTTGGGTTGAAACAACCCAGCATTGTTTAGAGTGTATATTTTAATATCTGAGAAAAGAATATGCATAGGTCAACTAAACACTAAGCTAATATAAACAAACAATGCTAAGAATATAAGATGCTACAGATAAAAGAGATGCATAACAAATGAAACCAGAAAGGTTTTTTAATATTATTTACTATTACTATTTTACTATGAATACTATTTATCTATTTATTTAACATCATAAAACAATATGCTTTTATTTATATTTTTATATATATATACTGTATATATATATATATACATATATATATAGTTCAGTTTAACCCAATAAAACAATATATTTTATGTTGAAAAAAATATCTATAGATAGAAATAGAATACGATAAATATTGTTATTTTTATTAAGTAATATAATATTTTTTACAATATTTACAATATTATAATATATTTAATAGTGGTATTATAATAGTGATAATATTATAGTAATAATAATTTATTTTAATATAAAGTACAATAATAATAATAATTATTATTATTGTAATATATATATATATATATATATATATAATTGTAAATTATTATTGTAATTACAATAATAATAGTTATTATTGTTTTTAAATATATTTAATAGATAATAATTTAAAATATTGAATTGTAAAATTAAATGTCATTATAATTGTATTATTAATAATAATTATCATTCAAATGTTTAAATATTACATTTAATTGTGGTATAATAATATAAATAATTTAATTTTGTATTGTTATATAAAATTTTGTATAATATTCAGTGTAATAATAAAATTAGTAATTATTATTGTTAATATTATTATTATTTAAAAATAATATATTTAATAGATGCTAATAATAATATTGTATTTTTATATGAAATATATAGTTACAACAATAACAAGTATTAAGTGTTATTATTATTATTATTATGTCATTTATTCAAATTGTCATCTATATTTTGTCCACCGCTAATGTTCTTAATTAAGGGAGCTTTGTAAATCTTTCTGTGGATCTTCTGTTTCTGAATGCTGGAACTGTTGTGCAACAGATGCTTTTACATTAAAGTGAAATGGAAGAAATGACATTGTGTTGTGTATCTCTCTCAGGCAGGTTGCATACAAACTTCTCAAGTTGAAATGGAGAAAGAAGAACAGATACAGATGTCTATAACCCACACTGATGTATAAACAGGATGTTTTGACCCCAAACACAAAGGTAAGATACTTCACTGCATGAATGAAGGAGCAGGGTTTGTATTACTGTAACGCTGACGGCTAGTTCTTCCTCTCTCTTCTCTGTTCTTCAAGGTTTGACCTCATAACCTCTGTAAAGAGACGGTACCAGGCAGAGAGAGAGAGAAAGAGACAGGAGAGAGATAGATATGACATAGATGTGCACAAATACACACATTCTCTTGTTACGAATGATGTCAGTTACATGTTGTGAAAAGAATATGAATAGACATGTCCATGAGTCTGTGTACAGGCGCGTGAAGCTGTAAAGACATGTCCATATTTAGCTGTTGCTCCTATGGAGATTGTTACTAGATATGCTTTTTTTGGTTTTTGGAAAATTATGTAATCATGCTTTTCACAAACTGTTCTCCTGGATCATCCCGCCTATGAGCTTTTAGTGGAAATAGCAACAAGACACAGCCAAAGACAACAACAGCAGCCATCAAGATCATAATGAAACTAAAAATACCAGTAGGTGTCAAAAAGTGAGCTATTGCTTGCAATGCGAATTATGTAACTCAAGACAAATTGCTATAATCAATCAAAGACGGGAAATTACTGATAAAATTATATATTCAGGGATGATTATGTCATTTTATACACACACATATATATATACAGCTGCTAAGTGTTCAGTTCCAGGCTTTAATTACAAATTCTGAATATGATCAACGAATTTAATATATATTTTACATTACAATAAACAAGCTTACAAACAAATACAGTAACGTTTTGTGTCTGTGATGTTGTTTAAACTGGAAATAAGGATCTAACTTAACCTCTAGTGCTCTCTGCTGGCTGCAAATGGGACTTCAACAATATTTCTGAAGGGCATATATTTATGTATTGAAGGGCTGCTTAAATTTATGAGGCACAACACCAACAATTAAAAACATGAATCATGTTTAAATTCTAAGATTCTAACAAGAGACTCAGCTTATGAATATTAACTCATTATTAAAGTTATGCAGCCTTTACTTTCTAACCTCCCTCGAACGTCGTCACGGAAACGAATTCATGTTAATATTCGACGATATTTCTATTTTTCATTCAATCTCAAGTCAGGTAATACACGAAGAGCTTATATTTGTCAGGAAAAAGGTCGACATTAATTATTAATTGCCATCCTCTTATCAGTGATCTATATAAATAATTTTAAATAATTTATAGATCAGTGGTTTCAAACCAGTCCTTCCGATTACATTCCGATACGATACTCCAATCACGTTACCTAATTCATATTCATAAATCAATCTTACTCAGACTGTGACCAACTTCTGCCAACGTGCAACGTTACTTATTAATATTCATAAGCCAATCCCTCGCTTTTAGGATTCGCTTATTTGCCAGCTGCTCTTGCCGTTCAGCCAATCAGTTAGGCCAGCTGGAGGAACGTAACTTTACGTAATGAATATTCATAAGCAAGTCCCTCTCTCATGAGTTGTGAATTGAATTGTCCAATAGGGGGCGTTGCTCCATACAAGACGACAACTTTGTGCTGAACTTTCATCTGTCACGACAACAAACTAACAACTTTCCAACATGGAGTGAACAAATCCGCTGTAATTTACTGTAAGGATAAACCAATGGAACCAACAAATAACAACAACGAGGACCCGAAATTAACTCCAGGTACTCATAAGCTTCACTAAGAGGGCAGTTTTAATTTTTTTAAAGGACTTTGAAAAGATTTTGAGTTTTGCCCAACAGCGTACAACAAAATAAGAGTCTTTGGTTTTCTTATTCTTAGCTCGTATTATATTAGTTATTGTTCGTTTTGTTGTATTGTGTTTGATTTTACAATTAAACTTTTATGTATTATTTTGATGTTGTTTTCTAATGATCGCATGTGTGTGTCTAACAGCTGCTTTAGTGTTCACTTCAGCTGCAGGATACGATCAAGGCCTAAAATATGTTTGGGTTTAAACAAGGGGAATTTTAACTTACGTAATAATAACACATGCATATCTGATGCATTTCCCGGGGCTTTTAACTGAAGAAAGCTCGAGACCATTGAGTTGAAAGACATATTACATACATTTATAGTGTCAGATAGATTGCACATGTTTGTGCAAATTCTCCATTCAAAGTAATAATGTTTTAATATAAAAGTTTTGTGTGGTCTCCAGTGGTCTCCAAAACATGCAAATTAAGTTTTTTTCTTGAATCTACAGCCTTTTAACCATAAAAATTAAGCATTGCACCTCATTAAAAGCACAAAAACAGACTATCAATGCACAGTTCTTTATGAGAAGAGGAACATGTGTAATGTTTTAAGTTTATGACTCAAAAGGGTCAACAGGGCTTAGTGTTCATATTTTAAAATGATGTACTGGCTCCTATGCAGTGACAACATTAATGCATACCATAATTATGATTAAGTTAAGCAAAGTGATCATAAAATTTGTAATGTTTTTAAAAAAGAACAAACATTTCTGCTTGGACCTCTATAATAAGCATGTAATGAATATGTGGAGATCCATATCTGTTCTGACACAAATTCACAGTCTGTATCTATACGTGCACATTTATCATTGGCACTTTTTGTATTTTTTCTTTTTTGTGACAGACCCAGGAGGACAGAATAAAAAGCAGTCACCAGTCGAGAGCGTGTTTGGCCGACAGCTGAGTGAACCAGGGAGGTTTGCGTACGCTGGGTTATGTGGTGTGTCACTGGGACAGCTCTTTCATGGACACGAGCAAAAGTAAAACATTAAACAACACTTTAATGTACTGTGAAAAAAGCTTGGGGTCAAATATGTTCTTTTATGCTGTATGTTTCAGTTTAGTTTAGTTCACTGTGGTTCGGCTTTTAGCTACATTCATTGGGATAGTAACTTGCACTTCACGGCTAACCTTTTTCTTACTGCCCCCTAACTTTTGAACGCTAATGTACTTCCAGCATATTGAGGTTTGGGGTTGTGACTCTTCACTGTGATGTTTTTCCCAATGCAGACGTTTCCGTGAGGCGTATCTGGAGGGTCTGGTTCAGTGGCTGAATCTCGATGAGTCGGTCATGCCGGTTATGCAAGCGTTCCTGACAGGACTCGGGTTCGAAGGCACTGACACCTTCCTGTCCATTTTGCACGCAGAGCCGCTGCTCCGAGCCGGAGCTTTACCCATCACTCATGTACGCATGTGACGTGAATACAGTATATCTGGATGATTGCATTGACATATTGATGCTTAGTTTAGTTTGTGACGGTCTCTTTTGTTACTCTGTTTTTCAGGATCTCGTGTCTTTCTCTGTCAAGGATGGTGAGCTGTTGGTTCTTATTTAGTTAGCTGTTTGTTTGTTTTTTTGCATTGGCATGCATAAAAGAAAATATTAATTAAAATGATGAATAATAAATGAATTTAATGTCCAGAAAAAATATTTTGCGTAAAGAAAATGAATCCTGTTTCATTAGCATTCATATAGTTTGCATTTTTATTTTATTTTCTAGCACAATTAAGCACATTCACATACCAATGGTTCTTATTTTAAGCTTGAATTACATTTTTTACTTTTATTACTAACGTCACAAAACATGTTAATGATCCAAAAAGTCTTTATTTTCTTTATGCAAAATATTACTCTTTTTTTTTTTTTTAAATGAAAGGATCTTTTCCTTCACATTATCTTTGATATTAATCTCTGTTTTACTTTAATATCATTGAGATACTATTATAGTTTTTATGAATATTTTGAATAAGATTTTGTGTTTTGTTTTTATTTTTAATATCATTTTACATTTCATTTGTTAACATCAACTAACAATGAAAAATACTTCTAAAGCATTTATTAATTTCAGTTCATGTCAATTTCAACATTTACTTATACATATTTACATATTAAAACCTAAAGTTGCATCTGTTAATCTTATTTAATAGACATGAGCTGACACAAACAGTATTTTTTATTAACTAACACTGACAAAGATGTATTTCTCATTGTTAGTTAATGCATCATTTACCATAAACTATTGGTAATTTTGTTGTGTTTTTGTCTTTTTTTATTGTTTATATAGTTTTTATTCATTTTTATTGTTTATTACCTAAATTAAAATGTGAAATTGCCTTTTTTTATTTGATTTCAGCTAACGTTTATTTTATTCAGAATAAAGAAAATGTTTCTTTTAAGTTTTTAGTTTTAGTTCTAATAATAACAGCCTGATCTGTTACTCTTGTTTCGTGTGTAATGAGCATTTGTTAATTTCTTGTGATGTAGGACATTACGATGCCAGGGCTCGTGTTCTGATCCGACATGTCAGCTGTCTCCTGCGTGTGACCCAACAGCAGCTGGAGGATTTTGAAGAGACCCTCGGAGAGAAATTGAGAGAGGCAGAAGAGGAGAGCGAGTGAGTGAAACGTCCTCCGATCATCAGCTGCTGCCCCTTTATGGGCTTTTTGCGAGCTTATCCTCATGTCTCTGAGAAACACACACTGATTTCATTGTTGGATGGATTATTTACAAGAGATTATTTTCTAAAAACCCCTCCTGGACCTTCTGCAGATGCAAAGCCAATGCAGAAACACTGTGGCACAATCAATAGTATCGAAAATCGAATACTTTTGACGTGGGGAACGAGCTTTGCACATATTTATTGATTTCTGTCTTTTAATGTGTTCTCTCCTGCAAGACACATGATGTGTGCCATCACATTTTTTGTTTTTGCAGTCAAGGTTTTTCCTTTCAGTACGGCGCTTTCATTTTAGTCTTGGTCTTTCATAGAATTTTTCTCCCAATGAGCAAGGCCTCTGAGTTTACAGCGACTCCGGGGAGCGTATTATGAATCAAATTGACTTTCTCTCAACAGAGAAGAGTCTTCAAGACGGCAGAAGAAAGAGAGAGGTCGTAAATTGCGCCGGTATCTGCTCATCGGACTTGCCACTGTGGGTGGAGGGACAGTAATCGGTGAGTCTAAACGCCACAGGACGTTTGTTTTAATCTACACTGGTCTTGCCGAGGTGATTCGGTCTCTATAATGTCACTGGAAAGTTCATGAAAAACATGCATGGAGAAAATAAAGCCTTATTTATTTATTTATTTTTAAAGAATTGAAGCCTTTCAGGCTTTTCCCCTTGTTTTAATTATATAATTGTATCATACAACATTTCTGATTAAAAATCACAATAAATTTATCAAAAGTGACAATAAAAACATTTATAATGTAACCAAAGATTTCTGTTTCAATTAAATGCTGTTCTTTTGAAATTTCTATTCATCAAAGAATCCAGAAAAACTGCATCATTTCTACAAACATATTAAGCAGCAAAAATCTATTTAAACGAACCATTATTAATAACTGAGCACCAATAATAATCATCAAATCATCAGAATTAATTAATTTATATATATTATTCATACTAATTTATATTCACAAAATTTCTTTACTGTAATATATCCAGAGGTTTTATTAGTGAGTTTTTTTTTAAATATCTTTAATTATTTATTAAAAAAACAAACAAATTAAAATGTTAAATTAATATAAATTCAATTCAATATTATAAATTCATCACAATACAAATAATAAAAAAACATGATTTATGTTTTGGTTATTATGATAATTTGAGTGGAAATGTGCTTAATTTTCATTTTCATATATTATTATT